TTACTAGAACTGAGGCAGAATGAGTGACAAGCGATTGCAGTGGTGATTGGTAGTGAGTAGATAAGAGGATGTGCGTAGAGTATCATGAGGTGGTGCTATGGTCACGTTGCATTCTGCAAGAGTCATTCTAGCAAGTGGCGATTTTGTTGCAAGAGCCTTTGTCAAGAGTAAAGCTTTAACTGGAAGGCGGAGGTCGTCATTGATGTGTGAGATTGTGCTGTGGGTATGCTTGTGGTGTGTTGGCTTTTCTGTTTGTTTTCCATTTCATCTCTGTCCGTGTGACCCAGGTTGTCGCAATGGATCCCTTTTTTGCCGGGGAGTGTCAATGTAGTTGAAGATTGAACGATCAATTCATGGTTGTTTGCTCAAAATCAACTTCCCCAATTTTCGCGGAGGCATCAATACGACAGTTATCGTCTCATCAGTCGCTGTTCAGAAAGAAGTCAGTAGAAAACCGTCAGAAGTATTGTTGTGATTTATTATTGTAATATTTGTTCACAGACCTTAGTTGTAACATTTTTTACATGTAGGTGTTGCAATAAAGAAGCCTCGAGTCACCAATAGGTATTTTCTCTTTTTCATCCGTTATTACTAAGCGTTTCTGCGAAACTTCAAGGAACAGCGTGAGCCCGAGTGCAGCAAGTGCTCGGCATTAACGGTTTTCGAGAGGTGGCTGAAAACTATTGTATGGTGGTGATGGGTTAGTGAGTACTTTCGATGTGAGAACAAGTTGTGGCATGTTGGTTCGGCATATTAGGAAACTGTGTCTGCTGGAAGATGCTGAGTGTCAAGACTCACAGGATGAACCACTCGACGATTTTGCAACCTGGGGCGTCCACCTGAGGAGGTTTGTAGGCCTGCTGCTGTAAGTCCTACAATTCTTCAAAGGTAGTACAACGAAGCGCAGTCCATCATCCCTGGTGTGTTGTTTTGTACGTAAGTTCATGTTGTATATATTGATTTGCTATCATCTCTCATCTATTTGTTGGTCAATCTTGTTTGTGTTCGGATATTCTTCAAATCACAATCGTCGACCTGAGAAGGGTTGCAGGCGTACTGGTGTAAGCCCTGCGATTCTTCAAAGGAATTACATCAAGACATGATCTGCGAGGTTATGTGTACTGTTTGTATACATGTGTGTCATATCAATTAGTGTCAGTCACGTCTCAAAACCGTTAATACCCAGCTATTGCTACTCCAGGCCTCTCGCTGTCCCACGAAGCCCTTCAGTACTAACGGACGCAAAAACCAAAACACCGATTGGCGACTTGAGAATTCTTTATTCTAACACCAACATATGGGCAGCATAATAACTATGGTCTATGAACAAGTATTAGAATTATAAATCACGATTCTACTTCTGACGGTTTTTGATCTTTCTGAACAACGACAGTTGAGACGATGACTGGTGTATTGATGCCTCCGCGAAAATATAGGGAAGTCGGGTTTGAGCGAACAACCATGAATTGATCGTTCAATCTTCAACTACATTGAAAATTACTGTTTTTTGTATTCACTGTGTTTACCCGTTGTTTTCGTACCTTGTTGCTATTGCACAATTTTGTTAAATTGTTCGTCGTACTTACTTCTGAAGTTGTTTCTAGTCTTCCACATCCGTGAATGAATTGGTTGGTGCTAAAACAGCAGATAGTTCGTATACGCCGGGGAGGCTAGGCTAGTGCTGAGAATGACATGCACACATAGACAAGAATTAGGTGTGGAATCAATGATTAAGAATGAATGTTTCTACTTAGGCTGTGGTCCCACACGCCGAGGTGCGAAAGTGTAGACGACTGAGGCTTGCGTACGTCACCGTTACAAGAACTGAGGTAGAATGAATGACAAGCGAACACAGTGGTAATTGATAGTGAATAGATAAGAGGATGTGCGTATATATATATTCTATAAGTTTTCATAAGTGTACATATGTTCATGCCTGTAAAAATGACTGGTTTCTGTTACAGAAATAAAATTATTGTTAACTTAACTAATTAACTAGAGTATCATGAGGTGCTGCTATGGTCACGTTGTGTTCTGCAAGAGTCATTCTAGCATGTGGCGATTGTGTTGCAGGACGTCAAAAGGAGGTCTTTAACTGGAAGGCGCAGGTCGTCGTCGATGAGTGGGATTGTGCTGTGGGTGTGCCTGTGATGTGTTGGCTTTCCTGTTTGTTTTCCATTTCAGCTTTGTCCATGTGACCCAGGTTCTCGCACTGGCATCCAAGTCAACGTGTATTGGTCGTGATGGAAAAAAGGGATGGATCGGTATTTTGCCGGGGAGTGTCAATGTAGCTGAAGATTGAACGATCAATTCATGGATGTTTGCTCAAAGCCAACTCCATATTTTTCGCGGGGGTCACCGATACTGCAATCATTGTTCCGTCGTTCACTGTTTGTAAGAAGACGGAGAAATACTATTAGAAGTATTATTGTGATTAATTGTCATGACATTTATTCTTAGACCTTGTGTATAATGACTTTGTTGTTGGTTACATATTGGAGCAAGAATAAAGCATTCTCGAGTTGCCAATCCGTGTTCTGGTTTTTTGCGTTGGTTATTACACATTGTTGCTGAAAGTCTTCTAATGACAGCGTTAAGTCCGGTGTAGTTAGGGTTGGACATTGACAGATACCGTCCTCTTAGTCAAAAAACAGCCAAGAAAAAAGTCGTCATATGTGAAGAGAGGTACACAAAGTATTTCTCATGCAAAGAGGAAGGCTTTGTCTACGTGGCGAGCACCCAAGAGTCAGACTAACCACAAAGCATACCCAGGAACCAATGCAAAGCAAGAGTGTGGAGGGACAGGAGGTCATTTCAGGCGAAATTGCTGAAAAATTCTTGGTGAACCCCAGACGCCTGTATCAATTTATGTCGGATGGAAAACTAACCCACCAAGAGGCATGTGCTTAGTAGGTCAGTACCTCATAAGTTTGGAGATGGCTGAAATATTCACTTTAGCTTTCGTCAAACAGTTAAACACCAATGTGGGTACTACCCGTAAGGACCAAAATGGCGGCACTACCACTTCACCTGAGGAAACCTGGTGGCTACTCCCCAAATAAATCTGGCACTAGCACTATGGAAGCTCCAGGGACTCACATGTGGAAAGTCCCCAGGTTGTGATGACATTAGGCCTTTTAATCTGAAACAGTGCACCGAGGCTCCCTGTTGGTCCTTATGCGACTTGTCAGCCACGTCTCGTAAACCGTTAATGCTCAGCTCTTGCTACGCTGGGATTCACGCTGTTCCTCGAAGCTTCTCAGAGACGCTTAGTACGAACGGACGCAAAATCCAGAACCCAGTTTAGCGACTCGAGAATTATTTATTCTAACACCAACATATAGCCAATGTACAACTAAGCTTTACAACTAAGGTCTATGATAAAATATTACAATAATAAATCACAGTATTACTTCTGACGGTTTTCTACTGACTTCTTTCTGAACAGCGACTGATGAGACGATGACTGTCGTATTGATGCCTCCGCGAAAATATAGGGAAGTTGATTTTGAGCAAACAACCATGAATTGATCGTTCAATCTTCGACCACATTGACACGATTTGTTCCAACACTCGATGGAAACTGCCAAACGAGCCATCCTATCTTCGATCTTCAAGGCTGGGGATAGGCAAAATATCCCTATTTAGGGACCACAAGGCCCCAGCCCCAGTACTGGGAAGCATCATTGGTGGTTACATAGGGGAACAACTCGATAGGACTAATATACACCAAAAAGCTCATCATGATTTCAGGAAACATGGATCCTGTGCTACAAACCTACTATCTGCTTGAGACGATTAGACGCCATCGTGGCGTGTGGTCCTCCTAGACTTTAAAAAGGCATTCAACACATTTCACAATGACGTTCTAATACACAAAATAATGCAGGCAGGTAAATGTGAGAAATTTCTGTGATGGTTGAAGGACTACCTAGCTGAAAGGGATTCCCGCACTAAGGTCAATCGTGTCCTGCCATCTTGGCATGGCTCTTCGCAAGGAGCGTCGCAGGGTTCTATCCTAGGGCCACTGATGTTTTGAGTTTTATTAGTGACCTACCATGCCGCCTAAGCTGCCCGACTCTTTTGTACGCCGACGAAGTGAAGATACGGAGAGCAGTAAGTGTTCGGAAGTCTTGGATAGGCCGCAGGCATACACAAAGCTTCTGGGCGGTGGCCAACCACATGACCTCTAACCTGAAAACTGCAAAGTATTGAAATTACACACCTTGTGGAAGCCCCGGGAGTATAGCCCACCATAGGGAAAAGACTTGGGTCTGCTTTCACTTCTTTTCATTGCGGGTTTGCCGTCCCTGGAATTCCTTACCGGCAGATGGAGCTATGGCACCGTCTGTGGACGCCTTTAAATGAAGGCTGGGTAATCATGTAGCGACATAAGGACTGCGTCCAAATGGCCTATCCCCTTAAAATTCCATACACAATTCAGGGGCAGACACCTAAGTTCATCGTTTTACTTCATTACATTCCCTCTCTCGCCTTACTTTCCGGATTACTCCAACTGCTACTCATTATTACTGATATCATATAGTCGTATTTATACATATATACATATACATATATATCCGGTCTTACGTTTTTTGTATCTCTTTTTAGGTCCTTTAGTCTGAATAACTTATACTAGTTATATCTATTATTACCTCTTTCCTTTTGGCGAAGACACTGGGGGACTGTCTGGTGAGTGGATGAACTCCATTCAAAGTAGCAACAAAGTCTTAACACACCGTACACTACGAACAACATATAATTTATGGCAACACCACTCTTTTGGGAGTCAGCCGAAGCCTCGACAGTCAAGTGGTAGCAAAAACTACACAGAAGTTTACTGTAAACCAGGAACGTTTACCTCACAACCAAGAAGCGAGTACAAAGAAATCAAATTGGTTTGCGCTAGCTTATAAAAACGCCATTGAATATTGATGTGGTACGCACAAGGTTGAGATTTGACCTTAGCGCGGCGCTGGAAAGGTCTTCAGCCGTGTGAAATGCCTTTCCCTGAGCAGATGCCATCGAACTTTGGTTTCCAGTCTCCATCCGCACCACAGTATCAGTTTAGGTCTGTGGAAGATGTAAACAATGTTGTTCAAATGCTTTTGTGGAAAATCTCCCAGGAATTCCGTCACACTGGACCTGGTTGTGTACAAGAAGAACTATTTAGGGTACTTTTATATTGCGCTTATGTGTGATAACTTTCAGAACTATCCGACAGTTACTGAGTTCATTAGAAGCATACGAATGAGTCCTGATAATATACCTCGTATCATGGAACACAGGAGGTTAATACAAAGGGTAAATACACAACTTTGGGCGTATGCTACCACGCGCAACGTTCTGACTCTCGCAGATATGCAACACCTAATACAGGTTGGTTTTTGTACGCGCAGTTTCATGTCGAATTAAATATGGAATGAGGCTCTAACAAGGTTGTGGCTTCTCGTAGTATGCTGTGCTTTTAATTAGTAATAGTAATAGTTCCGAGTTGTTTACAGCCCAATTTCTAACAATGGCCACAGTAAAGAATGGATACTATAGCCAAATGAGATTGGGCTCACTATAATGGTATTTTAGCATAAAAAGTACATCTACAGGATATGTATATATATATATACATATATATAAGGGAATTATCTAGTGTATGAGCCTCTAATATGCTACAAGAACAGCTTCCATTTCTTTTTAAGTAGGAGTGGTTGCAGGCATATGTCATTCCAATCCGTTGCTTTATATGCACAAAGTCCTTCAGTGGAATTCGTGTACCAGTTTTAGGATCCATTAATCCTTATGAATGATCGACTTTATGGTGAATATATCCTGATGATGGTCACAATCCTCAGCATTTCAAACAGATACTGCGCATGGTCATCGTAATTTTAATTTTAAATCAGAGTAAAACTTACAATAAAGGCTATAAAAAGCATCCTTTTGTAATGTTGAACGATCTGATTGGTTGGCTGTGGGCTATTTGCTATGGTCTCCATTCTTTACTCTTCCCTCTAACATAGCATACGTATAGATAGTATTTTTATCTTGTAAGTTGTGTAGTCATCATAGTACCAATGTTTGTATCTGTGAATTTCCTCAGCTGGAATATGTTTGTTTAGCACCTTAAAAGCAAATTTCTAATTACTAGGATTTCACAACTTTAAAATGACTTTATATCCATGTGGACTTGGTTTATTATGACTCAAATAACATTTAGAAAGAAATAACATTTATTTTAGAAAGCAGTTCTAATTATGACTTTTTGCATTCATTTATTATTTTGTGTTGACAGGTGGAATCTCCAAATGACTATCGTTTACTTGGTCCAATCGTCAGGTTACCAGCGGCGTTAGAAATACTACAAACCGATACGTTTGACTCGCGTGTGCTAACAGCTTTTACAGTGGGCAGTTCAGATCGAGCCTTGAAGATGTTAACGGAAGATGTTTTGGAAGAATTAAAATCATGCATTTGCATTAATAGATTTCGTTTACCTGCAAATGTTAGTCGAGGGTCAGTTTACGCGTGGTGGGAGTCAGTATTCACCCAGCATATGCTAGCAATCGTCAATCATGCTAATGTTGTACACATTAATCGTCCTTCTGATAGATTAGACCAACTAGCCAAATTTGGTATAAGAATTAAAGGGTTTTCTCATATTGTTCAAGTAAGTAATCTTTTCTGTAGTTTGGTTTGTAAGGGTTAGTTATGTTTTTTCCGAGTTGATCATGGACTGATATCAGTAACCGGAGGGTCCTGGGTTCGAACCCTGGCGGTGGGGGCGTACTGCTGATGATTCCCAAACTAGGATGAAACAACTGTCCAGTACTCTGGTTTTCAGTGGTTCTCTAACTGATATCAGTCCGTGATATCCTCGGAAAGTTATCTTTTGTTTCGACTTAAAATTGATTCGATAGCACTATCGTCTATTGGATGTGCGTTATTTCTATTAATTACCGCTTAGTAGTAACGTCTCATGTGGCTTTCGATCATCAAGCATGAATCCTGTTGTGTATTTATATATTACACTGCAGAAGAGTAATGACGCTAAAATACTTATAACAGCACATGATTGCTCAAAGGTCACGAGAAGAGTTATGAGTATCAAAATATATGAGCCTTTAATCTATAGGGTTAAGGTGTGACGTGTCAGTGTCTGAAAATATCCCATGACTATGTTGATGTATTCACCTTTTTACCTCAGAAATATCAAGAATTCTCGATAATTTTCATCTGGCTACGTATTCTACTCTTAGACCCATTTTACCATTGTTATATCTCTCTGCCGAACCATTGTGTGGCTAATGTAAAGTTGAGTGACAGTCACTTAACTTTAACCTGATAGGTTATGGCTTCAAATCTAGTAATTATATCTACTGAAATTTAGACTACTGGATAGTAACATTGGCCCTGTTTTTTATATTACACAATCACACGTAGTCTCTTTCTTGTCTATGGTTACAAGTCTAACTGCGAACAAGCTTGTTATTTAATTGAATTCGCTTCTGTTTCTGTTCTTTTTTTTTGTGTGTTTTATCTCCGACGCTTTATAGGAAATCATCAATAATCTACGACCTGAAAATCTTAATAAAGCTTCTAGGGTAGCTCAACAACTATTAGATAATGATATACGACAAATTTATGAAAATTTTGCAAACTCTATGCTAAGTGAATCAGCAATAAGTAAGTGTTAGTTGATTATTGTTAGTGGTATTAATTTTGAATGTTAGTAGCGTTCTACTGGTATACTGCTGTCTTCCATGGTTCTAGTCTAGTACTAAAGACTAGTACACAGTCACAGTAAATGTATAAGACTGTTCAGCTTTCTTCATTCATATAAGACGGATAAAGGGAGATCATTAAAGGGATATTCAACTGAAAACATTTTACAGACAGTATTCGAATGTTGAAAAATGTGTTTGTAAATATTTCTACATACCACCCTTTGCTTGATATCTTGTTTCATTTTTAATTCTGTATGCAATCCCATCGTTTTTCTAATGACCATTCCAACCTTTCACGATCTGGCCGGATTCCAAGTTTGGTCACACATCGATATCACTCTGAAAGCTACTGAAAACTGGAGAGTGCCGGACAACCGTTTCGTCCCTATTTTGGGCTCTTCGTGAACGCACACCCGCGAGTTCACCGGGAATCGAACCCAAGACTTTCAGATTACAAGTCAAGTTCGTTGACTATTTAGCTAATGATGGGCCCGTGAATCCTAACTTCTGTCAGTTCGCGATGTTTAGATCCACCACCAACTAGTATCATCGGCAAGTCATTGTCCTTACACTCGACTTGATGAATCTCGTTGATGACTAAGTAATCGACAAGCTGGCCTGTAATCTGAAGGTGGTGGTTTCTATCCCCAGTGGGGTCACGGATGTTTACTTTTAAAAAGTCCGGAACTAGGGTGAAACAGCTGTTCAGTACTCCTAGGTGGTTCAATCAGTCGCTGTCTAACTGATATCAATACGCGACCGAAATTAAAACCAATCAAATCCCTATAAACTAATACTGGAAACTGAACAATTTCATGGAAATAATTACAAGTTGAGGGTATATCTTAAGTTAGCAGGATAGCTGATAGAATGATCGATTAATAATGTAAGACCAAGTAAACTACTTCTGCATTACTGTTCAACTTGTAGTTGTGAACAGCTAATTAATTTTATTGTTGACCTCAATTCCAACCTCCCGTCTTTTCCAGGCTTACTACTGGCTAATAAACTAGGTGTGGCATATGTGAATGTGAATAGGTGGGGAATCAAGCCCTGGACTGCGCGTGTGTTTGGTTGACTTAGAATGTGCAGATAATATAGTCCTTCTAGCTAGGTGAAGACGCTGACAAAATGCTCAGAATTGTTCTCAATGGCTGGAGCAGATGCATTCACTCCTTATGACCTGTGATTTCTAATGAAACTATATTGTTCTTCCCGTATTACTATTCCTTTTGTCTCATATCCCTGTGTACTGTCTCTGTTATATGCATTTCTTCTACTTTCTTCTCTTGATTTGTGTGCACATGGGTGCAAAGTTCTATGTCGAAAACAGACAGAAAGGTAGACAGTGAGAAGTGTACGGTAGTCCAAATCGCCACACTCCATTTAGCGAACAAAGGTAGAGAAAAAAAGCGGTTGGAGACAACTGCGATGAAGAGAAATGTACGGGAAGAAGAAAAGTGAGGTGAAGAATTTAGTGGATACGGGGGATTACATAGAATGAATGCTTCTGCACCACTGAGAGCAGTTTTCAGCCATATCACCAACATTCTGAAGCTGTTAATTCTTAGCATCCCAAAGACACCCCAACCAGCTAGTTCACAGCCTTCTACGTTGTTCATATCAACAGTTAGAGACTTTATAAACTGATGTCAGATTTTAGTTTCACCAATCCTAGCGCATTTTCAACCTAATTTTATGCCAGTTAACATCTCTCGACGAAAATGGCGGTGGCTTGGCATGTGCAACATATGTCCTAGCCATCTAAATCGGTGTAGCTTCCTTCATAACCTCATTGGTTGGCTTATCGTTTCAAACTATCACTCTAAACCTAACCTAGTACTTTATAGTATCTTCTAGCGTTATTTTAGTGATATAGATAAAAGTCATTCTCAACGGTACAGATCCATTCACTCTTTATGAATTCCTGGACCAATCAAATTTTCATCATTCTCCTTGAAACTGATTCTTTCTGTCATACATTATACTTCTTTCTCTCTTTGTGTGCTATATACAGTGTGGTAATCTGAACTAATGCACTTTTTTTTCGCAAAGTTCTGTATTCGTTTTTCTTCTCCATCCATTTCTCCATGTTATCTTTCAACAGAATTGCATCGAACAAAGAAACCTGTTAGTGTGTTGAAACATTTAGCTAAGTGTGCTACACAACTGCACACTGAACTGCAAAATTGGGCCAGAGAGAAAAATCTAGCATGGCCTGAAGGGCATTTAGATTCATTATTGGTGTTTGGACAATATATGGAGCGGATTGCTGCTACTGGGGTAAGATGATTCATAAGTTTATATATATATATATATATATATATATATATATATATATATATATATATATATATATATATGACTAAATTTGACTGTTTGTTATTATTATTTCCTTTAATTCCTGGAGGAACATAGGGCTTCAGCCGCACGTCTCCATTGCGTTCGCTTCTCTGTTGAGGTTTTCACTTGGCTCCAGGTCTGTCCACATGCTTTCATCTCCTCTTCACATCACCTCCTCCAATTCATCCTTGGACGAACAACTCGCCACTTCCCTTTCAGGTTCCACTGGAGGGCTTGTCTAGTGATGCCACTTGACGGTTTCCTCAGAGTATGGCCAATCCATCTCCATTTCTTCCTGCTTATTTGTTGCAGAATCGGTTCCTCTTGGGTTGTTTCACTCCTAGATATCCCTCCCTATTACTGATCTTTTCTGGCCGGCCATCTGATCTTCTATCTTCGCTCAATGTTGATGAAGGTCTGCAGTTTGTTTGAGGTGCCCTTTACGACACTCCAAGTCTCTGATCCATATAGTAAGCAGCACTGACTTCACACTGGAGTTGAAAATCCGAATGTTATTTTTAATGCTGAGTGGTGTTGACCTCCACACTGACTTTAGAGAAATGAAAGCTTGTCTTGCTCTCCCGATCCTTGCTTTGATATCCTCGTCAGTTCCGTTGACCTGTAGTTGAAACGATGCTTCCGATGTAGGTAGGTAATGGAGGCTGCTTCTTTCAGATTTCTCCTATTTATGTTGATTATCGTCTGTTATTGTTATTGTTGTTGGTGTTGGCCAAGAATCTTCATCACCTCTGTTTTCTTTATGTTCACCTGAAGTCCTATCTTCTCTGGATGCCTCTCTTGCCAACTTGTTCCTTTTCACTTGCATATCTTCCAGTTTGTGGTCAATCAAACACATATATCATCGGTGAAGTCGAGATTTGACTGTTTGACATTATTATGATTATTCTCCTGGGTTCTGAGTGGGACAAAAGTGGGCTTCAGAAGCAAATGACCAATTCACATTGTCCTCTGTCGTCTTTTTAAAAAGAAACTAGCTTCATAATCGTCTACAAGCTATCAATTCATCTTCACAGCATCTTCGTGTCAACCTCGGTTACCTAACTTGGGGTTTTTCTATCTGGGTTCCACTCGATAGCCTGACACATGGTTCACTGTGTGTGTCTTGTCAGAGTATATCCAATCCATCTCCATTTCTTCCTTCTGCATATTTATTGAGCGGTAGGTTGTTGACTGGTTCATTTCCAGGTCCCCTTGTTACTTAATTATACATTCTGGCCGACTGTGAGGCGAAAGGAGCTGTTCATAAAAGTCTGATATCTGTTAGAGATGCTTGTCGTTATGCATCAAGTGTCTGAATTGTGTTGGGGCACTGACCTGACATGTTGAAAATGTTGAATTTCTGATTAACGAACGTGTCCACCTTGCTTTTCCGATCGTGCTCTTGACATACTCATCCGTGCCGCTTGTAGTTTAGACAATACTGCTTAGTAGAGTGATTGATAGATTCCTACCGTACATGTTGTTGGTGGTTAGGTCTTTTCATTGGTCCAACGTATGTGTCTTCTCGCTCTCCATGGTTTGCTGATATGTTAGTCATTGCTTACAGGCTTTTTCAACCATAAGAATGGGGAATTTACGTCAATTATAGCTGTCTCTAGCAAGTTTCTAGGCAGTAAATTATTATTTATTTATTTAAAAGCAGAAAAAACTTGGTACATTATGGCACCAAGAAAGATGCGCTACACAATAATAATAAAACAACCTAGATTAAAAGTAAAAATATGAGTAGAAAACGGATAACGAACTTCATCTGGAAAGAAAACAGTCATACTTAACAAGTTCAAACAGTATTCGTCAACTATCATCGGGAAGGGAAGAAAGAAGGGAATTGCAACACGTTCACCACTGATGACTGCGATTCTTGGCCATATCCGATAACGTTTCAAGCCATCGATTCGAGCTATCTCGCGGACTCCAACCAGAGAGTCGTGACGCACCAACCGATGCTAATCTAGCACAAACATCCTTCATCCCACGACGCCACGTCATGGACTGACCACCCCTCCGCCTTTTTCACCCCGTCCTAGGGCTGGCTAGCGAACAAAGACATGTACGGAAGTCTCTGGGATGACATTCGCAGCACATGTCCAAGCCACCGGAGCCGGTGTTTCCAGATGACGATGACGCTCAATGAATGGTGATCTCCACTGTGTTCAAACACACGCTGCCGAACCTTAGAATTGCTCATGCGATGATGCCGTCGAACGCAGGCAGTCATGGGGAGACAGAGATGACCGAACACGCAGAGTCGACGCAAATCCTCAGCCTAATCGGAGAGGCCAGGTTTCACAGGCGTAGAGCAGGAAAGTCAGCACCGAAGCACTGTATACTCGACCTTTGACAGCCAGACTAAAGCCTGGTCGGCAGGAGACAATAAGTTAACTAATTAGTCGTCATTTCTCCCTTATTATAAATGTAAAAAGAGAGAGAGAGACGTGAAGACTTGCCTCGCCTCATATCAGTCAGTTGGGTAACGGTTTGACGAACTAGAGGGTAGGTGGGTCAGATGATTAAATTCCTATTTCAACACTATTCGAATCTCGTTTCACTTACCAGGCTTTTTAAGGCCAAGTAGTGTCATAGGTGTGTGCTCTATTGCCAGTTGCATAAGAATTCAAGTAGTTCATGAGTAGCACTAACATTATCAGTTTAAAAAAGTAAAACTCTGGTTTAAACAAGAATGTGTGTGCAAGCGTATTCATAGTATATTCTCGTCTAGACTGTTTTTCTTTGTAACACGTGTTATACACGCCTAGTCACCACCTTACTTTTCCAACCACGTTAGCTAATATAGGGTTAGATTTGAAGTTATTTCCTCATGGAGTACCTGAAAGAAAAAGAGCATTAGTGTTGGTGGACTCAGAGTTTCGAGGGAAGGTTGTTTGAAGCTGGTTACACACATTTAGGGACAATTTAACTTGCCTACAGCCACACTGAACCTCCCTGACATCCAGAACACACCCGAATTGGATATAGACGCTGGTCCGCCATCTGTAAGTGAGGTCACAAAAGCTATCAGTAATTTGAAACGAGGCAAAGCGACAGGACCCGACGGAATTATTCCGGAGGTGTTTAAATGTGGGGGTGACATACTAGTTTGTAGATTAACTGAGGTACTAGGCAAAGTCTGGGAATCAGAGACAGTGCCATCAGACTGGGGTAAGTCACTTATTATACCGATATTCAAGAAGGGAAACAAGTCCTCGTGTGATAATCATAGGGGGATCAGCCTAACGAACATAGTCTCTAAAATCCTAGGCTCAGTAATCATGCATAGACTAAGCAGAACTCGGGAGGAACAGACAAGGGAAAATCAAGCAGGCTTTAGACCAGGTAGAGGGTGCATAGATCATATCTTCACTCTTCGACAGATTCTAGAACATAGACACACTTTTCGGCGTCCAACAATTGTCATATTTCTTGACTTGAAGGCGGCCTTCGACTCCGTAGACCGAAAGGTACTATGGCAATGTCTGACTGTGAAGGGAGTGCCAAGAAAGTACGTTGCACTAATCAAGGCACTCTATTCAAACTCACGTAGTCGTGTAAGGGCTTATGGGGAATTGTCGTCTGAATTGGTAACAACCAGTGGTGTCCGACAGGGATGTCCACTTTCCCCATTTCTGTTTAACTTCATCATAGATATGATGATGGAAGTATCCTTGACTGAAAGTAATGACTTAGGAATCGACTTGTTACCAGGGAATAGTCTTATGGACTTAGAATATGCAGATGACATAGTCCTGTTAGGGGAGGATGGTGACAAAATGCAGAGTCTTCTGAACACCTTGAGCAGCAATCTTCGTATGTTTGGCATGCGATTCGCCCCTACAAAATGTAAGATGCTGCTACAGGACTGGACCACGTCAACTCCTAACTTAGTGATAGGGAGTGAAGTGATAGAACATGTTGACCACTTCACCTATTTGGGAAGTTGTATTAGCACCAACGGACTGATGGGCGATGAAATCTCAGCACGGATCCGAAAAGCTCGAGCTGCTTTCGCTGACTTACACCATCTCTGGCGTAGGCGTGACATCCGGTTATCAACCAAGGGACGTGTGTACTGCTCATCAGTTCGCTCCGTCCTTGTCTATGGCTCTGAAACATGGCCAATACGCGTTGAAGACATGAAAAGGTTGACTGCTTTCGATCATAGATGTCTGCGATCTCTTTCTCACGTTAGGTGGTTTAATAAGGTAAGTAATGCTGACGTTAGGCGTAGAGTGCTGGACAGAGAGGGAAAATCAATCGACGAAGCAATAAAGTTACATAGACTGAGATGGCTAGTTCACGTGCTGCGCATGCCTAACCACCGCCTCCCCCGACGGGCATTACTAGCTGATATAGGTGCAGGTTGGAAAAGAGCCAGTGGTGGCCAAACAAAAACATGGCATCAATCCATGAAATCCTTGACAGTTAAACTGATTCAGGTAGGGAGATGCAGACTTCCGGGTTGGGGCCCTCGGGACTCGAGGAATCAATGGCTGGAGACAATAGGTGACATGGCTCAAAATCATTGTCAATGGCCAGCGCAGATGTATTCAGTCTCTGTAATCTTTCATATTCCTTTCTACCATTACCCATTCTGTTTCACTCTTATACTTGTCAGACTGTATTGATTCTCTTCACTTATCTTCTTGTCTACTTCTGTGTGGTATTTGGAACGTGGCAACTCGAACTGCTGCACTTCGGTGCCAAGTTCTATGTTGAATCCAGACAGACAGACACACATTTAGAATCTTTTCATCGGCTACTGACTACCATTAGGTAAGTTGGGATGTAGAATTTTCGGTCTCAGCCTGCTATAACTTCCCTTCACCAGAGTGGGAAGACAGCATAAACGGCTTAGTAGTCATCTGAGGGAAACACCTTACTGCTGTTATCGCCCTATTCTTCAGCAGTGTAACTTCGCCCACGGACTGTTAACGACTTACACCCCTCATGGGTCAGTGTAGCCCTTGGGTCACTGGGATATGTAAGTTTGACCACTGTTATCCATGTAAGAAGCTGTTGGTCGGGACTGCTTGAACTGCTTCACTTCAGTGTAAAGTTCTATGTTGAATTTCACTCAGGTTGGAAAAGCGTTAACGGTGTCAAATCCCCCAAAATATCATTAATCCAGTATGCGCTTAACTGTTGGTTTGAACTATGTGAAGAGGTGTGGTGAACTGCCAGGTTGGGGTCCTCAAAGCACTAAGAGTCAATGACTAGACACCATGATGATGATAATGACTATGTTGGCGATGTGACTCGAAATTGTTATCAATGGCTCAGATGCTGCAGTCCCTTTTTTGTAATCCCTTAGATCCATCAAGTTCTTATGTTTTTTTTTCAGTGCACTTATTATTGTTCCCCCTTAGTTTTTCCAGGGTTTTTGATAAAGGACTATATCTTATTACGTAGGATGTTAAAGGTTGCCAGCTGGGTAAGCCACAGGGTGCCACTTAACCAGCTTGTTAATATTTTGGTCGACAGGCACTTGGCCTCATGTGAAAAATGGGCTAAATCCATTCTATCTATCTAACTCACACCACCCTCTTTAATCACAACTCTCCCTTTGTATTTCATCAGGCTGGACCAGAAGCCTATATGGAAAGCTATATGCTCGCACTAGCAAGTACAAAAGCTCAACCATACCCGACTTAGCTCGTCTCCTGTGCGATAAAGAAAGCATTAGGCGTGATACCTAACTTATTAAATAGTCAGTAGAACAACTGGATCTCGTCTTTCCAACTCATATCATTTATAGGTACCACGTTTTCTTTCTTTCATTTCGTTTTTTTGTTATGTGCTGCTTTGTTTCTTTCTTCCTTACAAACTCTGCTTAAAACATTCTTCTTCGTTCTTTCACACTCCGTACATCTCGACCTTTTTGTTACCGCTTACGCCAGTAAATATGCTACCATCTACTTTTCTAACACCTTCAAACATTCTGTTCAATTTTGGCTTTGCTACCGACATGCTAATATGTTGTTGTCAAAACTGACTGAGATAACTTTAATCTACGTAGAACTTTATATATTGTTAATGTACTAACTGGATGCAATATTGTAGTAAAATGCTGAGAATTCCATTCCAATCAGCCAAATCCCTACAAACCAATACTTGAATATCAATGAGATGCTCACTGGCCACTGGCCCTATTCAGGTAGGTAGTTACCTGGGGTTCCAGTGGGAAGTCGTGACCAGTAGGGTGCAGCAGGTTGGGTGTGAGGACAAATACTCGCCGAAGACATTGGCTAGCGGTTGCGCTATATCGTGAATTGGCAGAAGGTAGAATTCATGGGCCATTGGATTGGATCCCAGTGGCTTAATGGTATACGAGCTCGCCTTGTAATCAGGAAGTCCTGGGTTCGAACCTCCTGTGGTGGGTGTGTAATGATGAAGAGTCCAAAACTAGGACGAAACAGCTGTCCTCTACTCCCAAGTTTTCAAAAGGTTCTCTAACTGATGTCAGCTCATGATGGAATAATAATAATCACTTTATTCCACAACAATAACAATTTACAGCATGGAATTTTCAGCGTTTCTTTTACATATTGCAATGGTTTAGCTCTGTTTATAATTATATAAATGTATAAAATGTTAAAATATTGATAGTTAATAGGAAAAAATAAAATCCCCAACAAAATCACACCATTGCTAGGTCATAGTGAATAATAAATAAATAATATAACAAATAACACATGCATTAATATGCATCATTACATTTTATAGTTTAGTTAATGATTCAAAAGTTGTAAAAGTTCTTTTCTGATATTTGTCTCTTCACACAATACTCGTGCCAAATATGGAACGGTCGAATTTTTATATTTTGTAGTACGAGCATAAATGTTTATAAAATTTCTTCTGGTCTTACCCGAAGAGATACAAGGAAACAATTGTGAATAAAGAGGATGTTCACTATCAGATAAGATAACTTTAGCTAAGTGTTTACAAGAATTCATATGCCTATTGACAACAGTGTCATTTAGTTCAGTCAAAGGGATAGCACTGACCCTACTTACAGCCCTCAATGTTCTTCGTAGTATTATATGGTCTTTCTTGAGTAGCCCAGGGAAGAATAATGGAGAACAATAAAGAATGATGGGCAAAACACATGAATTAATAAATTGTATGATAAGAGATTGGGTTATACCTGAGTGTCTCAACTTCTTTATGTAATAAGTCAGACGGAAAACTTTCTTAGAAACTATAAGAATATGAGACGACCAGCAAAAGTTTGAAGAGAAACTAATGCCAAGATAAGAAACACTTGACTTACTCTCTATCATGGTACCATCAATATTACAACAATCATGAGATTGAATCAATCCATGCATGTCTTTTTCACTTCTCAAGCTAAAATCAACAGTGTTACATTTAGTTGGATTTAGTTTAAGACCATTTGAGCCAGACCAATCCTTAACTTCAGCTAAGAAGCCATTCATATGGGAACAATCCGATGTGGAAACTACAGGGACAGAAACGGTCAGATCATCAGCATACTTAATGAAGTTAACTTTGGGTGAGTTCGGAAGGTCATGCAAAAAGAAAGAGAAAAGAAATGGAGAAAGTACTGCACCTTGAGGCACACCACTTTCAGTTAGCTGAGAAGTGGAGCGCTTTCCAGCCAAAACAGTATGCTGTTTCCTATCCTTAAAATAAGAAGACAGCCATCTAGTTGCCCAGGACTCTGTTTGTGCTGAAATCATCTTTCCTAATAAAAGTGTCCTAGGAACAGAGTCGAAAGCTGCAGTATAGTCTAAGAAAGCTGTTCGAACGAACTTAGCGCCCTTATCAAGGCAGGAAACAATATTGTGGTGTAGTACAATGGCTGCATCTAATGTACTTCTTCCACACTTATAAGCAAACTGCTTAGGGTCACTAAAAGCTTTTAAAGAAGGTTTAAGAATATTCAAAAGAAGTTTCTCCATAGTTTTCAAAAAAGGAGATGTTATAGCGACCGGTCTAAACTTTATACCTGCTCCAGAAGATGATTTCTGTACAGGTACAACCTTGATTTCTTTCCAGTCAGCAGGTACCGTTTCCCTGTTAAATGATGCGTTAAAGATTTGAGTAAGAGGATGACACAAGATGTCTGCACACTTTTGAAGAAGAATGCTTGGTACACCATCTGGACCAAGGCTGTGTGTTGGATTTAATGATTTCAAACATAATAGTACATCCTTTTCTTTAAAACCCGGAAAATGACCATTTTCTTGACTAGGTACATCAGGTACAACCATATTAATTTGTTTCTTGATAAATGATTTGTTTAAAGCATTAATATCAGAATAAGCATCAACAGACATTTGTTTTTTATTGCATGGAGGATTTCATCATGAGCTGACATCAGTTAGAGAACCACAGGAAAACCTGGGAGTACTGGACAGCTGTTTCGTCCTAGTTTGGGACTCTTCAGCAGTACGCACCCACAGGGGTTTGAACCCAGGACCTTCTGGTTACAAGGCGAGCTCGTAGACCATTGAGCCACTGGGACCCGATCCAATGGTCCTTGAATTCTAACTTCTGCCAATTCACGATATAGCGCGACCACTTCGCAATGTCTTCTTCGATGAGTTACTGCTTCATCTTCAACCTGCTGTACCCTACTGGTCACGGCTTCCCACTAGAACCCCAGGTTAACTACCTGAATAGGCCAGTCACTAGTGAGCATCAGATTAATTTTCAAGTTTTGGTTTTGTAGGGATTTTGTTTGATTGCATGGAGGATTTCATCATGAGTTTTTTACTTGTAAGTTTATTGAAAAGTTTCCAAATGTTTGAAGGATTTTTACATGATAAAAATTTTTCATTATATAGTCTGTTCAACCTTTCTATTTCAATTTTTATAAGGGTGTTTATTTTACGGACACCAGTTATATCACAATTCTTATACAACTTCTCTTTTTGTCTTCTAAGTTTTTTCAGTTGCAAAGAAGAGATTCTGTCAAATCTCGAAAACAGTGTTTCATATGGACAGCAAATTTCCAAACAAAACTTCAGATAATCGGTTATATTAGAGACAGTAGCATCCAACTTATCGTCAGTAAATAGTTCCCAGTTGGTATCATACAACATGCTTCTTAGTCCTATAACCAATCAACCAAATCCCTATAAACCAATACTTATTCATTTAATCTCCCATTATTTTTTTTTTTTTTGATGATAACAATCGCTCATATTTTATTCATTTGTTTCTTATTTTCGGTCTTGTTTCAGCCTTTTCGTACACTAATCCACTTACTTATACTAATTTTCAATACGGAATCAATGGATATTAAGAAGTTATTGACCAATGTTATATCATCAGTTCGCGAATCAGATAGAGTACTAGAAACATCATCATCATGTATTGTAGGAAATGAGACATCTGAATTGATTGACTTGACAACTAATTCAGATAGTGAACAAGATGAATCTTGTGAAATTACAACTGAGATTGAAGGTAAGTGAGAGGTGTTCATGTATTTTATATTTTGATCAGCCCTTTTTTATTTATGAACTTGATCGTAATTTATGTGATTCTCCTTGTGTGTAGGTGTGTGTGTGTGTGTATATGTAAAGTGGATAGATGCATGTATATTAGATAGTTGGAAGCAGTCGACAGGAAACCCTAGACCCTAAGTTTCGTGCTTATTGGCACTTGTTTGCAAGGTGTATTTATTATCTTCGAGGAACTAATGTCCCATCTGAGCGGCGAACCCATCAGGGAATTTTTCTATGAACTGTTTTGGGGTTCGCAACTGACCTCCTGTAGAACTGTAAGGGGCGGGGGGTAGTAAACAGTGTTATGCATCTGGTCACTGATATAGTGCAAACTGAATCCTATCAGTCAAGTTTGCAGTGTGTGGTCACCACCACCAAGGTAGGTGACGAGTGCCAAAAAGCGCAGAACCTAGGTCAAACAGGACCTCTTTCTGGTTGTCTCCAATTGCCTAATGTCAAATTAAAGTGCACTGTGAAGGAGAGTCGTGCAATTCGGTGATTTCATCGCCAACTTAACTGATAAAATTCAGTCTGCACCACATATTATTCCCTTATGCTCCGAGTGAAACATAGGGATAGCTTCAACAACACATCTCCACTCTGTTCTGTTTTTTTTTCTGCCGTCCTCTTCAACTGGTTGAACGATTGACCAAACTCTCTCTTATCTCTTCCTCACACGATCTCCTCTATGTCACCCTAAGATGACTCACTTGTCGCTTCCCATTCGGATTCCACTCGAGCACTTGCCTGGCGTGTAATGTTATTCGACGGCTTCCTGTACGCCTGACCGATCTCCATTTTCTCCTAAATATTTGTTGAGCGATCGGCTCTTGGTTGGTTTGTGCTTATTTTTTTTTTCTGGCCATTTGATCTTCAGTATGGAGCCAGCGAAGGCGCATCTGTTGATGAAAGTGCGCATTAGTCTGTTGGAAATCCTTTTCGTGACACTCAGTGTTGAAGATACGAATCTTGTTCCTTATGATGGCTGAGTGTGGGGAAGATTTTCAAACTGGTTTTAGGTTGATAAGGGGCGTATCTTACCTTTCCGATTCTGACTGGCTGGCTGGCTGGCTTTGACATCTTCATCCGTTCATCCGTTTGTAGTTGAAATGATGCTTCCCATATAAATGAAGGAAGCGACCTCTGTTACATTTCTCCCGTTAATAGTGATAAGTGCTGGTTGTTATGGCTGTTGATTGGTGAGTATCTTCATCACCTCCGACTTCTTTGTGTGTTCACCTGCAGTCCTGTTTTCGCTGCCAATCTCTTCTGCCAGTTTGTTGATTTTTGCTTGCAACTCCTCGAGTTTCTGTGACATTAGACATTATATCATCTGCGAAATCCAGATCTTATAGGGTCAGTGTAGTGTGTTTCTGTCTTCTCACACTCCCTGTGCAAAGTCGGACTCATAATCCAGTCCACTACAATTAAGATTATCATCGGTGATAATAGGCAGCCAACCTTATCTTACTCCTCTATACACTTCGAATGCCTCGCTGAGTTTTCCGTTGTGGATCACTTGACATGTGGCATCATCATATAGAGCCAGCTGTTGAATGAGGTTGATCAAGATTTGGGCACTGCACGCCGTAGTGTTGAAGTAGTTTCCGAATTACCATCTCGGTCTAGGCTATCTGGTGAATGCCTTTCCGAAGTCGATGAAGTTGGGGCAGAGAGAGGTTTGACTGCCATTCAATGTTTTGTTCTGTGATGGCGATGCGTAAAGTTGCAATTTGATCAGCGCTCATGATTCGCCTTTCCTGAATCCAGCTTGCTCCAGGATGATGCGACTAAGTATTTTACTTGGTGTGCAAATGAGCATTATTCCACGCTAGTCAGTTCTTGCACAGGCCTAAGTTGTCCTTCTTTGACAGTTTAACGAGTTAACCAGGGACTAGACGCATGCCACTATCTACTTGGTGAAAACCCGAAGTAGGCGTGAATATCCACGAAGTGTAGCTCACTAACAACATATATATCCATGTGGTAAATGACATACGGCATGACCAAATGAAGTAGAGCGATCCACGTGAGTGAGTGAGTCACCAAACTAAAATGATCTTGAATGGCTTTGCAGAAATATTCACAACATTGTAAATCGTTCTTCGGATTTTTCTTTTTGATTCATTGTTAGATGAAACGCATACCAGCTACACACAAGGCTTATGGAGGTGGGTAGGGAGGTTTGCAAAACACAATATTCCAGCAGTAATGCGTCGGTGGTACAGCGGTGGTCGGAGGTGAGTGCCTTGGGCTGCGGGTTGGCCACCCCTCCGCACACCTCTTGAAATGCTCCCATATGACCGGGCGTCTTACATAGCCTCTCCTGAGGAAGTCCTACTCACCGCCTTCACGTGGCGGAGGTGTTTTTATCACCGAAATGAGAGGGCAAAAGCGGATGCCCAGCGCTCTTCACCGGGTTGACTGTCCATTGGATGACAGTCTAGGGAAGATGGCTAAACCCTGATTCCAAACCTCCAACGACTGGCGTATGAAGCTCACCGGAGCTCACCTGCAGACGTATGGACAAAGGGCTTATTGGATGCCCTGGATGTCTGGCCCCATTCAAAAAGGTGTATGAACCGGACTCCGGTCACCGGCTGACAATGGATAGTGGACTCCCTACTCCACTCCTACTGCCTTGTAGGTCACACTTGGTTGTGTAAAGGCTAGAGCTGCACTCTCAAACAAAAGGTCGAGCGATGCTGGGGACATCACTCGCACCCAATTCCCATGAAACTTCACGGGTTCATGAAGCCGGCTCATCCTCCCGTAGGAGATAGCCGAAGTAAAGTAAGTAAGGTGGAAACTTCCATCAACCACGTATGTGGCTTAGGGTTTAGTCGACGGCTTACGGACTCTTAAACGTTACTTAGCCAGCCTGTAGTGAGCCTGGGAAAGAGGGAAGGTTGGACATGAGACTAACTACCCCCCACCCCACTAAAAGATGAAACCACTCCTGTTGAAACTTCAGAGCTCAAGATTGAAACCTTATGTTCCACTCGGAAGGCCATGGAATAAAATTTAAAAAAATAATAAAATAATTCCAGCAACAAATGTGTCGCTAAATGACATGACACACTCGTCTCAATGATTTCGCTGACAAACCATGTGGTTTAGATGGACTAACGCTAAAAGCCCCCTAATGACAAAACTGGAAGACACTTCCAGCACATACAAGAGATTTCCATCCTGTTATGATTATTTCATCCTACTTAATTTATTTCCTAGATAAAGTTCCCTATCCAGTTAACGCGCTTAGTTGTTGGACGTCATTCAGTCTAGCTAGACATACTATGCCTGTTTATATCATATCTCGTTATGTTACTTTTTCATAAAGTATTGTTCACCTTCAAATCATAAAAATCATATTTAATCCCTTCGCCTTCTGAGTGGAACATGGTGGGGTGTTTTCTTTTACGAGATAAAGTTGCTAGGCTCATGCCCAACCTTCCCTATTTACCAGGCCTACTAACGCGTAAGCGAGTCTTTGGATTGTGTCGACTGAGAATCGAACCCCAAACCACATGGTTGATTGGTGAGCATTCTCCCACTGTGTCGTCGGTGCACAATGCACTGGTTAGTATAGATTGTAAATGAAGAGGCTTGCTCTTAACAGATTATTGATTTTCAGAAGAATTTATACTGAACAGAGAGTACTCTTTTCGATAGCTTCATCATCAGGCTCAACAGTTATACATACATTATAGTGAATGAATGAATTAGTGTTATGAACAAAATTAATGTTGTTTAAATAACATCGAATCAATAATACTAATACATTGCAGCTCAGTAACGTCAACATAAAATAAGCTGAATGTCAGAAAAAATTAGGAAAGATAATAATACAAATTCACGAATGTATAGTCTCTACTGAAGGCTGGCTAGGACAGCAGTAGGGGCTGGTTGAACTTGCTTCTTTTGAAAACAGAGCACTGGTTGTTTCACGCGAGTTGCGATAGCCTCTGCTGTTTGGAGCATGCGGTAGTTCAATGATTTTGGCAATTTATTAGGCACCCGGTAGATGATGATAGAGAAGAATTCTTCCACGGTGGCTGGCTTTGTTGTCCAGTTTTCAACAGATAGTCCAATATTGAACTGTTTTAACTGGTTTTAACTACACCCTTACTTAGCCAAAGAGGGATATGTTCTCTAGCACGAAAAATCAAGTTCTTAGAGCGACGGCCAATATAACTCTCCCCACAAGCGCAGTTGAATTGGTAGATGTTATTCGGTAGATGGTGACTAGCGGTGTAATCGGAGTTGTGCATCTCGTCTTATTTCAGACTCGTAAATTGGATATACCTGTTGTTTTCCCTGAGTATTGGTGGCGTTTCGTTTGAGACTCGAACCCCCCCCCCCAGTACCTATCGTTTCAAATAACAAAGTGTTGTCCACTAGACTGTTAAGGCCACAATCGTTTCTGAGTTTGAGTCTTAACGGAATGCTATCACATATCAATCACTTGAGATTGTAGAACACATCCAGCTGACAAGTTCCCATTGGGACGAAATGCACATCTTGGATTCCACTGTTGCATAGTTACCATCCACTGAATAACATGATGTTGTTATTCCTGAGACATAGTTGAGGCGCCTGTTCCAGGAGGAGCCGAAAGGTCAACAAAGACTGAATATTTCAGTCCATTATACAGTCAATCGACGGGAAAAGACAAAAATTGGCTTCAACAAAATCCCTAACCAATATGCATCTATATTTATATGTATGTGCCTTCATTTTCCATTCATTTCAGATGCCATCGTGAATAAATATCCCAAACTCACTGAGATTGTAAATAGATTTAATCAGCTATTAAGCCGAGAAGTTGAGAATCATGATGAACAACTCTCACAAAGTTTATGGTTATCACTTGCATCACTGGAGAGAGAAGTTTTACAGTCATTAGAAGGGAAGAAAAACTGCAACACCACGACTAGTGGCAGTAGTCATTCACGATCTTTGTTGAGTTATCTTGCAGAGGCTATAAATGAAGACGAAAGTAGTGTAATTCCTGTAAGTGGAAGAATGTAGTAGTAATGATATTTTCATAATCATATATATTTGTATGTTTTGAATAAACTTATTTTAAAAGACTGAGATTGATCAATGAAGAGCATTCTTTTTGATAACTTTTCCATCAGGTTTTATAGTTACATGTCCCTAATAATCAATTTTTTGTTATTAATAATTTAAACAGGCATACTATTTGGCCGCATCCAACACTTGCCATATGTCTTTACCTGAAGGCGACAGTATTTGACTTCGTCTACCAAGAGGTACTGTGGCAATGTTTTTGTCTTTGAAGCGAGTGTTGAGAAAGTACATTGCACTAATATTAAAGCACTACTGGAACTTACGCGGCTTCATAAGAGATTATAAGGAGGTTGTCATCTTTAGTGGTGTCTGTCAGAAATATCCACTGTCCCTATTTTTGTTTAATTTCATCATACATGTACTAATGGAATTGCCCCTATGAGACTTTAACGACTTAGGGGTTAACTCATTGCCAGGGGATAGTCTTATCAACTTAGAGTATGTAGGTGATATTCCCTTCCTCAGTTGAAAACGCTGGGAAAATATGGAGTCTTCTGAATACCACGAGGAGAAATCTTGGAGTGTTTAACATGTGATTTACGCCTGTCAAATGTAAGGTGGTGCTGTAGGACTGAACCGTGCTGACTTCTTGCTTAAAGATAGGGGGTGAATTGGTTGGGTGTGTTGACTACTTCACTTATTTGAGAAGTTGTATCAGCCTAGATGGACTGATTTCTGACTAAATCTCAGCACGGATACAAAGGGAGAGTGTGGAATTTTTTAACTTACCTCATCTCTGGCGTAGACATACTATCCAACTACTGCTCAGTAGTTCGCTTCGTCCTCCTTTATGGCTATCAGTGAGGTATCGCCATTGGAATTGAAAGACATGAAAAGGTTAGCTATCTTCGATCATAGGTGCCTGTGTTCTGTCACCCGAGTAAGGTGGTATAATTGGCTGAGCAATATTGAGGTTAGGCATCGATCGACTGCTAGGTAGGTAGGGAGAATCAATCGACGAGGTTGTGAAGCGGTTACATCGATTGAGATGGCTAGGTCGTGTGTTACGCACGCATCCCTAGCCATCGACCGCCTTCCTCGACAACAGGCAATGCCAGCTGACATATGATGGATAATATTGGAAAAGAGCCAGTGGTGGTCAAACCAAAACATGGCTTCATCTATCAGTCAATGAATAAATCCACAACAGTTAGTTTAAGCCAGTCAGCCAGCCCGGCACATAAGGAGGTGTAGACTTCCTGATTGGTTGGGGTCCTCAGGACAGCTGGAGACAATCGATGATATGGCTCAAAATCGTTCTCAATGACTCAACTGCATTCTCTGTATGTTATCTCTTAGATGCATTACGTCCCTGATTATTCTCCATGTAATTATTCTTTCTCCTATGCATATATTCTCACTGTAATTATTTTTCACCTCAGTCAGTGTTGTGTTTCTTTGTCTGATATATAAGAACATGACAAGTTGAACTGGTGGTGCACTTTTGTGCAAAGTTCTATATTTGAACTCAGTCAAGCTAGTCAGCCAGTTAAGCTTTGATTGTTTTATTTATTTATCCATTTATTATTATTATTAATTTTTTTATAGCTTCCACTCAGTATGGCAACCAGATTTAAACAAGAAAAGTCACATGATGATAGTGAAAAAATCGGTACTTCACCTGAAGAATTGTCGTCTACTACATCAAAAGATATAGATCCTTCACTAGTATTTGATTTTATACAAAAGTTAACGTGTATTTCTTCAAGGAGTAAAGAGGTGAGTGATTGTACTATTTATTTATCAGTGGGTTTATTTTCAATCATACATGTCTTTTTGGATTAGAGTCCTCAACCTGTGTAGCGTCATGGACTGACTACCTCCTCTTGTTGAATCCAATTCCATGAGGCGCTAGCTAATAATAATGAACGGTATGAAAACCGCCGAGACGACATTCGTAGCTGCTTGACACATATAAACTCACCAGCAGAGGGAATAAAATTCACCTCTGAATCGGAAAATGAGCAAGGAGAATTAGCTGAAGTGTTAAATTGTAAAATAAAACGAATAGAAGAAGGTAAACTGCACACTAGTGTGTACAGAAAACCAACGTATTCTAATAGATATTTAGACTTTAATTCATCACCTCATCCGCTAACTGTTAAGGCAGGCTTAGCTAAGTGTTTAACAAACAGAGCAGTGACACTAAGTGGCACAAGAAGAAACCTAAATGACAAAATAAAACAGATAGAAGAAGCGTTGGTGGCACATTGGTTAGGACTCTCGCCGACCATGCACATGGTCCGGGGTTCGAGCCCGCACCGACGCACACCTGATATCTATGGTCGGCCTGCAAAATTTGGGCTACCGATATCCATGCTGAAAATTCCATACTTGTACCGAAAATACAGTGTGGAATCAAGCTGTAAATCAAAAATAAAAAAATATAAAATTCATTAGGAAGATCGAAAAAGTCCAAAAGCAACATAAAAATAATTGTGGAACTGGTAATGATAACACAAGACAATAAGACAGAATATAAATCATCCACTGTTATGCCATATAAGGAGGGGACATCTGAGACCCTCACCACATAGGATTCTTAATAGAGCAGGAATTAGGGTGGCAATCAAACCTACAAACTCACTCAGGTAGGACAAGCTCTGTAGGTTAAAGGACCCAGTTGACCCAATTCGACAAAATAATATAATTTACAAAATACCCTGCAATCACTGTGAGCTATGTCAACTACATAGGTCAAAGTAGCAGGTCACGAGGAGTCAGATTATCAGAGCATAAGCATTTAGCTAAGTGAAGAATGGTTGACCCTGAAAAAGATAAATAATTTAGAAAAAGGCTCAGCAATTGCATTTCACGCATTAACAAAGAGCCACACAATAGGGTGGGATAGGGTTAAAATTTTAAAAAGTAATATAGGTAGGTGGAGAGATAGATCGATTACTGAAGTGTGTGTGAGGACAAATACACTTGTCGATAACTGTCAAACACTCCTTGTACTTCATACTTAATTCTTAACTTTTCTTATTTTGCTTTAATTATATTATGCCTAGGAATTGTGTAAACTTGTCTGTGACAATTTGAATATTGTCCATTCATCAAAATTAGATCAGTTCATTGATTCTATCTTATCTCAACTAACTGATAGTAATGAAGGGAATCAGATGAAACCATTGGTATATCAGTAAGTTGATTATAATAATAATAGTTTATATGCTGTTTTTGTGTTTAAAAAAATGGTGTCCACATGATAGTATGTATACATATTACTGATTATTATGAGTAGTTAGGTTATATCACTACCATCTATCTAGCAAGTATTTATGAGTGATGTATTTAGGTTTCGACTACTTACATCGATCGTCAGTACATAGAGTCATGCTGTGTCACTTGCGTTCTTGTTTGAAATTCAAAGTATCATTTTTTTATGCGTCTCAGTCAAGTGAACAACCACAGGGGAATCAGAAAAACTCAAGTTTAAAGAAAGTCAACTCACACAGACCTAATACTGAATTACAACAGCAACAATCCAATATCACACAAAAGGAATTGCATACAAACACTATTCAAGAGGGCCAGCCCGAACTCATTGCGGCACTCCCACCTTAAGGAAAATTGTAGAAAAATATCTCATGGACGTCTCTTCCAAAAGAATGGATATCCATGGAATTTCATCAAAAGACATATACCGTCAAGCCAACCTATCCAAGCAAAAGTACCCAAGGAAAGCACAAAGAAAATCGCCTTACCATATATAAAGGATATCGCAGAAATCACTTCAAGACTCGTCAAACACCTTTAGGAACTAACGTACACAAACCAACAAGATCACTTCACTCAATTCTATGTCAACCAAAAGACTGAACAACGAAAGAAGATAAAACCAACATCATCTACAAAATAAATTGTAACAACTGCGGAAAATACTACATTGACCAAAGTGGACGTCCCCTTCGTCTTCGTATCCACGATCATAAGCTAGCCGTCAAAAGACATGACATCCACTCCCTCATTTTACTGCATACAGACAATCACGGACATCAACTCGACTGGGACAACCAGCGTTCAAATATTAGACAGAGGAAGCGCCAAGAATGCTGGAGGATTTTTAGAAGCCAGCCTAACATTCCAGTGAATCATCAATCAATAGACACATCGAGATAGAATAAATTTATCAACCGATAATAAAGAAACTTAACACACAAAAGGCCAAAGAAACAATCAGTTCGAATACAAGTAGCCTAGAAGGTGTGAAAACACATAAAAACAACCAATCACGCCCAAGGTTACCAGGAGAGATGACTAATAAACTCGTGGAGAAATCTAAAAGCTCACCTTAATTCAAATTGAAGTATGCGCTGAAGATGTTGCCTAGTAGAGCGATGAAAGCTTCGCTAATTAACTATCCAGCTCAGATAACACAACCACATCAAAATCATCCACCTGAGCTACAAATCTTCTCCATCATATCTAAAGTATCATACAGACCATATATAGTGTGATCTAACTATTTAAGTTTTTAAAGGAGACGGTTGTATTATTTATTTTCCCATCGAACTGTGTAATTTTGTAAGCGATGAGTCGAAATTCCTGTGCCTGTTTTTTTCTGTAATATTTGTGCATTTGAATGGGGTGTACATTTTTACCATGGAGTTGGAACATTGATTTATTATTCCGTTGGGTTCCGAGTGGAAGAACAGTTTCAGCAGCACATCTTCTTTTCATCCTGTTATCTGTAGTCTTGTTTAGCTGGTCTGACTATCACCCATAGGCTTACTTACGAGATTTCCTCCATGTCACTCACAGTCCTGTGGCCCAGTCCTTGTTTCCTATCCGGGCGCCTGGCGTATCATATCACTCAACGGTCTCTTCAGCTTATGTGCAGTCTGTCTCCATTCCTCTCTGTGCGTATTTGTCTGACGGTAGGTTATTGGCTTGTGGTCAGCTGTCAAATTTCCTTATGATTGGCAATTTGTTCTTCAGCATCCAGAGGGGAGGCAGTTGCTGATCAAAGTCGACAGTAGTAGTCTGTTTGAAATGCTTTTGGTGACGAACACTAATTCTCCGGAACATATACGACCGCTGCTCCAACCAGGCTGTCTACAATTCCTTAAGTGGCTCAGACTAACAGTGTCAAGAACTTCATGGATTGATACCAGCCTCTGATTTGACCATTTCTAGCTCCCTTCTTTGGGTCGATGATGGAATGCTTGCCAACATATGCTGAAAGCATGCCTTTCATTCCCATCCGACTCAGTTCTAAACCTCACCTAGTCTGCAGTTCTGTAATATCATGGAAAAGAATGAAGGTTATGCATGAGGCTAGCAATGGACTCGTCAAAGGACAATACCACTGCTCCTGAAACTCTGGAAAGCTTGTAACCTTATCTTCTACTTGAAACTCAATGATTTAGAAAAGATTTCCAACGCAGTCCTGCCCCAGCTAACATGGTTTAACGAGACAGGCGATTGCTTGATTATTATTATTTCCATTAATTCCTAGAGGAATATGGGGCTTCAGCTGCACGTCTCCATTGCGTTCGGTTTTCTGCTAAAGTTTTCATCTGGCTCCAAGTCTGCTCACATGCTTTCATCTCCTCTTCACATGACCTCCTCCAAGTCACCCTTGCACTGACGACCAACTCCCCACTTCCCTTTCGGGTTCCACTCGAGCGATGGCTTGTCTAGTGATATCACTTGATGGTTTGTTTTCTCAGAGTATGGCCAGCCAATCCGTCTCCATTTCTTCCTGCTTATTTGTTTCACAATCGGTTCCTGTTGTGTTGGTTTGCTCCCAGAGATCTCTGTTGCTGATCTTTTCTGGCCGGCCATCTGATCTCGAGTAGTATTGAACGAAAACAGCTGTTGAAGAAGGTCTGTAGTTTGTTTGAGTTGATCTTTATGAAACGCCAAGTCGCTGATCCCTATTGTAAGTAGCACTGACTTCACATTGGAGTTGTAAATCCGAATTTTTTTCATACTGAGTGCTGTTGACCTCGACACAGACTTGAGAGTAATGAAAGCTTGTCTTGCTTCCCCGATCCTCACTGCTTTGATATCCTCATTAGTTCCCGTAGCCTGTAGTTGTGAAACGGTGCTTCCCAGATAGGTAGGTAGGTGAAGGAGGTTGTTTCAATCAGGTTCCTCCCATTTATGGTGTCTGATTGTTGTCTGTTGTTGTTGATGTTGTTGTTGGCCAGGAATCTTCATCACCTCTGTTTTCTCTATGTTTACCTGAAGGAACTCCTATCTTCTATGGATGCTTGTTCTGCCAGCTTGTTGCTTTTCACTTGCATATCTTGCATCATATCTTTGTGCAATCCGAAATACACACAAAACCTCTCTAATCCTCACGTCAGCGAAGTCCAAATCCTCCTAGTTTTTCGTGAGGGTCCATTTTACGCCTGTTTCCCTGCTGCCCGCTGCCTGTTGCATTATCCAATCTACTGTAATCAGGAAAATCATTGGCGATAGTAGGCAGCCAGCTTGTCTTACTCCCGTCTTCACTTCGAAGAATTCGGTTAGTTTCCGGTTGTGGATTATTTGGGATGTAGCATCGTGGTACAACTGTTGGGTGAGATGTATAATTGTCAGTGGAACCCCGTAGTAGCGAAGTAGTTGCTTGATATGCATAACATATTTCTTAACCGTCTCAGTCGATGTCGCTTTGCATCCTCATTGATTGATTTGCACCCCTTATCTAATATTCTAATACTAACTTCAATATAAATCACCATATTATACCGCTTTGCACCTGAGAAAGAACACAAACACGTATACCCAGCTTATTTCATATCTTCATCTTTAATGGTCATCTCTCATAGCCTTAAAGAGGGACGGAGCGAGAGGCTGCTTATTACACATGTCTTTGAATCGATAGCCTGATACCACGTCTACGCTCAAGATGATGCAACTGGGCAAATGCTGAACAAACCTTTTGTATCTATGCTTGGAGTCGGTGTATATATTCATGGTATATATATATATATATATATATATATATATATATTTATATATATATATATAATTTACATCAAAGAATAATTTGTTACCTTTATTTTTCCAGCCATTCTGTTAATCTGCCAAGTATTTTAAGTATTGAAGAAATTCAACGATCTGCTGGTTCAAAGTCATCTGATATTGTTTCTCGTTTACTTACTCAACGTGATTGTGTACTAAATTTTCTGTCGGCTTGTCCATCTCTAATGGATTTAGAGGTATGGTCACAATGGTATCAAGATGGTTTATTCTATAATCGTTGGGGTAGTTTGGACACATTTCTTGTCGAAGCTGGAAGTGATCAAGGCGAGTTTATATTATTTTTTAAATAAAAGAACTTAAAATAGCCAAAGCATTAGAGGTTCATGGTTTCTAAGCTGTGGTTTGATTGTTGAATCAAATTTATCGCTTCCTCAAATCCTCTCTATCCTTTTTTATTTATCAACCATCTTTGCAATTCTATGCAGTTAGCAATGAGTCACACCTACCGTGTAAGGACGTAATTCGGATCGCCTGACCAACTAGTCGGAAGTCGAGTTGCTAAAGCAATGAGACATAGCTCTACTCTAGTTGATTGAAGATGCGTAAATTGTAATAATAATAAAGACATAATAGCAAATAGAATATGAACTAAAATTAGGAAAATTCCACAAAAATTCAGGATCATTCAAACCTAGATTGCCAAGCGGGTAATGATAATGTCTGAACTAACTTCTTTTGGATGCACAAATTAGGCTTGTTAATATGGATCCCAACAGCCAGCCTCAGCAATACTTGGTAGTCGAACTCTTAAGGCAAAGTGAGAGAGAATAACACTCTGAATGGATTTTGGTTTTGTCCTTTGCTTAACCACGCACGGTAATGTTCGGAAATTCGACGATAAATTCGACGAAATTCGACGCCTAATTGTACGGCCTATGTACCTGGCTCCACAGGAGCAGTTAAATTGCTAGATACACAGATACACAGAAAAGAGGATGGCACAATAAGAAGAAGTGTTTATAGAAAACCTACATCAATGGGTCACTATACTCATTTTCTTAGCTTCGTGCCCTTGAAATACAAACGCAATCTGATAAAGTACTTAATGTTCACACAGGAACAGCAATTTGCTCAGATGAATGTCTTGATGAGGAACTTGATAATATTAAACGGTCGCTAAGTGGAAATGGTTATCCTGAAAAGTTTATTGATAAGAATATGAATCTGAAACCAAAGCAGCCAAAGTTACCAACAGTTCCAAAACAGGCCTTATTCTTACTGATTCAGTTCCTTCGGGACAACACCAGCGAGATACTAACACAGCGCCTTAGAAATGAGGTAAAAAGAGCATTCCCTGCTGCCAAATTACTCTGTACCTTTATAACCACTCCTCTTCTGCGTTCGGGAGTAAAAGACAAACTGCTTGATTTCGCCTCTTCCATGTATATCTACCAATTTAACTGGTCATGTAGAGCCAGTTGGTTGCATAGGCCGTACAATTAGGCGTGTATCTCGTCGAATTTCCGAACATCACCCTGCGTGGTTGGTTAATTAAAGGATAAACAAAATCTATTCGCAGCGCTATCCTGTCTCATCTTGTGGATACAGAACACAAGACTGACGTTAGCCATGCTTTCAGAGTCATTTACCGCATACCTACGAATCTCAATTTCACCTTAAGAGTTCGACTACCAAGTAATGTTGAGGCTGGCTGTTGGGATCCATATTAAGAAGCCTAATTTGTGCATCCAAAAGAAGTTAGTTCAGACATTATCATTACCCGCTTGGCGATCTAGGTTTGAATGATCCTGAATTTTTGTGGAATTTTCCTAATTTTAGTTCATATTCTATTTGCTATTATGTCTTTATTATCACTATAATTTAAGCATCTTTAATGAACTATAATCGCATTCATCTTACTTTACAAATCGATATTATTTAAAAAACAGTAATGGCTCTACTCTGTCTGCTGTATCTGTCAGGTAATTTTGTCAGCCTCTACACACTATAGGGGTGCAGTTTATTGCTGAAACTATGAACATATATGCGTGTTTTCCGTACAAAACGCACACACACACACGCAGAACGGGCTCATGTGGGATATAGTGTGATAATGTTTAATACCTCTGAAGTTGCTGATTATTATTCTCAATTCCTTCGGGTGGAATTTCATTCTGATCCTTGAAAACTAAATATCTTAACTGTCTGAGAATGCCTTTTTATTCATTAGACCGTCATCCTATCGTTGGATTCACTTGTTTTGCTTACAATTTTTTTTTACTTAACTGATAATATTATCCAGGTGCTCGTTGTGAAGTAGACAGAACAGGATTCAAACCCGAGATCAGTTGACCATATCTTCAGTGGTTGAATAGTCACCGAGCCGATCTTGTAATCTGAATGCCCTTGGTTTGACGCCTGGTTGGGGCGGGGATTATGACTTAAAGTACACACTACACTGAAGAGTTCCTAATTGATCGACTAGATTTGAACGTAGAACTTCAACACAGTGGTGGGACAATTCAAGTTGCCATACTTCATGTAGCACACGTAATCAGAGAAAGGAAAAATAACTCAAAGGTAAAGAAATGGATGGATGAAAAAAAGAAAGATGATTGCATGGAAAAATATGACTTAATCGGTCTTGAAGGCTACAAAGTGTGAATGCATCCGCGCTAGTAGTCTCTAGCCGGTTTATTGATTATCATCCAATCCTGGTAGCTTACACCTCCGTACGTCGCGAATAGCTGAAACCAACTATCAAAGATTCTATGGATTGTACCCAGATTTGGGTTTGACCATCCTATGTAAGCTATTATGGTTTGTCGAGGTAGGTGATGGCTTGTCATGCTTAACACATGTGTCTTAGGAATCACAATCAATGCAGCCTTACAACCTCATCAATTGATTTTCCCTCTTTACCTGACACTCTACACCTAAACTCAACATTACTCACTGTATTACACTGTTTATCAAGGGAGATAGAATGCTAACTTCTGTGTGTAGCACATCGGTGGAAAAGTTCTCTGTCGAAAGCAGACAGATAGACAGACAGAAGGTTGACAGAGGGAGTGCACATTGTGTTTGTGAACCATTGAGTTATGTTCGACGCCAATTACTCGAGTAGAAAACCTGAATGTGAAAGCGAATGCTTCGGAGATCCATTCCCGAACAAACATCCTGTGAAGAGGAAATGAGAGCTTACTGCTGGCAATCAATCATGCAACAAGCTAAAGAAAGACTTCAGAGAACAGGCTAAAGTGGAGGCGTGCTACTGAAGCCACGTATTCCTCCCAGAATCTAACGGGTTGGTAATAATTAGCATTATAATGATAATTCCGTCGACTATAAAGTTCTAAAGTGACTGATTTCTTAGTTAACTTATGCATTATCATCCTGTCTGGCATCACTATTCAATAGTAGACGAATGAATATCTTGAGTTTCATATTGTTTTTTTTTCCTTTCAAGTTCTTATATTTGTTCCCTTTTATCTTACTTTTTAGTATGTGGTCAATTCAATTTAATCGCTATTCGTATCCTTCCAATTGGCGGTGGTCCTCTTCTCCGATTAACGGCACATCCTTCAATGCATGATTTAACCGATGCACTGGATAATTGGCAATTCACGCATGCCTCATACACAATTCGTTCAATCGGTGATTATTTAATTGGTACAGCTATTCGAATTAATCAATTGACAATTGAACAAGTGTGTTCAACGCTTAAAAATCAATTCATCAACGCCAGTAGTCGAGATGATGGTAATGCGCTTTATTTGATTTCAACGATCACTTGTTTTCGTTTTCTTTTTTTCAGGTGCCAATGATGCTTGGGTTTATTTTGTGTACAGTTTGTTAATGAATCTACCGTTTAGTTTGTTCGGTCTGGTGTTTTCGTCGGTAAGTTGCCTGTATCACATTTATATTTAGTTTTAATATTAATATGTATACAATTGGTGGATGGTGGCTAGCAGTGGAATCCAGGATGCGCATTTCGTCCTATTTGGGACTCGTCAGCTGGATGTACCTGCATTTCTCAGTGAGTGATGATGTTCCCACCGAGGCTCGAACCCAGTGCCCATAGCTTCATCACTCACTGAGAAATGCGGGTACATCCAGCTGACGAGTCCCAAATAGGACGAAATGCGCATCCTGGATTCCACTGCTAGCCACCATCCACCAATTGTATACATATCAAATCCCCAGACATCGTCGAAGCATCTGCACAAGAAGCCGACATGTCAACCTGAGACCGAGCACTTCGGTCCAATCAATCGACGGGAAAATCAAAAATTCAATTCAATAATTAATATTGATATCATTATTATTATTATTATTATTATTTTATATGTTGCCCAATCCATCTCCATTTCCTCCTGCTGACATACATCTTGCAGAATATGCTGTAGACTGGTTCACTGTACCACTAAATTCCCTTGTTGCTCTATTCCTTGTTATGGTCGACGATTTAATTGTTAGCATCGAGCAAAGACAGCTATTTGATGAATATCTTTAGGCTGTTGGAAAGGCTTTTTGTGGCGCGCGTTGTTTGCCAAGTCTGTGTTAGTATGTCTGTAAGTATGATATGTGCTTTATGCCGTCTAAGTGCAAAGTACTGTTATAAGGTTGGCAGGAACCTGTACCTGCAATCACTTTTGCAGGTGAAGCGCTTGAAGTTGTCGATAAGCTTGTATACATCTGCGTATTTGATCATTTCTGACTCTTCAGGATTGCTTGCGTTCAATGGTATCATTGAGGTCAAGCGGCGTGTGTTTGGATACAGTGGAGGTCACCATCCGTTGAGTGCTGTCATTTGGAAACACTGGCTTCGGCGGCTGGGACATATGAACTCAGTCAGATTGACCAGTAAATAATACTGTTTCACTGTGTGCATCATACATCCAATAAGCAAACTATTATATAGGACATAAGTATAAAACTTGGCTACTGTGCTAGAGTGTAACTCCATTATGGATAAGATTTTATTTTGATAAATCACACAGTGTTGTACAGTAATATTAACTGATATTAATATTAACTAATATTGTAACAACAGAAGACAACACTGTGATTTAGCAAAATAAAATCTTATCCATAATGGAGTATTATATAGGACGGTATCATGTCAATTTTGTTTGTCAGTAGAAAATGTTTGGCCTCTGTTGGCATGTTAACCCCTCAAAACACACGCTTCGACAGTGTTATTTGGTGGTTAGTGACTAGCAATGGAATCCATGATGCTCATTTCGTCGTTATTTGGGACTCATCAACTGGCTGGTTACCCTTAGTTCAAGTGGTCTAATCGTTTAAAACAACGAAGGCCAGGTTCTAGTCCTAATGGGGGGGGATGCAAACGCACCCAGTTGATGAGTCGCCGAAAAGGACGAAATGCATGCGCATGCATATTGGATTCTACAACTTGTTTTTCTTTCCCTATATTTATCAGATTATTATTCCTAGTTTGGAGTTGGCTGGAATAAGAAGCTCCACTTCATGGCCACTGGATATCCCTGATATAACGTTGAAAAACTCCAGTGTCAGTTATAGTTTCCTGCATATTCTCTTCCATGATGATGATGGTGGCGGTAATGATATTCTTCCATTATATAAATGTCTTCTCAATGATAAGAACAATAATAATTCAACGGATTCTCAACTCAATCGAAATTATTTAATCTCAGCTATCGGTAGTATCGGTTATCAATTGCAGTGGCCGGCGTATATTCGATTTTTTGAAGAAAATCGTTTCAAGCTCATTGATCGTAATGGTGATAATAAAATGCAAAATATTGAAGCGTCTTCTTCACAACCAGTAACAATTACTGTTTATCCATCACCTATGGAGCAGACGGAGAGTATTTCTCACAAAGAAGCAGTTGATAATAGTGAAAACAGTGCGATTGATCGTGACAGTTGTGTGAAATCAACAGAAATGAATAAAGTAAGTATTCAGCAGATCTATCCATCTATCTATCTATTTATGCTTGTTTCTCTCTCTCAGTTTTCTTAAGTTCTGAGCGAAACTCAGTACTTCAATAACAGCACATCTCGATTCCACCCTGTTCTATGCGGTCGTCTTTAGTTGGCTGTATGATTCTCCCTATACTCTCATAATCTTTCTCCATTATCTCCTCTGTTTGTCACCCTAGGACCCGCATCCAATTCACACATGGCATCAATCCATGAAATCCTTGACAGTTAAACTGAGTCAGGTAGGGAGATGCAGACTCCCGGTTTGGGGCCCTCGGGACTCTAGGAATCAATGGCTGGAGACAATAGGTGACATGGCTCAAAGTGATCGTTGTCAATGGCCAGCGCAGATGTATTCAGTCTCTCTAATCTTTCATATTCCTTTCTACCATTACCCATTCTGTTTCACTCTTATACTTGTCAGACTGTATTGATTCTCTTCACTCATCTTCTTGTCTACCTCTGTGTGCTATTTGGAACGTGGCAACTCGAACTGGTGCACTTCGGTGCCAAGTTCTATGTTGAATCCAGACAGACAGACAGGCACTTCCTTCCAGGCTTCGACGGGTTGGTTAGGTGCGTGATGTCACTTAACGATCTCCTCACAGTTGCACGAGGTGTGCAACATAGGTAAGTGGCACTGAAATAGAGACCAAGTCGGAAAAACTAAATATCTTGGAGTCATTTTATCTGCTGATCTTTCCTGGTCGTTTCTTATCTTGATCATTTCTAAGAAAATATTCCGTCTTACCGTCTACATCAAGAAGTTAAGACATTCTGGAATAACCCAACCCAACCCTTACTCCTACGATTCGTTAACTCTTGCTTTCTGCCTATTATTCTCTATTGTCCCCCCTTAATTTTTCCAGGGATACTGAAGAAAGGCTATATGTTATTATGTAGGATGTTAAAGGTTGTCAGCAGGGTAAGAAACGTGCTACTTCATCAGCTTGTTAATATTCTAGTTGACAGGCACTTGGACTCATGTGAAAAATGGGCTAAATCCATTCTATCTATCTAACTCACACCTCCCTCTTTATTCACAACTCTCCCTTTGTATTTCATCAGGCTGGACCAGAAGCCTATATGGAAAGCTATATGCTCGCACTAGCAAGTACAAAATCTCAACCATACCCGACTTAGCTCGTGTTCTGTGCGATAAAGAAAGCATTAGGCGTGATACCTGTAACTTATTAAATAGTCATTAGAACAACTGGATCTCGTCTTTCCGACTCATGTCATTTAAAGGCACAACGATTTCTTTCTCTCTTTTCGCATGGGAACCATTGGAAAACTTGGGAGTACTGGGCATTTGTTTCGTCCTAGTTTGGGACTCTTCATTAGTACATACAACTGTCGTGGTTCGAACCCAGGACCTTCTGGATACAAGGCTGGCTAGATCGTAGACCATTAAGCCACTGGGACCCGATCCAATGGCCCATGGATTCTAACTTTTGCCAATTCACGACATATCGCGACCACTAGCCAGAAGGTCCTGGGTTCGAACCCCACCGTGGTGGGTGCGTACTGCTGAAGTGTCCCAAACTAGGAAGAAACAGCTGTTTGACAGTACTTCCAGGTTTTCCAATGGTTCTCTAACCGATGATGTCAGCTCATGATGAAATCCTGTAACCAACCAATCAAATCCCTACAAACCAATACTTGGATATCGATGAGATGCTCACTAGCGATTCGTCCTATTCAGGTAGGTAGTTACTTGGTGTTCTAGTGAAAAGTCGTGACCAGTAGGATGCAGCAGGTCGGGTGTGAGGATTATTGGATTATTGAATCAAGTTTTAAGATTTCAGTAGCACGGTGGTGTTGATTTGCTGTCTCACATTCAACTTTCCCTGTTTCCTCGACTTTTAATGTGTAAGTTAATTGTAGTTTAGAAAGAGTATGTCCTCTAGGAATTGGATGTGGATCATGTGTGCGTGCGTAGTTGGCAAGCTTTCGCTTATAACAACCATCAACGCCCAGAAGTGTGTAGGCGAAACGCTGCATCTTCTATGGAGGAATCTACACTCGAACTCCATTGTATCTAAATCTAAATAATGGATTCGAACTCTCAGCCTACTGAATAATAAAAAGTCTTTGCCACTATCCATTATATATATTAAATGGTGAATAATATTGTTAATATTGTAAAGATTGGTCACCACTATCATCAATTGGGGTGGAGTTCATTTATCACAAATGGCTAATTATTGTAAATGCTTTTCACAGCGATTCGGTAATGAAATAATTAATAATAATATTGTGGAAATAAAAAGTGATGTATACAATTTACCGTTAGACTTTCAGATAGTGACTGTTGTGTTTAAATTATACTGTGGTACATTGACATAGGCGTTGTTTGACTTCCAGCCACAGGCAATTACGGCGTTCAAGTTGATGCTCCACATAAATTTTGATGGTTTGTGCGTTGGGGTAGGATATTGCCTGGATACTCAGGTCGAGGCACGTGGATTCCTTAAGGGACCACCACCACCCCACGAGAGCGTTGGCTTGAAGTTTTATCCACGAGGCAGTGCAGCAACAGCAGCGTTCTTATGATTTTCAAGGACCACAACAGGTTTTAGACGCAAGTCGATCCTTTAGGACTCTGGAGCCTATGTACATCATAGGTTTGGAGTCAGGAATTTTCCAGCTTCTGTGAGTAGACCTGCATGTCTATCAATCTGGTTTTAACCTCTAAAATTTCTAATTCGTCCTTTCGCTTTTGTGAAGAACATTCCCTCAGCGTGAAGACAGTGAATAGAAGAGTTATATGTGAAAGACTATGAACGTGTGACCACATGAGAGCATTTTGAGTGAAAAGCCGATGTCTAGCCACCATTGGTCACAGCAGGTTATTTATTTATGGGCTGATAAATCCTATACAGGTTGAAATGTCTGTCTGTTTTCGACATAGAACTGCACACCGATGTGTAGCAGTTCAAGTTGACACACCACTCCTTGTAGCACACAAAGCAAGAGAAGAAAGTGGAAGAAATGCATAAGAGAGACAGAAAACAGAGGTGTAAAAAAGGAATAGTAATAACGAAGGACAATATAATTTTATTGGAAAGCATAAGTCACCAGGAGTGGATGCATCTGTGCCAGCCATCATCGAGAACGATTTTGAGCCATATCACCAATTGTTTCCAGCCGTGATTGGTTTTTACGGTCCCGACGACCCCAACCAGTCAAGAAGTCTACACCTTCCTACGTGATTGGCTGCCTCAGACTAACTGTTGTGGATTTCATAGACTGGTGAAGACATGTTTTGGTTTGACTACCACTCACTAGCTCTTTTCCGGTCTGACCCTATGTCAGCTAACATTTCCCATTGTCGAGGAAGGCGATGACAAGACATGCATGCGTAACACATGTCCTAACCATCTCAGTCGATGTAACTGCTTCACAACCTCGTTGATTGATTCTCCCTCCTTACCTAGTAGTCGACCGATGCCTCACCTCAATATTGCTCACCCAATTATATCAGTTTACACGGGAGATAGAACGCGGGCACCTATGATCGAAGACAGCTAGTCGGCCTTTCATGTCTTCCGCTCTCAATGGTTAGGCCTGTTCACAGCCATTAAAAGACGACGGAGTGGATTGCTGAGGAGTACACCCGCCCTTTAGTCGATAGCCAGTCGGATATCACGTCTACTAAGCCAGAGACGGCGTAAACTGACTGGCATATGCGAAACTAGCCCTTTGTATCCGTGTTGAGATTTCGTCAGAGATCAACTCGTTTGGGCTGGCTGATGGTACTTCCCAAATAAGTGAAGCGGTCAACGTGCTTTACCACTTCACTCCCTATTTCTAAACTAGGATTCAGTGTAGTCCAGTCCTGTAGGACGAAATGTGCTCAATAGATTCCCCTTATTGGTCATTATCTCCACCAAATTATCAGTTTAGCTAGCATATCACCGGATTATTATATTGATAATATATTTAGCATTTGTCTATTTAATTTTTTTAATCCTAGGAAAATTCCAGCGGTGTAACTGATGCAGTGGATTCCAATAAAGATATTCCAAAGTCTGCAGTTGAAACTGGCAGTGAACACGGCGAACAACATATCGCCGCCGTAGCTAGTGATTCTGAGGATACTACTTCTAATCGTTATCAGTTTATTGAAGAGATAAGACGTCGTGAATTTGGATTGGGTGTAGAATTAAGTCAAGAAGCATCTGATTTAGTTCAGGTTAGTAATGATTAATGCGTTTCTCTGTTGTGTTATTGTTGTTGTATTGTATTGTATATTCACATCTCTAGTAGAAGTAGCTATTTGTGTATTCACATGGTGCTTTTCTTCTGTAGAAAATGATTACTATTATTATCATCATCATTCCCCTTGTTTCCGAGTGGGACGTAGGTCTTCAACGAGATACACCTCCATTTCATCATGTTCTCTGCAGTCTGTTTCTAACTGCTTGCCTCCAAGACTGCCCGTAAGCTTACATCTCTTCCTCACACAATCTCCTGCATGTTACCCATAGACGCCAAGTGTGTTGTTTCTCGTTTTCTCGGGCTTGGCGTGAGACGTTGTCTGTCCAGCGGTCTCCTCAGCATATATCCGATCTGCATTTTCTTCGATATATTTGTTGGACGTTAGTTTCTTGGTTGGTTTGTTACCGGAGTTCTTTGTTACTTGTCAGGAAGTCTACACTTCCCTACGTGGCTGGCTGGCTTAAACTAACTGTTGTGGATTTATTCATTGACTGATAGATGAAGCCATGTTTTGGTTTGACCACCACTGTCTCTTTTCCAATATTATCCATCATATGTCAGCTGGCATTGCCTGTTGTCGAGGAAGGCGATCAATGGCTAGGGATGCATGCGTAACACACGTTCTAACCATCTCAATCGACGTAACTGCTTCACAACCTCGTCGATTGATATTCCGTCCTTACCTGGCAGTCAACTGACGCCTAACCTCAATATTTCTCACCCTATTATAGCATTTTCCACGGGAGGCAGAACGCGGGCACCGATGATCTAAGATAACAAATTTTTTCATGTCTTCCAATACCAATGGCCATGTCTCACTGATAGCCATGAAGGAGGACGAAGCGAACTACTAAGCAGTGCACACGCCCTTTGCTCCATAGATGAATATCACCTCTGCTCCAAAGGCGGCGTAAATTGGCGGACGCGAAACGAGCCTTCTGTTTCCGTTCTGGGATATCGTTAGTGATCAACTTGCTCGCACTGGCTGATGGAAATTCCCAAATAAGTGAAGTGGTCAACACGCTTTACCACTTCACTCCTTGTCTTTAAGCTAGGGAAGTCAATGTAGTCCAGTCCTGTAGCATCATCTTACATTTGACAGAGGGAGCGAATTCCACGCCAAGCTCAGGATGTTCAGGAGACTGCTGTATTTCTTCAGCGTCTTCACCCTAATAGGGAGGAATATATGTCATCTGCATATTCTAAGTCAACGAGATTATCCTCTGGCGGTAACAAGTCAATCCCTGAGTCTCTGAAGTCAGCAGCAGTTAGAGTTAATTCCATTACTACATCTATGATGATGAAACTGAATAGAAATGGTGATAGTCGGGCATCCCTGTCGGACACCACTAGTTGTTACCACTTCAGATAACAACTCGCCGTAATAAGCTCTTACCTGGCTGTTGCATGTGTTCGATTACAGTGCAGGCACACAGGACTTACTTCCAAACGTCCCTTTAAAATCTTGATGTACTAGATTGTTACTACCAGTCTTTAAATATAAAACTATACATACAAATTGGACATTGAAAGAGAACCGCTTTCTTTTTAAGTTAAAAGTAGTTTATACTTTCATATTTTATCTTATTTTTGTCGTATATCTAATAGAGAGTTGAAGGTAAGCTATCTCGATCTCTGGTTCAATTATCCGAAGAACTCTACGGCTTACCAGGACACTTTCTACTAGAATTGATTCAAAATGCTGATGATAATTCCTATACTGGTGGTGGTGAGATGCCACCAACACTGGAATTTCATTTATCATCCAATATACAAAAGCCTATGGTTTCCAATGACAACAATAATAGCAATAATCCATGTAAAACATCTTGTCTACTTGTTATGAATAATGAAGCTGTTGGATTTAGTGAATACGATATGTCTGCACTATGCGATGTTGGCTTGAGTACGAAGGTAACTCAACGTGAATTAAAAATTGGTGAGTTAATTGATTTTCAAAAATTATTTGCAGGGATTTAGCTGGTTGTTATACGTTTGATCACATATTATTTATTTATTTATTTAAACGCAGAAAAAGCTTGGTACAATATGGCACCAAGAAAGATGTGCCACACAATAATAATAAAGCAATATAGATCAAAAGTAAAAAATATGTGTACAGAACGGATGAAGAACTTCATCTGGAAGGAAAACAGTCCTACTTAACAAGTTCAAACAGTATTCGTCGGAAAGAAAGAAGGAAATTGCAGCACTTTCGCCATTGATTAAGATTCTTGGCTATATCCGATATCGTTTCGATCCATTGATTCGAGCTATCTCGCGGACCCCAACCAGGGAGTCGTGACGCACCAACCGATGCTAATCTATCACAAACATCCTTCATCCCACGACGCCACGTCTTGGGCTGATCACCCCTCCGCTTTTTCCTTCCTGTCCTAGTACTAGCGAATAGAGACATGTACGGAAGCCACTAGGATGACATTCGCAGCACATGTCCAAGCCACCGGAGCCGGTGCTTTCAGATGACGACGACACACAATGAATGGTGATCTCCACTGTGTTCAAACTCAGGCCACTGAACCTCAGAATTACTCACGCGATGATTTCATCGAACGCAAGCAATCCTGCGGAGACAGAAATGATCGAATATGCAGAGACACCGCACATCCTCAGCCTAATCGGAGAGGCCCTGTTTCACAGGCCTGCTGTAGAGCAAGACAGCCTGCACCGAAGCATTGTATACTCGACCTTTGACAGCCAGATTAATTTGGTGACGGCGCCAGAGGGAGGTGGCTAAAGTTGATGTATGCCACTCTAGCCTATATTATACTTTTGGAAATCTCATCAGTAACGCCTCCTCCAGCACACACAACTATCCAGATACACAAACTTATAACAAGTTGATATCAGTCAAAAAAAGTACCACTGGGAAAACCAGAGAGTATTGACATTTATTTCATCCTTGCTTGGGACTCTTCAGCAGTGTGTACACCCACTTCCGGGGTTCGAATCCAAGATCTTCCGGTTTTATTTTATTGTATTATACTCTCTTTTGACCGGAAGTTATGCGCTTTTGGCAACCCACTGCTTTGCTGTCATTTTAGGCTCTTCAGTAATCTTTATGAGAAGTGGGAACCAATGATAGTCAGGTTTTGTGATGAACATTTTTATCATTCGCCCATTACGTTTAAATTATATAGATTTAAATCCTGCTTAATGTGAATCTTCATCCATGCTGTGCTTATGAATCGACCCTATCGTCCGTAAATCCTCACTACAACTTCAATTTAAATGCTTGGTAAATAGATGAATATTCGATTTTAGTGTGTATATAGCTATTCACCATGCATTGATAGAAGTTTTAACTCAAGGGTCATTGGATTCCGTCCCAGTGGCTGAATGGTCATCGGTCTGACTTAGTAACCCGTACGTCTGGACGTCAAACCCCTAGGGGCCCTTGAGTGCGTATTGCTGAGGAGTTTCAAACTTCGACAAAATAGTTGCAATGATTTCTGTTGATTCTCTAAATGAAGATGGGTTCGTGTCTACATCTGCATTTTTTTCCTTCACATTCCCAGTGGAACAGGGCTTCAAACTAGTGGCCTGAAGTTTCTGTAGAACTGTTTATTTTTACAGGATGGGGTTGCTAGCCTCATGTCCAACCTTTCCTCTTTACCAGCTTTATTTCTGGCTTAGCGAGGTAAAGGAGTGCGTCTGTGGCCAGGGAACGAACCCTGGCCCATCTGCATTGAGAACTTTTAGTGGCTCATAGCTTCACGTTATATGATGTTTGATTGTGGATAATGTGCAGCAAAGTATCCCAGACTTTACATTCAGCAAAGTTGTTGGTATCCATTCCCATTGTAAAAGTTATGATAGTTAAATCCACTCGTTTCACATTATTTATGTATATAAAATGTGGCGAATAACGCTTCTGAGTTTAATACAAGAGTTGCCGGATTCAAATCGCATGTGAGAACACCAGTATTCACTGTGGGCGCTACAGGTGTACGCTCAGTTGACGAGTTTCGCGTGGGATGAGATATTTATTTCCAAATTCTGCTGTTAAACACAACCACCTGTCAATGAAGATGGTGTCAAGGGATTTGGCAAGCACTGTCCACTGGTCATGCAAAGTTTCATTAAATAAACAGATGGCGAATCATAATAATAATAATAGTAAAGCTTTATTTCAGACCGTGTATTAATACACATAGTACATAAATTCTCAGAGTATTTAATTGTGAAACACTTTGTCTTTTTACAGGATCTATAAGTAAAATAATAATTATCTGAAGTATATCATGTGACGCGGTGTTGTTCCATATGGAGAAGGACCCTAATTGTTGACGTTAGGTGGTTGGGAGCAATCGGCCACAGGAAGCCTTGCCTAGCCTAGTTTTTGTGCTAGTCGGCACTCACCAGTCAGTCAGCAATGCATATCTGCCACCTCGAAGGAACAGCTCATGTGCCTTCGGAGATTCGAACCCACGTCATCCAGGGGGAGTATTGGCAGTCAGAGACGTTACCATTGACCTCGTGTATAAGTGTAGTGAACACTTTGATCAAGCGAGCACTAGGTGTAGTTAGTTACTAATGTTTTACGTCCAGTTCGTCGTTTTGGTGTAGACTGAATTCTTTTTTTTTTGTATACTTTCTTAATGTCTACATAACGTAATTTTACACGCATATACCTGTGTGTGTGTATGTGTGTGTGATTTCATTTTCAATTGTTATCATCATTAACTTTTAAATTTTGTTTTTAAAATACCAGGACGTAAAGGGATCGGTTTTAAATCAGTCTTCAATGTTACAAATGCACCAGAAATTCATTCCAATGGATTTCATGTTCGTTTTCATAGACAGTCGAAGGTGGTGAATCAGTCTAACACCACCACCACAGCTGGAGAAGCCCCATCATTGATACTAATTCCTGAATGGTGTGAAAACTTCACCTCATCGTCACCAGTTCCATCATGGTGTAAAACATTGTTTGTTCTACCACTAACATTCGATAACAATAATAATAGTCATCGTTTAATTGGCCAATCGTCTACACTTCAAATGATCCAGCTAGTTCAGACTACCCTACATCCTAGTCTAATGCTGTTTCTTCGACGTTTACAATGTCTTACATTTTCTTCTGCAGAGGTTGGTTTCTTTATTGTACTTTATTTTATTTTTTTTTCATTTCGTTTTTATGAGGTTTTTTTTCTTCAAAAATCTTTTAGAAGATCGGAATGCACTTCGGTGATATAAACTCCTACGGGATTTGCAAACTTATGTCACTTCTGGTATAGACACGTGGTATTCAGCTACTGACTAGATGGAATATGTGTATTGTTAAACAGTTCTCTGTATCTATAATTAATAGTGTTCTCTGAGCCGGTTGGTTTAGTTGCGGAGCTTTCGTTGTCCGCCTTTCTGGACAACATCTTCAGCGCAATATTTAGCATAAAGTGAAATGACTTAACTTTTTTCATGAGTGATATAATTGTGTCTCCCGGTAACCATCTTTACATATTATGTACTGATCATTTTCTATTGACTTGGATTTTGAACTTTCTCGTCAAATGATTTACTTTTTATTAGCTGGTATATTTGGTCTATATTAACGTGTTTGTTAATTGCATATTCGTTTGAGTGAGTACCAGGCTTCTAGGAATTCCCTGACTGCACTTTTGGTGTTTCCTCTGTCTAAGATTTCGACATTATCCCAATTAAACTGATGTCCATAATTGTCTATATGCATTGATATGAAAGAATATATATCGTGTCTTTTCACGGCTGATTTGTGTTTGTGGATTCTGATTCAAAGGGGACGCCTACTCTGACCGATGTAATGTCTGTTATAGTACAGACGATTTATTTTGTAAATGGTATTAATTTTATCTCCTTTTTCTGTTGCATCTTTTGGTTTGCACAATATAGAATTAAGTGATTTGACTCGCTTGTGTTCTATATCTAACGTGCTATATCAAACGGTTTCAGTATTCCAGCTGTTATTTCAGAAATGTTTTTCATTTATGGTAGGATGAACTTTCTTATGGTCTTTGATGATGGTTCCCTGTTGGTGTATTGTGATTCGATTTTAAACACTTTTTGATGAAATTGTTAGGGGGATAAACATTCTTTTTGAAGACCGTTTGTAGGTATTTTTCATCCATTCTTTTCAACTCTGGAGTGCTACAGTGTGTTTGAATTCTTTTTTTAACAATGTCTGCACACAGTTTCTTTTGTGAGTGAGTAATTGGATTATTGCTAGTATAGTTAAGTATTTGATCTGTGTGCATTGATTTTCTAAATTTCCTGTGCTGGTTCTCCTGATTAAGACATCTAAAAATGGGATTTTGTTATCTAATTCTTCTTCTCTTGAGGTGAATTTGATGTCTTCAAATATGTTGTTTATTAATTTATGCGTATATTCTAAATCACATTTCTCTTAATTATTACAGATGTATCATCAACGTAAGGTACCCAGATTTTCGGTTTAATTATAGGTAGAGCTATTAATTCTAATCTTTGCATGACGGCTTCAGCTATTAATCCTGATATGGGCGTTGATCCCATTGGTGTTCCTTTTATCTGTTCATATATTTGAGTATTGAATTCGAAGTATGTTTTAAGGCATAATTTTATGAGTTCTATCCAAGTTTAACATCACTGCGTTTTTATTTTTTCATCACTGTAGAGTAATTGTTGCATAATTTCTGTTGCTAGTTTTGGACTAATTGAAGTATATAATGCTGGGACATCAAAGGACACTACTATTTCATTGTCTTCTACATGAATGTTTTTGATTTTCTCTAAAAATTTCTCTGTATCGTTCTTTATGACTGTGAGACATGATTGTTGTAGGTGAAAGATAAGAAGAGACTAGCCGTCTTTGATCACAAATATTTGCATTCTGTATTTCATGTTATAAATTGTATAATATGGTTAGTAATACTGAGGTAAGGCGTCCATTGATGACAGGCTAGGATAAGTAAGGGAAGTAGTCAGTCGATACAGTTATGAGACTGCATCGATTGTGAAATTACATCGACTGAGATGGTTAGGATATGTGTCACACATGAATTCCTAGTCATCGCCTTCCTCGACAATGGGAAATGTTAGTTGACATAGGGTCAGACTGGAAAGGTGAGAACTAGCAGCGGTCAAACCAAAACATGGCTTCATCAGTCAATGAAATCCACACCAGCTAGTTTAAGCCAGCTAGCCACGTGGGAAGGTGTATACTTCCTGGTTGGAGACCTCGAGATGGCTGGAGACAATTGGTGATATGGCTCAAAATGATCGTTTTCAATCCATAGCGCAGATGCATCCACTCCTTGTAACTTATGATTTCCAATGAAACTATATTGTTCTTCATTATTAGTATTCCTTTGTCTTACACCTCTGTTTATTGTCTGTATTATGTAATTCGTCTACTTTCAGACAAGATTATTAAGATCAGAAATCTCCAGTAGGTAGCTCTCTAAGCGATGCAAAGTATAGCTGCATAGTTAATTATACTAATTAGCTGCTCATGATTATATAACCTGATAGGATTAGTTTCGGCTTGTCGTTAAATGTGTCGTTGTTGTTGTTCGCTAATTTTATTTTCCATCTGATGTGTTCTGTTTTTACCTGCTTATTATCCTTCTCATTATTCTCCGACTATCATTCAAGCCAAATATGTACTGGAATTTAAAACGGACTACAAGTACACTGTCTACATATATGTCAGGCAAAATAAAGTGTTTTGCTGAAGTGATTACAGTTGAAGAGACTCAGCGTAATACATCGTCAAGTGTTGATAATACAACTACTACTAATAGTAAAGTTCTACTGCATAAATGGTTCGCTTTCAGGCAGTTAATTCCTGTTGATATCAAAGATATGAGAAAGGTGAGCTTTTATAGTTGTATTTGTAATATTTAATGTATATATATATATATATATATATATATATATATGTTTTTATTGTGCGTTAAAGATTCTGTAGCCGTTTGATTGGTTTTTTGGGGTGTAGGCTTACTGGGGCCATGCTCAACCCTCCCTGTTTACCTGGGCTTGAGATCGGTTAGAAAACTAGCGGGCTAATAAACAAGGCAATGCCTCTGCAAAAACTTTCATGAAATATTGCATGGAAGATTTTATCATGAGAGAACCACTGAAAAACCTGGGGGTACTGATTAGCTATTTCGTCCTAGTTCGGGACTCTTCAATAGCACACACCCACCGGGGTTCAAACCCAGGACCTTCTGGTGACAAGACAAGCACCCCGTTGGGCGCGTACTGATGAAGCGTCCCAAACTAGGACGAAACAGCTGTCCAGTACTCCCAGGTTTTCCTGTGGTTCTCTAACTGATGTCAGCTCATGATGAAATCCCCCATGCGATCATACACAAAATCCTTACAACACCAATACTTTCGTGAAATAGTTGGTGTCATCCTGGAGAGAGAGAGAGAGAGAGAGAGAGTAAAAGATGCACTGGATTCGGAACTCCAGTCGCGGGAATTAGTTTGATTTAGGAAGGCAAATGATGTACTGATCATATTGCAGTTTTACGCGTCATTATCGAACAAAGCATAGAAGGGCAATCGAACCTGTACAAATAAATTTTATCGACTTCGAAAAGACCTTCAGGAAACAGTGTTGAGCGAACATATCCACCTCATTCAATAGCTGGCTGGCTCTATGCCAGTGGCACATGTCAGGAGTAAGATAAGGTTGGCTGCCTATTATCACCGATGATATTCTTAATTGTGGTGGTGAACACGGCACGCCGTGTGTGGGAAATGAGGAAACAGGAATACGTTGGACCTATATAAGGAGACTCTAAAAAATATGTGTTTCACTTGTGGATGATTTATTTTTCTAATGTTACATGAAGAAGACTTGAAGGCGAAAACCAACAAACTGACTGAAGAGGCAAACAGCGAAGATAGGAGGACTCCAGGTGAACATAGAGGAGGCGCCAGGTGATGAAGATCACCACCACCACCACCACCACAGCTAACAGCAACAATAATCAGCACCAGTCACCATTAAAGGTTACATCCTTTCTTCACTTATCCAGCCAAGAAGCACACTTCCAACCACAGACAGATGGGACGGATGAAGTTGTCAAAGCCAGCCAACCAGCTAGCCAGAATCGGAAAGGCAACATACATCCTCGCCAATCTGAAGTCAGCTTGGAAATCTTCTGATGTCACTCGGTCAGCATAAACATTGAGATTCGGATTTTAAACACAAATATCAACCCAGTCATTTTTCTATACGAGTCAGAAACTTGCGGTGCACGCGTCACGTAAAGGATTTCCAACAGCTAGTGGCAGACTTTTATCAACAGCTGCCCCTTTTGTTGATCTCCATACTGAAGATCCAATGGCCGGTCGACCAGAAAAAAAATGAGCAACAAGAAACTTTGACTGGGAACAAACCAACCAGAGATCGATTGCTCAATGACTGACTGTGTAGGCAAAAATGGAGATGGATGAGAAATACAATTGAGGAGGCCGTCCAATGACATTGCATGCAGTGCAGTTGATCACTCGAGTGGAGTCCCAACGAGAAGCGACGAGTCGGCAGTCAGTGTGGGGGGATCATGTGCGGTTGAGGAGATGGGAGATTATGGGCAATCGTGAGGCTAGTCAGCTGATGAAGAGGACATCAGAAAATAGAACAGAGTGGAGATGTATTGGTAAAGTTCTAGGTTTCACTGGGAAACCATATTAATATCTGTATTATTATTTAAAATCGAAATAAGGTAGAGCACTTAAACCCTTACGAAATCTAGATCAGTTGACCCCAAATAAGGTAGGAAATCTGGAGAATAAATCAGTTATATCACCACACGCAATTACACACAACCATACAATAGGATGGGTGGGATAGGATGACAGTTTTAAAATCTAATGTAGTCGGATGGAGGACGAGATTGATAACAGAAGCTTTATTTATATCGAATCTAACTGAGAACATTTGCAATAGGAATGATTCAACATCTTTCCTAAACCTGTGAAAAATTCTACTACCCCAATGACAATTGTAAAGTGAGAAGGAGAACTATGAAACTAGAGTTTCTTAGTTGTATGCAGTTGCAATTAATACGATTAGGAACAAACAGTAAAGAGTGTTGTGGCCGACACTTTTCTCATCCGGTGAATAATAATAATAATAATACTGTTTTCACTCACTGTTATATCTAAGAAACATCATTAGGAAATTACCCATATTTAAAAATTAATGTCCATATCCTTTCATTGTCCTTTTTTTAGAATCTTCCATCACAAACAGAAATTTCATTAGCTATCTCCTTGAGTGATTCAGAACCATTGACAACTTGTCCAATTTTCTCCTACTTACCAGTACGTAGTGTTGGATTTCGATTCTATATTAATGGTAAGTTTTGATTGCTCACACTTCAATATATATATGCATATATGCTGCTTGTTATTTTGACTGTTTAACGCTAAATAGTGTGGCTTTTTGTGTTTCATTAGAGCTGTGGTGTGTCCCACATATTGGTCAGAAAAGATTGTATGTTTTGCACGACTCTGACCGTGCTTTTTTTGTCTTAAGAGTTTATTTTACTGTGTGTGTGCGTGTGTGTATGTGGGGGGGGGTTCGCGATTGATCACGATGTCATCTCAATTAGAGGATCGCCAACGCAGTCCTTACACACATGTGACTCTTCATCAGTACGCATCGATGACTTCATCAGGGAGGAGGTCATTCACTAAGCTTTGTTCATTCGTTAAAGAACTATTTCCCGGTCTGCATGTTGAATTGTAACGGATAATAAGATGAAAATTGTGTAATAAAGAGACATAGATTAAAACTCATAATAATAAACTAAAACTAACTAAAATGGACAAGAATTTCGGATAAAAAAGACATAGATAACAATTATCGAGAAAATAAAATGTTTATAATAGTCGTGCTAAAAGCAAAGATTGAATGTTCGAGTTCTTGGACCAAGAACTGGAAATTAGGACGAATGTGCCACTTGAGGATATAATGCTGGCGTAGACGTGATATCCGACTATCGACCAAAGGGCGGGTGTACTGCTCATCAGTCATCAATCGGTGATATGGCCCAAAGTGATCGTTCTCAATGGTTGGCTAGCGCAGATGCATCCGTCCACTCCTTGTGACTTATGATTTCCAATGAAACTATATTGTTCTTCGTTACTACTATTCCTTTGTCTCACACCTCTGTTTCTTGTCTCTATTATGCATTTCTTCTACTTTCTTCTGTTGGTTTGTGTGGTACATGGAGGGAGTGTGGCGACTTGAAATGCCGCACATATGTGCAAAGTTCTATGCCGAAAGCAGACAGACAGACAGATAATGCTGGGAGTGCAGCTATGCCTGACTTACACAGTATTTGAATTGCGAGGGAAAACATATAAATGAACTGAGGGAGTTGCCATGGGATCACCAATATCCCCAGTTGAAGCAGGTATATTCATGGATAGGTGGGAAAACATAGCGATTGAAACGTTGGCGCGTACCCCAAAATAATGGTGGAGGTATGTAGCTGACACATTCACTGTACTCAGAACACAAGATATAGATAGATTTTTCGAACACATGAACTCGAAGGTGGAGGCAATTCAATTCACTTATGATGAATTAGAAAGTCAGGATGGGAGATTCCAATGTTAGATTGAAGTGTAAAAAGGAAGGAAGATGGGAAGTTGAACACTAGTATGTGGTTACAGGAAGATAGATAGGTGAAATGTTCAAGTGATATAGCACAAAAACTAACTAGTACTAAGGAAAATCTAAGACAGGAAGTGATACACGTAAAAGAAGCCTTGAAACTTAATAATTACGCAGATAAATTAGTCAAGAAATATGTAAGTAAATGTAAAAATAAAATAAATAATGATAGTAGCGATAGTGTTAATAATAATATTAATGGAGACATGCATGTCAAATATGCGCAAGATAACAACAGTAAGGAATCTAAATCATCAGTAGTAATTCAATACAAGGAAGTGACCTCGAAGGTTGAATGCACTTCCTATAGATATATGGCGTCAGCCTGAATTTTCAAATCGTTAGTGCTTCAGCTATGTCCATATGTGTGGTATTTATATGAAAATAATAATTGTTACTATTATTGTTTCCTTCGGGTTCCCACTGGAGCTTAGGGCTTCAAGAGCACCTCTCCACTTCTTCCAGTTTTCTGCAGTCCTCTTTAGCTGGTTCCACGATTACCGATAGTCCCTCATTTCCTCCATGTCACCCTCAAGCGACTCACTCGGCGTTTTTATGACTCGGACTTCACTCGAATGCCTGGCGATTGGTGTCATCCGATGGTCTTCTCAGCGTGTGTTCAATCCATTTCCATTATTTTCGAGATACTTGTTGAGCAACGGGTTTTTGATTGATGCGTTCCCAGGGTTTTTTGTTGATAATTCTTTCTGGCAGACCATTTTCTTCTTTAACATGGAACCAGCAAAGTGGGCAGCTTTTGATCAAAGTCTGTGATTGGCTGTTGGTGGTTGGCATAGTTTCGCCTTTTTCCAAAAAGTGTTTTAACTCTGCACCAGATCAACCTGTATAAACTTGTTCAAATCGGCTGGTTTTTACGTGTCATTAAAGCTGTGGCTTACTAATCTAGGTGTTCGATATCCGATCACACAACCATGTTGTAGTAAGTATCATTAGCCATCAAACATACACACATAGATGCACATTAGGTGTGGTTCATCGCTAACTGCTTGGAAATGTTAATGAATTGTTGAGAAATCCATAATCCCATTTTCACCACTGGGAAAGAGTTGCCGGCTGGGGGGGGTGCGGGGTGGTCAAATTGAAAACAAGAAATCAGCCTATGAAGTCTTTGACAGTTGTGGTCTGACTTGGCCACATAGGAGAGTGTGAATAGTGTGTGGCACAAAAGTTAGGACGCTCACCGATCATGCTGTACTTTTCACCTGTATCCGTGTTAGTCCATACTATTTCAACTCTTCTTCACACGATCTCCACCATGTCACCCTTGCACTGACGTCCCACTCGTCGCTTCTCTTTTGGGTTCCACTTGAGCAATGGCCTGACGCGTGATGTCACCCAGAGGTCTCTTCAGCGAGTGTCAAATCCATCTCACTCCACCGTCTCCTGCATATTTGTTGGTTTGCGATCGGTTCTTGTTTTGTTTGTTTGTTTGTTCCCATAGTTTCTTGTTGGTGATTCTTTCCGGTCCGGCCATCTGGTCTCCAGTTTAGAGCCAGCGAAGGCAGTTGTTGATGAAGGTGTGGTCTGCAACAGCCTGTTGGAAATATTCTTTGTGACCCGCCCGCCAAGTTTCTGATCTGCATAGAAGAACTGACTGACTTGACGTATTTGTATTGGAAATCCGACCGAATTTTGTTGTTGATGCTGAGTGACGAAGATTTCCAGATTGGTTTCAGGTTGATGAATGTGTGTGTTTCTCGCCTTCTCGATTCTCGCTCGATTTGACATCCTCGTCCGTTCCGACTTCCTGTAGTTGAGACAATGCTCCCTAGATGACAAATAAATGATGTAATCCCCTTCAAATCCCTCCCGTCGATGGTGATTGACGCTGAATGTTGTTGTTGTTGGTTATTTTCATAACCTCCATGTTGTCTATGTTCACCTGGAGTCCTGTCTTCACCGGCTGCTTCTTTGACCGGTTTGTCGGTTTTTGCTACACATGGAGTGTGGCTAATTAAAACGTTGCATTTCATTGCAGAGTGTGCTGTATTGGAAACCTAGTGAAACACAGACTTCTGTAACCCAGATTAGAAAGAGATATTGATCTGCGATGTCATAAACGAAACTAACTAACTAACTAGTAAAATCGCTATCCATTACAACAAAATGAATCTGACTCTAAACTACAGACTTTGTTATTGACGCATTAATAAACATTGTCACCTTGTTGTATTGTATCTTTACTGCTCTATTTTAATCATTTGTTTGTCTTCTTATCTATCTGAAGCTGATTTCGATTTAACATCATCACGTGAAGATGTGGATTCAACTAGTGCTTGGAATCGTTGGCTTGTCGGCAAAATACCGAATGTATTCTCTGATATGATTCAGTGTATTGAAAAGGTAAGCTTGTATATATTCTTCTTCTTCCGCATTCGGCGTACTTATTTCAATGTGTGTGTGTATATGGCATATTTTTTACCAACAAATTCTGCAATATCTGCAACTTACCCAGTTCAAAAAGGTGAAGCATTTCATAGTTCCTTCATAGTTCCCGAAGGAAACTATAATTACCCAAATCACATGACATCCTTGGTACGATATACGACTGATTATTTTTCAAGTATTGGTTTCGTATTGATTTTGTGTTTGATTGCATAGAGGATTTCATCATGAGCTGACATCAGTTAGAGAACCACTGGAAAACCTGGGAGTACTGGTTTGGGACTCTTCATCAGTACGCACCAACCACAGGGGGTTCGAACCCAGGACCCCCTGGTTACAAGGCGAGCTTGCTCGTAGATCATTGAGCCACTGAGACCGGATCCAATGGTTCTTGAATTCTAACTTCTGCCAATTCACGACATAGCACGACCTTTTCTCAATGTCTTCGATGAGCTACTGCCTCATCTTCGACCTGCTGTACCCTACTGGTCATGGCTTCCCATTAGAACCCCAGGTTAACTGCCTGAATAGGGCCAGTGGCTAGTGAGCATCAGATTAATTTTCAAGTGTTCGTTTTTTAGGGATTTTGTGTTTGATTGCATGGAGGATTTCAACTGATGTCAGCTCATAATGAAATCCTCCATACTACTGATTACTTGACATGAGTAGCTGGACAACACTCCTGTCAACTATTAGTCATTGCTAGCTAGATCTAACGACCGAACGGTCGTTCCACCGCCAGACATCATTTCTTTCGAGGTTATACGCATATCTTGATGATGTGAGTAACTACAAGCACGAAACCTTGTAGAGGACTTTACTCTCAAAAACCAAGCATTAGTAACTCTGCCGCGGATTAGTTCAGCTTCAGACAAGCGAAGCGAGCGTCTGGTGTTTAGATCATTTCTACCCGGCTGGGAAGCACAAATATGAATAGGGTCCAACTACTCACGTCAGTTAACCAATCATAGCATATTAAAGTTGTATTGTCGGCGAGTTACATGAAGAATAGTTGTACTGGATGCAGACTTATGAGAAGGGTTGACAAATTTTCGTCTTCCTACATCTCTTGGTAGTTGATTACCACCAATCGGTGCTGGTGGAAAAATACTGCTGGTCGTATGAAGCTTATCAAAGTGTGTTACAGATATTCTGGGAGTTTTATATATACTACCTCAGTATCTACTGAGTGTCTACTTATAACCAGTAAAGGAGAAGTCGAGAAGGATGATGATATTAGGGTTTAAAATGCTGTAATCCCTATTAATTTTTTAAAAGTTTTTCCTCTAACTCTATCCGTTTTTCCTCTTCCTCCGTCATTTAGTTACCGCCATCATGTTTCAAGCAAAATGCTAACGACAACCAGCACTCCGAATTGCCTGAATCCAATTCTCAGTTGGGATACACACGTATTGAGTTGATTGCTCGTATCATCTCGTGTCTACCGTATGATTTATTATCATCATCTTCGACGCTGACGTTGACAGCTGGTGGTGCTAGTAGTCGTTCTACAACAACAGCAACGACAACATCAACCATAACAAACGATAATGTCTTCTTTGGTTTACCGAGTCAATTACGCAGTAAATTATCAAATATCGCTTGGTTACCAGGTATTCGACGAACTGATCAATTGATGACAGACAATGAGGTATTTGAATATGTCACTGCATCTCGTCTGCTAGTTGTCCCTGCGACTTCAACATCGTCATCATCCTACTCACGATTGGATAAGGAGAATAAACAGCCTAAAGGAAATATTGATACTGTAAGTAAGAATTATGAAGCTTTATTCCTTGTTTTATCACCTTTTGATTACCTCTTCTCATGATATCCCCTGTTGTTACCCTCAAACTTAAGCTAAACTCATCGTTTTCCATTTTAGGAAGACTTAACTAACTAATCGTTAAGGCAGTTACTTAGATGAGGTATATTGATGGTTCACTTGTGTAGAATGGTTATCAACCAGGCGGAAGGTATGGGTTCGATTCCCTGGCGATGCGATGCACTACTTTTAAATCTCGCTTAGCAGATTAATAAGCCTGATAAAGAAAGAAAGTTGGACATGTAAGGGGGTGAAAAACTTCATCGTATAAAAAAGCACCACCGCCATTGACAATTTTAGTTTGAATACTAGAAGCTTTATGTTCCACTTGAAACGTCAAAGAATGAGAAAATTACCCCTAGATTAGCATATATTTGTGATTTAGTATTACTATTATCATTTCCTTTAATTCCTAGAGGAACACAGAGCTTCCACTGCGCGTCTCCATTGCGTTCGGTTCTCTGCTAGAGTTTTCACCTGGCTCCAAGTCTGCCCACATGCTTTCATCTCCCTTTCACATGACCTCTTCCAAGTCACCCTTGCATTGACGACCAACTCGCCACTTTCCATTTTGTCGGGTTCCACTCGAGCGATGGCTTGTCTAGTGGTGTCACTTGATGGTTTGTTTTCTCAGAGTATGGCCAGCCAACCCACCTCCACTTCTTCCTGCTTATTTGTTGCACAATCGGTTCCTGTTATGTTGGTTCGCTCATTTCCAGATATCCCTGTTGGTGATGTTTTCTTGCTGTCCATCTGATCTTGAGTAGTATTGGGCGAAGACAGCTGTTGATGAAGGTTTGTATTTTGTTTGAGTTGATCTTTATGACACGCCAAGTCGCTGATCCCTATTGTAAATAGCACTGACTTCACATTGGAGTTGTAAATCCGAATTTTTTTTCATACTGAGTACTGTTGACCTCGACACAGACTTGAGAGTAATGAAAGCTTGTCTTGCTTTCCCGATCCTCGTTGCTTTGATATCCTTGTCAGCTCCGTTCGCCTGTATTTGAAATGATGCTTCCCAGGTAGGTACTTAGGTAGGTAAACGAGGTTGTTTGTTTCAGGTTCCTCCCATTTACGCTGGCTGGTTGCTGTTGGTGGTGGTCAGGAATCTTCATCACTTGTTTTTTTCTCTATGTTCACCTGAAGGCCAATCTTCTGTGGATACTTCTTCTGACAACTGTTGCTTTTTACTTGCATATCTTCCAGTATGTGGGAAATCAGACATATATCATTGGCGATGATTATTATTATTATGACTGTTTCTATTTAATTTACAGGTAACTTCTTCATGCAATCCGGATATACTCCTTATCCACCTTCTAGTCAACTGTCTACAAATGTTTGAACCTCATGAAGACTTATTTATGCATAGAAAAGTGTATCAACGTAATAAGATGTCAACTACGACAGTTGATAATAGCGACACCGTTGGCGATGATATCGTTGTTGTTAATGAGAATGATGATGATGACGGTGGTGATGTTGACAATAGTATGGATGATAAATGGCAATCGAATTATCATCTAATCAATCGAATCCGAGTGGAAGCATTACATTGGCTTGGTACCCAGTCACTATCAATTACTTCACTATTGGATTTAGCTACAATTTTAAAACCTGGTATGTCTTTCTACTCTATGCGCGCCTATTCCGAACATGTTTACTTGAATTATAGGTTTTTGTTTTTTGTAAGGATGTAGATTGATCTCTAAGTAAATTTCATCATGGACTGATATTAGTTAGGTAAATATTGATAACACTATAGAGCACTGAGCAGCTGTTTTGTCTTAGTTTGGGACTCTTCATCAGTGCATACCTATCCATTATACTCCACCAGGGATCGATGCTGAGACCTGCATTTTACGAGATAAGCCCATTGACTATTCAGAAAGTTGGATTGAAATTCAATGACCTAAAATATTTCAATTGTTGATATATATATGGCCATGACTTCTCAATATCATAAAACATCAGGATCTCCTTACAGTAGAGGTATCAATGTGCTAGAGATTATTTATTTCGCTTATAGGTTTCTTCAGGGATTTGGATGATTTTGATGTTGTTGTGTTCTCTGAGCAGCTGGATAGTTAATTTGCGAAGATTTCATCTCCCTACTAGGTGACATCTTCAGCACACACTTCAATTCGAGGAAGTGAGCTTTTAAATTTCTCCATGAGTTTATTAATCATCTCTCCCTGTCGGTGACCACCTTGAACGTGATTCGTTGTTTTTGTGTGTTTTCACACATTCTAGACAGCTACTTGTATTGGAACTGATTGTTTCTTCGACTTGAACTTTGACCCACTGTGTGTGTGTGAGGTTTCTTTCTTATCGGTTGATAAATTTTGCCTATCTTGATATGTCTATTGATTGACGATTCACTGAAATACCAGACTGGCTTCTAAAAGTTCTCTAGCATTCTTGTTGTTTCCTCTGTCTCTTTTGAACATTGTCCCATTCGAACTGATGTTCGTGGTTATCTGTATGTAGTGATATGAATGATGGAGTGGATGTCATGTCTTTTGACGGCTAGCTTATGTTCGTGGATAGCAAGACGAAGAGGTGGGTAGTCCACTTTGGCCAATGTAGTGTTTTTCGCAGCTGTTACAATTTATTTTGTAGATGATGTTGGTTTTATCTTCTTTCGCTGTTGAGTCTTTTGGTTGACATGGAATTGAGTGAAGTGATTTTGTTGGTTTGTGTACGTTAGTTCCTAAATGTGTTTGACGAGTCTTGAAGTGATTTCTGCAATATCCTTTATATATGGTAAGGCGATTTTCTTTGTGGTTTCCTTGGGAGCTTTTGGTTTGATAGGTTGGCTTGACGGTATATGTCTTTTGATGAAGTTCCGTGGATATTCATTCTTTTGGAGGACGTTCATGAGATATCTTTCTTCGGTTTTCCTTAAGGTGGGAGTGCTGCAATGAGTCCGGGCTGGCCCTCTTGAATAGTGTTTATATGCAATTCCTTTTGTGTGATATTGGATTGTTGCTGCTTTAATTCAGTATTTGGTCTGTGTGAGTTGATTTTCTATAAACTTGGGTTTCTAATTCCTCTGTGGTTGTTCGCTTGACTAAGACGTCCAAAAATGGGATTTTTTTCTCGGATTCCTCTTCTCTTTTGAATTTGAAGGCCTTGTTTATTCACTTGTGAGTTATATCTTACTCGTTTCTTTTTATTATTACAAATGAGTCATCTACGTAACGTATCCAAGTTTTGGGTTTGATCTTTGGTAGGATTATGTTTTCGAGCCTTTGCATCACTGCTTTTTCGATCATACCTGATATTGGCGATCCCATGGGTGTTCCTTTGACTTGCTGATATATTTGGAAGGTGTGAAAACACACAAAAACAACCAATCACATCCAAGGTCACCCACCAGGAGAGATGACTAATAGTGAACTCATGGAGAAATCTAAAAGCTCACCTTAATTCAAATTGAAGTATGAGTTCAAGATGTCGCCTAGTAGAGGGGGGGGGCGATGAAAGCTTCGCAAACTAACTATCCAGCTCAGAGAACACAATCACCACAAAATCATCCACCTGAGATACAAATCTTCTCTTGCATATCTAAGAGATTTGGATCAATTTCATTACAGAGAGTCAATAAAAACCAGTTTGACATTTCGGAGGTTGTGGTCGCGAAGGTTAAAGTAGGTAAGAGGAAGAAGGATAGAATTGTTCGTGAAGGAAAATTAAGAATTACCGGGGATTTGAATTACCAATTAAATATGAGACCCCTAATTTCTAGGTTTCAGACACGTCTTACTGAAGAGTGTCAACACATAGTGGTGAGTTGTTTCCGGGAAGGATTTATTGTCTATACTCATCAAGAGCATTTTGTTGGAAGTATTCATCAATTCATGTTGCTTTTCCAGAAAGATAAGAAAGGAAGAAATCACAGCATTGTGAGTGGTGATTATGAATGAATCCACCTAGAGAGTCATAATACATCAAACAAATACCAACTCTGTACACAGTTATGTGTGTATGCATGCGAACCACGTTAAGGACTAATCAACTCTCCGTTATTTCCCACACCAATCCCAAGGCTAGCAAAATATTGAACGGTGTGGAAGCCGTTGAAATAACATTCGCAGTATACATATTCAATCGACCAAAGCTTAGATCCCAAGATCACATCAACTTATTGAAACACCATGTCCAAACACACGCTGGTGGACATCAGAATTACTTGTATGATGATGCGATGCCACTGCGAATCGCCTCGCATACTCAGCTCAGAGACTCAACGCTTCAAAAATGAAGAGTGAGACTGTCTGTTTTCGACAAAGAACTTTGCACCAATGTGCACCAGTTCAAGTCGCCACACTCCCTCCTTGTAGCACACAAAGTAAGAGAACAAAGTAAAATGAAATGCATAATTGACAGTAAACGTAGGTGTGAGACAAAAGAATGGTAATAACGAAGAATAATATAGTTTCATTGGAAATCATAAGTCACAAGGAGTGGATGCATCTGCGCTATGGATTGAGAACGATTTTGAGCCATATCACCAATTGTCTCCAGCCATTGGTTTTACCGTCCCGAGAACTCCAACGAGTCAAGAAGTCCACACCTTCCTACGTGACTGGCTGGCTTAAGCTAACTGTTGTGGATTTATTCCTTGACTGCTGCCATGTTTTGGTTTGACCGCCGATAACTCTTTTCCTGCCTGACCCTTTGTCTGCTAACATTGCCCATTGTCGCGGAAGGCGATGACTGGGCATACATAGCACATGTCCTAACCGTCTCAGTCGATGTAACTGTTTCACAACCTCGTCTATTGATTTCCCCTCCTTACCTAGCAGTTGACCGATGCCTCACATCAGTATTTCTCACCGTATTATACCACTTCGCACGAGAGATAGAGTGTAGGCAACGTAGACTGAGGCTACACACACAGGAGCATTGCAAACCTCACCTTTGACGACAGCCAGACTAACGTCGCGATGAAGTCAGAGGTGTGTGACCCAGGTTAGTGTATCCGCCGCAGTGGTTTTCAGTATAAGTTCAGATATTCTATCGATCATATCCCTCCTCCAGGAGTTACACAAACGAACGAACAGTTCATCTTCATAAGTCAGTGCATTGAATAAGGATCATTCCTATCTTGCACTTAGATAGAGAAACACATTGATGGCCTAAAATGAGCTAAATATATTTTCATTGATTGAGTCGCATATCTGAATTTGTGTTTTATATTGTACACTTAGCGTTGGTGGCACAGCGTTTAAGACGCTCGCCAACCATGTACATGATCCGGGGTTCGATCACCGGCCAGCACACTCCTTTACCTCGCTAAAGCAGTAATAAGATTGGTAAAGATGGAATGTTGGGCATGAGGCTAGCAACCCCATCCTGTAAAAATAAACACTGCTACAGAAACTTCAAGCTAGAGGCTTGAAGCCCTATGTTCCATTGGGAAAGTGAAGGAACTAATAATAATAATAATAATTGTACACTTAAATAGTGGTTTAGTAGATCTTTGTTTTTTTGTATTTAGAGGTGAATTCAACATATGCCGAAGATAAAAATAATCATGTGGTTACGGATGATTTTAGTTATATACTAGTCATATTGATCCTATTATTTTTATTGTTATTATTATTTCTCTTACAGAGGATGTTAATCGTCCCGGTCTGTTATCAGTACTCATATCAAGTTTTGAGGCATGTCTATCTGCTCATAATACCTCGTCAGGAGCATCCTCGAAACCATCAACTATGGTAGCTAGGCGTCGTTTACTCACAGCACTACAACACCTGCCAATATTTCCGTTAACCAATGAACGCTGTATTCGATTAAATGATAAGCAAACGCATTCATGGGCTGATGATATTCATCCGGCTGTCTTGTTACCACCTCATCCATCTGAGCTTAATTCTGTATTAATTGGAATTTCATATGGTAGGTGAATGATTTATTGTTGTCTATTATCCTACTCAAACTTGTTCTTGCGTTCTTCCTAACGAACGTTTATTACTCTTTTGAAATGGGGGTGTATGGGTGGGTGGTTGGTTGGTGTTAAGACGATCAATACTTCGCAACATCTTCAACTACTGAGGTTGGATGATCTCTTGAACGATTCATAGAGGTAGTCGTGTTGAACCAATGAGCGCTAATCGAATACAACTATCCTTCATTTCTTTGGTGCCGTGGCCTAGCCGCATTTTCACTTTACATTCGATCTTGTGGATCATCAATGATGAACAGTATCGAAGCCTTTTGGTTGAGATTTGTTTGTGGCACTTATCTGAAAGACTGACTACCTTTATCCTTTTCAAACCTCTATCGTCCAACCTCCAAATCGCCTACACATCTGTGTAGTATTGGATGGAAGCAGTTCTATATAAGACAGTGGTACTGGCCGACATCCTCAACTAGAATTGATCAGGTTTTTACAGATGTTAGAACAATGATGGATTGAAGAAACTGTTGTAAACTCGACCTGTGTGGTCCTACACGCATAGATGTCTATTTTGTCTCTGCTATACTCAAATTATAAACGTATTCACATACTACAATGTAATTAGTATCCTGCATGTGTGTAACTGATTAACTCTAGAACCGAGAGGGTGCAAATTAAGTACAAAATCAATAATTCTTCTGTTTCTACTGTGTAAAATAATTATCCATAATGTTGAATAGGCCTTCATAATGATTACAAGATTATTTATCTGATTGATTTTTCATTTTTTAAAAATTCTGTTCCTGAAGAACCTTTCAAGCTTGTTTTTCTCACCACCAGAGAATTCTCTAAATGTATGATAATTATAGACAATGCGACAATTAATCAAGAGACAGGATTTCATCATGAGCTGACGTTGTTTAGAGAACCGTTGGAAAACCTGGGGGTACTGGGCAGTCGTTTCGCTCTAGTTTCGGACTCTTCAGCAGTACGCACCCAACAACAGAGTTCGAAATCAGGACCTTCTGGTTACAATGCAAGCTAGTAGACCATTAGGCCACTGGGTCTCGATTCAATGACCCGTGAATTCCAGCTTCTGCCAATTCACGATACAGCGCGACCACTAGCCAATAATTTCGGCAAGTATTTGTCCCCACACCCGACTTGCTGCACCCTACTGGTCACGACTTCCCACTGGAACCCCAGGCAACTACCTACCTGAATAGGGCAAGTCGCTAGTAAGCATCTCATTAATATTCAAGCGTTAGTTAGTAGGGATTTGGTTGATTGGCTGCAGGATTTCATCATGAGCTGACATTGGGTCGCGCTACGTTGGGAATCGGTAGAAGTTAGAATTCGTGGGCCATTGGATTGGGTCCCAGTGGCTGCTTAATGGTATAGGAGCTCGCCTTGTAACCAGAAGGTCCTGGGTTTGAACCCCGGTGTGCATACTGATGAAGAGTCCCAAACTAGGACGAAACAGCTGTCCAGTACTCCCAAGTTGTTTTCCAATGGTTCTCTAACCGATGTCAACTCATGAAGTCCTGTAACCAATCGAATCCTTAGAAACCAAAACTTGAAAATCAAAAGACAATGCTACAGTGTTGGTGGTTTTATTCACATAACATATCGGTTCTTACCTCTGTCATGAAAGGTATACTCACAACGTGCAGCAATTCTCTGCGTTCGTATTTATGACTATAAGATATGGCTGTTGAAATTGTAGGATAAGATATTAAGGGGTTAGGCATCTTGAATCATAGATGTTTGTGTTCTACTGTCACTCTGGTGAGTAATACTGAGGTTAGAAATCGGGTGTTGATGGAGGTGGAAAACTCAGTCAATGAGGTGGTGAAACTACATCGATTGAAATTGCATGCTGAGCTATCGCCTTCCTCCATCAGCAACGGTATAACTGACTTAGAAATCAGTTTGGAAGAGAGTTAGTTGGTGTGGCCAAAGTTAAAGCCTGTCATCAGCCCATAATGTCGTAGACTATTGGTTTAAACCCCATAGGATGATGTTGACTGCCTGGTTTAGGGTCTTCGGGACACTAAGAACGAATGACTGAGGACTGTTTTTTTTTATTCCTCTATCTTCCCATTTGACCATAGAGCTTCAAGCTGAAGCTTTCAAAATTCGGGCTAGCCTCATGCCGCCCAACCTTCCCACTTTAAACCAGTCTTATTACTGGCTTAACGAGGTGAAGAAGTGCATTGGATGGGGATTGAACTCCGAAGCACCAGCGTTGGTTGGAGAGCATTCTACCGCTGTTTCACCGACTCAGACTGTGTTAGCAATACGGTTTCAAATCCATCTCCAACATTCATGAAATCTTCATTATTATCCACATGATTATTTCTTCCTCAGGACACATTATCGAATTTTGATTCGAACGGATGAAAGCAATTTTGCGTCGTTGTATACTGTATAGCTTGTCAAACTTTCGGAAGTGATACATGGTATTACTATTATTTCCTTTAATTCCTAGAAGAACATAGGGCTTCAGCCGCACGTCTGCTAATGTTTTCACCTGGCTCCAAGTCTGCCCACATGCTTTCATCTCCCCTTCACATGACCTCTTCCAAGTCACCCTTGCATTGACGACCAACTCGCCACTTCCCTTTCGGGTTCCACTCGAGCGATGGCTTGTCTAGTGATATCACTTGATGGTTTGTTTTCTCAGAGTATGGCCAGCCAATCGGTCTCCATTTCTTCCTGCTTATTTGTTGCACAATCGGTTCCTGTTATGTTGGTTCGCTCATTTCCAGATATCCCTGTTGGTGATGTTTTCTGGCTGTCCATCTGGTCTTGAGTAGTATTAAGCGAAGGCAGCTGTTGATGAAGGTTTGTATTTTGTTTGAGTTGAACTTTATGACACGCCAAGTAGCTGATCCCTATTGTAGGTAGCACTGACTTCACATTGGAGTTGTAAATCCGGATCTTATTTTCATTTTCATGCTGAGTACTGTTGACCTCCATACAGTCTTGAGAGTAATGAAAGCTTGTCTTGCTTTCCCGATCCCCGCTGCTTTAATATCCCTGTCAGTTCTCTTCGCCTGTAGTTGAAACGATTGTTCCCGGTTAGGTAGACAGGCGAAGGAGGTTGCTTCTCTCAGGTTCCTCACATTCATGCTGGCTGATTGTTGTCTGTTGTTGTTGTAGCTGTGTGTGTTGGCCAGCGATCTTCATCACCTCTGTTTTCTCAGTGTGGTGGCGGTACACCACTGAGGAGCTCAGCTGCAAACGAGCAAGATAGCCGCCGTGGTGTTAAGATCACTTCTACCTTTAACTGGTTAATGTGAGTGGCAGACAACTAACTACTCATCTCAGTCAAAATCAGTAGTATATCGTTTTAATGCAATTATGCTTGCTTCCATTTTGTAGTATCAAACAGAACATATTATGTGATCTCTGAATAACTTTGATTTCCGAGGGAGGCTGTGGTGAAATTTCGCCTCCTGTATATGATTGCGTAAATTGCAGTTGGCGAATTGGATTTATTTTCAACAAAGTAGGATGGATCCGCATAAGTCGAATCGGACGAATTTCAAGGTCGAGCAGTCACTCCATGGCGTCGCCTTGATCTGTTCACCCTTATTCTTTCCTGGATTGCTTGAAAAAGACTATATCATACTTCGTAGAACTTTGAAGACTGACTGTCAGTAGGGTGAGTGGTATCCCATTGGGCCATTTCGTTGACATTGTCAGTGATAGGCACTTAATGTCAGGCAACACATTTTTTAAAGGAATTTTGTCAGACTGTGAGCATCCCCCACTTTACCCGCAGCTCCAACCTTGTGTCTCCTCAGGTAAAACAAGAAGTCTTTTCAGAAGACTTTATGCACTTACTTCTAAGTATAAAGATTCCACTATAAAGTATTTGGCATGTACTTTATGTGATGAAGATAGTGTCAGGCATAAACTAACTAACCTTCTTTGCACTACTAAATATACCATTTCCTTCACCTTTACAACATGAAACTCTATAGTTATTGTACTTCCTATACTTATAATCCTCTCAATTTTTTGTTTTTATTTATTTATTTTTCATAAGTGTGAACATTGTTTAAGCTGTGTTACCACTAATAGTCTTGCATTTCCCCTCACCATACTATATCAAGAGAACATTAGATTCAATAATTTATAACATGCTAAAATTTCCAAGCTGAATCGACCATACTGTTCGAAACAAACTCACTGTTATTATTATTATATTTAATATTCTCAATTCGTGCTTCGAATATTCTTGACTTTATATCATAAACGTGGACAAATTCCTCTGGCTACTTTTGTTCTAGTTTTTAATTTTGTTTATATTTTAAGTAAATCAGATGCAAGGTGTTGTGACAAATGCTGAGAATTCCATTCTGTATTATAATTACTGTTTTTGGAATAAAGTAAATTATTATTATTATTATTAAAATGGGCATAAGGCAGAAACAATGACACCTAAAAAAGGATGAAATTTATAGGGGGGAGATCTACAAACGTCTGAACAAGTCCGGGTAAAAAAAAGATAGACAGATTTAAAAATTATTTGAAATAGTGTCAAGTAAGTAATGAATATTGCGCATAGATTGTTCATCGAGAGGAATCTTCTGGTTATAATTACTGTATTGGGTATTTATTTTGTATTACTTTTGAAAATATCTTTCCCGCCTTTTTTCCTTTCCTTTTATATGTTCTTTTAAACAAAATCTATCTGTCTATCATAGATGAATATATAAGTATGTTGGAGAAATTAGGACCATTGATTAAACCAATCGCCTTTCACAATTGCCTTCAAGTAGACAATAATAATGCTAAAAGTCACCATGTCAACATGCCCAAAGAATTCTCTCCCCTGTTGACTAATGAATCTCCGATGGGTTTAGGCCTGCAAATAGCAACACCGTCTATTGTCTTAAAAGAATGGATTATACCTTATTTAAAAAAATTAAAAAATCAAGTCGAATTGAATAACCAGAGTTCAGAGAGTATTATCAATTGGTGTCTAACGATTGGTCAATTCTATGCTACAATTGATATTAATTACAATAGTCTATTGAATATTGGACATAAGACATTATTACACAACTATGAATTCAGTGCTCTACTACCAATCATTGTATCAGATAATCACGGGAAAGATTGTCTACTTCCACCATTATGTAATGAAAGTGGATATAGACGTGTTGAACCAGTATTCTTACCTCCAGCATCATTTACAATCGCCACATCGTCTGGTCAAAATCAGAAAAACTTGATAGAAGAATTAGAAGTGGATTTATTCAGATTTTTAATGGATCAAATCAATACAATCACTGATTCTTCTTGTAGTTCTGTATACACAGTATCATCGAAGTATTTTCAGCATGGTTTTTCAAATCATGATCACCGACAAGGTTGTCGATGGTTTAATTTATTCTCTGGCGCTGGTAAGTAGTGCATTACATCATTATTCTTTATTTCGTTTACTCATGTTTGTATTATTATTATTATACTCTTGGGTTCCGTTGAAATGTAGTGCTTAAACAACACATCTCCACTTTGTTGTGTTCTCTACTGTCCTCTTCATCCGGGTCCACGATTGCCCAAGCTATCTAATCTCTTCCTCACACACGATCTCCTCCATGTCACTCTCGAACCGATGACCCACTCCTCGCTTCCCATTGGGATTCCACTTGAGTGATGGCTTGCGTTGCGCGCGATATATCAGTCGACAGCCTCCTAAGTGGTGTATGCGTGATCCATCTCCATTCTCCTACATATTTGTTGACCGGTCGGCTCTTGCTCAGTTGGTTTGTTCCCAGGCAGAGAGTTTCTTGCTGGTCAACCGGCCATTTGATCTTCAGTATGGAGTTGGAGAAACTGGCAGCTGTTGGTAAAATTTTGCTAGTCTGCATTTTTATATGGATTATAATTTTTGAACCCCTTGAATTATTGATCCTGTGGGATGGAATCAGGTTAGTCACACACACACACAGTTCCAATTGGTGTGAGCTTGATCTCAAATGATCGACCACTTCGGCCTGGCTGACTGACTGGTTTACTTGCAATCCCTACTGATTGGCCTGGCTTGGTATCAATTACTTAGATCAATGATTCAGTTTTGTATAGAGTATCATGTGGAATGCAACCACAATGTAATTCATTATGGGTCTAGCAGGTGTAGAATGTTAGGAATGTAAGTTGATCGACGAGCACTTGCTCTCATGTCCCAAGTGGTCCAGTAGTTAACGCTTTGAAACGATGGGCACTTTGGTCAAGCCGCGGCGGGAACTCTTTGATCACTTATTAGGGAATGCTTGTGCATCCAGTTAATGAGTCCCAGGTAGGACGAAATGTGTCATATCTTCGTTTCTACTGCTAGTCACCATCAGATTGACGGGAATTGTCCAAAAGTTACATAGGTATTCACTCTGTGTTCTTTTCAGCGTTATAGAAATAAATATTTATTATATTATATTACATTTTTGCTGATTAATGTCTAAACAGCAGTGATTCATGTTTATGTAGCCCACACTCTTCTATCTTTTAACATTTAACTACTGAAAAAGAATATCAGTAGTTAAACATCACTTGTGTTAAAATAATTTTTAAGGGTTGCTTAGAATAAAGTGAGCCTCTTCTTCAACGATGTAAATATCATCAGTATTGGGTTTATTTGTAGTTTATTCGGAAATTAGAACACCCAACCGATCCTCGCTGCCAAAATCGTATACTTATGATAATACCGGGGAATGCAGGATTCTGTTTATTAACTGTTAATCGAACTCACATCAATTCAGTATACAACTGAACACTCGACCACTATATTGTCATGCTAAGAAAGCAAAGATTTATTGCTCCATACAAAAGACCATATCATCAATAGAAACTGCAGCTATTTATAAAGTTTTCAGTGGCAATAAGTTATGTTTTCACCATAGTCTTTATTTCTTTGCATTCCCAGCGGAATATAGGATTTCAAAGTTGAGCTTTGCAGTTTCAGTATTGGCGGTGTTTATTATGAGGTGGTGGTGGGGGGTCGCCAGCCTTATGCCAACACTAACTACCTTCTTAGCCGAGTTTACTAACGGCTAACATTGGTGTAGGAGTACGTTGCCTGGCAGTTAGGGACCTGGATAACGGGTGCTCGTAGTCGACAAACATTCGACTATTAAATGGCGGTGCACTTTTAAATCTAACGACATGTGACCTTTAATATACCTTAGGGTCGAATATCTGGTGAATAGATCTCTTTGTGTGGTGAGAGCTGGCTGCTAGCCAAATTGGTAGGCAGTAATATACGTCAATGTTTATGTTCCCAATATTGGTCGTGAGACAATATGAACAAAGACTGATTCAACAACCAGTCACAGCTGACTTTGCGTAGGCGGATACAGTTAGCATATGGATGATCTGCTGCCTGGCCCTTGTCTTCTGTTGTTACACTGGGAAACACTAGCTTGTAATATATCTTCTTGTTAGATGATTGGGAACAATTGTGTATGAAGCCCTGGTCCTACGTTTCATATGCTTGTTGGCACTTGACAGTCAGAAGGTGCGTCAACTCGTGTCCACTGTGAGATTTGAATCCAAGTGACCTAGTGCTGCAGTCAGAAGTAGGCTCGCGGTTAACCCTCTGTAGGACTGTAATTCGTATTTTGACTGAACACTTCGTAACAACAAATGTCATACGTGTCTGGTCATTGGATTGGTTGGTGTAGACTGAATTCTATCAAACATGTTTATAAATGGGTTCACCAAACTAAGTGACGAGAGTGGCAGGAAGCATGAAGACGTAGGCCGAAAGCTTCCTGCCAGTAGCCTTCAACCATCATCTAACAACAATCCGGCAGAGTACACCGTGCTGGCGCGCCACCCGATTATGGTGTCCTCATTACAGACTAGGAGCTGCTGATAAAGAAATTCAGTTTTATATACACCAACACCTACGATTACATGAGTGGCATTTCGTTCTACCTATTGTCTAATCAGAATATCTCCTGCCTACCTAACAGTAAAATAATCAAACTAGGATGAAACAGCTGTCCAGTACTCCCTGGCAGGATTTCCAACGGCTCTCTAACCGATGATATCAGCTCATGATGAAATCTAATGTAACCAATCAACCAAATCCATACAAACAAATACTTGAATATCAATGAGATTCTCACTGGCGACTGGCCGTATTCAAGTAGGTAGTTACCTGGGGTTCTAGTGAGAAGTCGTGACCAGTAGGATGCAGCAGGTCGGGTGTGGAGACAAATATTCGCCACGCATGACTTTGACTACCGGTTGCGCTATGTCGTGAATTGGCAGAAGTTAGAATTCATGGGTTGGCCATTGGATCGGGTCCCAGTGGCTTTATGGTCTACAAACTCGATAGGCCTGTAACCAGAAGGTCCTGCGTTCGAACTGGAGTGGTACTGAAGAGTCTCAAACTAGGACGGAGGAAACAACTGGCTGTCCTGTACTCCCTGGCAGGTTTTCCAATGGTTCTCTAACCAATGCCAACTCCTGATGAATTTTTGTAACTATTGATCTCTCTGTTTTCACGTTTCCTTTTTTCTTTCTAGGTGTCTGCACACTGTTATCAGTGCATAAAGTTAAATATGTTTACCAGCCATCTGTCACTACTACTACTACTATTGCTACTAACAATGGTGCTAAATTTTCCAATTTAACAAAAGATACAATCCCCCTGCCTAAAAATCATCGTTTACAAAATTACATCATTGAAGCGTTGAACAAAGAAGGACTGACGACACCATGTGTAATCAATGATCCATCATTGGAAAACAGCAATACTAAAAGTACAGCCTGTTGGTTAATTGAAGATTATGTTTCTCCTGGTCTAGAATTACTCCTGATATGTATTGCTAGATTACAGGATAAAATGATTGGCAAAGGGATAGCAGAACGCCTGAGTTGTTTACTACACGATAATTGGTCTTCTTATGCTGAGTAAGTTACTTATATAACCTGTTTTGTTTTTGTAAGTAATATTTATTAGTATTAGCATTCTATTTCTCAAAAGAATGCAGTACACTGTGTACAGAGGTAAATCCTCCTCTGCTGTGCTCACTGAAGCTGGTGTCCCTCGAGGTGCTGTACTCTCCTCACTTCTCTTTTCTTTCTTTCTTTCTACACGACTTACCATCTTCAAATAGCATTAATTTTGTTAAGTATGCTGACGATCTGAGTGTAGCTCCGCCTGTTAAAGAGACTGCTCCAAACTAAATGGCTTTTTATTAGAAATCAGCCAGTGGTCCAAGGAAAACGGTCTCACCTTAAACCCCTCCTAATGCCAAACAGTTAATTTCACCTTTAGGTATAAATCTGACCTAAACAAACTGGTTAACATTCACGAGGTATGCATTATAGATGGCACTGAAATAGAAACCAAGTTGGAAATTAAATATCGTGGCGTCTTTCTACCTGCTGATCTTTCCTGGTCGTCTCATATCTTGATGATTTCGAAGAAAATATTTCGTCTTACCTTCTGCATCAAGAAGTTACGACATTCTGGAATAACCCAACCCTTACTCTTACGATTCGTTAACTCTTGCATTCTGCCTATTATTCTCTATTGTTCCCCCTTAATGTTTCCAGGGATACTGAAGAAGGACTATATCTTATTACGTAGGGTGTTAAAGGTTGTCAGCAGGGTAAGCAATGTGCCACTTAACCAGTTTGTTAACATTCTGGTTGACACGCACATGGACTCATGTGAAAAATGGGCTAAATCCATTCTATCTAACTCACAACACCCTCTTCATTCACAAATCTCTCCTTGTATCTCATCAGACGGGAGCAGAAGCCTATATAGAAAACTATATGCTCGCAATAGTAAGTACAAAATCTCAACCATACTCTACTTGGCTTGTGTTCTGTGCGATGAAGAAAGCATTAGGCGTGACACCTAAAAACTTATTAAATAGTCATTAGAACAATTAGACCTCCTCGTCTTCACAACTCATATCATTTATAGGTACGACGTTTTCTTTCTTTTCCTTTTCTCTCTCTCTTCTTATGTTATATGCTCTTTTGTTTCTCTCTTCATTACAAACTCTATTTAAAGCATTTCTTCTTCATTCTTTCACGCTCTGTATATATCAACCTTTTGTTACCGCTCACGCCAGTAAATATGCTAGGATTTCCAGTCTGACCCTATGTCAGGTAACATTTCCCATTGTTGAGGAAGGCGATGACAAGACATGCATGCGTAACACATGTCCTAACCATCTCAGTCGATGTAACTGCTTCACAACCTTGTTGATTTATTCTCCCTCCTTACCTAGCAGTCGACCGATGCTTCACCTCTATATTGCTCACCTTAGTATACCATTTCATACGGGAGATAGAGAGTAGGCACCTATGATCGAAGATAGCGTATCTTTTCATGTCTGCCACTCTCAGGTCTCACAGCCAGGTATAAATGAGGATCGAGCAGACTGCTGAGCAGTACACCCGCTCTTTGGTCGATAGCCAGTCGGATATCACGTCTACTAAGCCAGAGACGGCGTAAACTGACTGGCATATGCGAAACTAGCCCTTTGTATCCGTGTTGAGATTTCGTCAGAGATCAACTCGTTTGGGCTGGCTGATGGTACTTCCCAAATAAGTGAAGCGGTCAACGTGCTTTACCACTTCACTCCCTATTTGTAAGCTAGGAGTCAGTGTAGTCCAGTCCTGTAACATCATCTTACATTTTGCGGGATAAATTAGTTCCAGGTTTGATTGAGCATTTGACTTCCATCTGAATAATACACTAACGTGTTTCACTTAAACACACACATAGAGGAGGGAAGCGTGACAGGATAACTGGTCATTTGGAAGCATTGAAATTTCGGCGTGAATTCAGCCACACCAGTCAAAGATATAAACGGATCTCAAAAGTTTTTGTTTTGCTTTGTGTTCTTTGAGTTTTGACTTTTTGACATTTGACTATCTGCATATTGCTCACATTTTCGTGTGTTATGTCTCTTTGTGTGCGTGTCTCTCTCTCTCTTCAAATAGTGTTTGTTCTGCCTACTATACTCGTATGCAAATTGATTCATATTGTCAAACAACTAAGGAAGACTTAGCATCATCCAGCCGTTTTCTGACTAAATCCTCAAATCTGCCTAATATGAAAGATACCCTACACTATTTATCCTATTCCTCATGGTTATGTAAACTGCGTGAAACAGCTTGGTTGCCTGTTGAACAACAACTAGGCGGTGGCAAAGACAACAATGACAACACATCAATTCAACTTTCAAGTCCCACGACATCAGGTCAGTTAGTTTATTCACCAGCAGCTTTCTTTCAACTGGAGTCACAAAACACCAGTTTGTATCAACTATTGAAAGAAACTTGTTGCATTTGGTCACCTGGAGAATATATTCAAAAAAATCCACTGGATAGTCAATTTACAAAAGCCATTGGTCTTATCGATCGGCCAGAACGTTCAACATTTGAGGTGAGCTGTCTCTTTGCTTCGCTTTGTTTTTGGTTCTTTTTTAAAAAATATATATTGTCAAGAGTTGGTTTGTACAGATCAGATTTATCTTTTTTTGGAGTTTGACCACGGATTGACATCAGTTAGAGAACCATTGAAAACCAAGGAGTACAGCTGTTTCATCCTAGTCTGGAAATCATTGGCAGTACGCACAGACTGGAGTGTGAACGCAGGACCATTGAATCGCGTCCCAATGGCTGAATGGGATACGGGGAGTTGGCACTCAACCGTCCGCCTAGTGTATGATTTCACTTAACAGTCTCCTTTTCCACCAGTCCATCTGCATTTCCTTATTTAATCCGGCGTTGGGCTCTGTATTGCTTCGTCACAGTTCGGAGTTCCCTGTCACTATTCCTTTTTTTCTGGGCTGTCGTCTGATGCCCATAGGGGGGGTAGCTGTTGATGGAAGTTTCCAGACTGTTATATAAAAGTTATACTATGTAGTTCCATATTAATTTGTTTATTTGTTGTGTAATGTACACACGCACACACGCACAGTGAGTAAAATAGCATTACTTACTGAATAACAAAGTTCCAAACACCATTCCCCATTATTTAATTCATTTAAGACATTTCTGTTGATTGATTGGACGGAAGTGTTTTGCCTCAGGTTGAAATGTCACCTCCGTCTGTGCGAGAATGCTTTGACGATGTCTGATTATCTCACTGGAAATAATTTTGTTTGGTGGTGACTAGAAGTGGAATGCAGAATGCACATTTCATCCTTTTATCAAGTTAGATAGTCAGGCATCACTGAACCATCTGCACAAGGAGCCAACATTTCAACCTGAGACAGAAAACTTCTGTCCAGTCAATGAACAAGAAAGTTTAAATTGAATACCCGTTGCACTGAATGTGGCTCTCGTGACCTAAGTGGTCACTTGGATAACGCTTTGTCGTTTTTAACGTTGGGTACTTGATTCGAATCTCAGTGGAAACACCATCACTCACTGGGGGAATGCGGACACACCCTCAGATTGACAAGTCTCAAATAGGACGAAATGTACCACATACTCGATTCAACTGCTAGTCACTATCCACAAAATTATTGTTCTTCATTGTTCATAATCATATCATCAATTGTGCAACTACACAACCTCGAAACTTGGATTTTTATAGTTCTCTTCCTACCTTCCTATCTCTTTCCCTTTGGCGTATTAGTAGCAATTTTTCAGGCTTTCGGCACTGGTATATGTTTTATTTGGACACTAGTAAGTAGTGTGAAGTTTCTAGTCCTTAGTTTTAGTGGAGACTGAGATCTGTCAGTCAGATTTGCAATGTGGCCACCATTCTAGGTAGCTCGCCATCACGATGCACATTGATTTGATATTAGGTGCTTGGAGGTAATCGACAGGAAGCCTTGAACCTAGGTTGCCTCCAAACATCTAATATCAAATCAGTGTGTACCGTGATGGCGAGCTACCAAGAATGGTGGCCACATTGCAAACTTGACTGACAGAACTCAGTCTCCACTAAACAAAGGACTAGACACATCACACTAGTTACTAGTGTCCAATCAAAGTATCCACTACAGTCCTACAGGAGGTCAATCACAAACCCGAATAGCTCAGTTGTAACGTCGGTGGTATAGCGGTGAGGACGCTCTCCAACCATGTACATGGTCCGTGGTTTGATCCCCGGCCAGAAATAATGCTGATGAAGAGGTAAGGTTGGGCATGAGGCTAGCAACCGCATCCTGTAAAATAAACACTGCTACAGAAACTACAAGCTTCTTGCGTGAAGCCCTATGTTCCACTGGAAACGTGAAGGAAAAAAAGTTTCTGACTGCCGGTACTCATTGGGTGACGTGGGTTCGAATGTCGGAAGGACGGACGTGAGCTCCTTCAAGGTGGTTGCAGATACGCCTTGCTGTCTGACTGACTGGTGAGTGCCAATCTAGGTCAGATAAGGCTCCCTGCGGATCGCCTCCAACCAGCTAGTATCATTGGTACACATATCCTCAGGTGGTTTGATTAAATAATACTTCAGTTATCAATCCGCCTAGTCGTCACCTCCCATGATAACAAAAAACACAGCACGATTCCATGAAGTCTTCTACTGTTGTTTTGAAGCCACATGGAGTTTCGTAGATTGCCTAACTGGAATCTTTGAGCCAGTAGGAACTAATGATTGAAGACAGGAGGGATTGTCGGTGATATTATGATTCAGATGCCATCAGTCTGTATTATCTTTGTAATTCATTAAGTCCTGTGCACCGGTCGCACAGCGGTTAGGACGCTTGCCGATCACGCACATGGTCTGGGGTTCGGTCCCCGACCGGCGCACTCCTTTACTTCGCTTAGCCATTAGTGATACTGGTAAAGAGAAAAGGTTGGGCATGAGGCTAGCAACTCCATCCTGTAAAAATAATCACCTGTGCTTCAGAAACTTTAGGCCTCTAGCTTGGAGCCATATGTTCAACTGGGAACGTGAAGGAAAAAAATTGTTTTTCAGAATTCTTCACATAAAATATCCTGCCACCAATATTAGAAATCATATAGATGTGTTGATGTTTCTTTGTTTTATCTTTCTTCGTTTTATTTTTTTCTCTTTCTTCTCACAGGCTTTAATGAAATCTCTAGGTGAAAAGGCCAGAGCTAATCCCTTCGATATGCCTTATTTAACACCAGATTTAATGTTATTCATCTATCGTACAGCTGTACAATATTATCTACGTGAAGACTACTCTTACTGTTATAATGATAATTCTCAGGCATCTGATTCAAATTCTACTGGGAAATCATTAACTCAATGGCTACGTGATGTATTCGCTAATCCTGACTATCCGTGTATATTAGTTCAATGTCCAAGAAGCATTATTACACCGAATAAACCGCTGGGCGGTAAACGTCCACGTAAAGATCATGATGATAGTACTACAAGTCTAATCTCTGTGGATGGTATCAGTGATTATGATTGTCCTATATGTAGTAATAGTAGTGCTACTAATATTAATATCATAAAATCAACATCAACTGTACCAGGAAAACGATTACATTGGTCAAGAGTTGGTTATATACCTGTCACAGATATGGATACTGATGGAGACGGCGAATCTACACCGATATATCATCTAGTTGATATTGATATGGTCTGTTGGCAGTCAGTAGCTATTGATCATATTCTAAGTTATAATGACGGTGATGCTAGTGAGAAAGTTCCAGCAACGACAGTCGCTGATACTGCTGATATGGATGAAGATGGCACAGAAGATGAAGAAGAGGAGGTTGGCGGATATGCTGATGATCAGTGTCTCCTGGTGTTACCTTCTACACAGCTTAGTGAAGAGACAACAGCATTTCCAGCGAAGACTATTCATCGTTCACGTGTATTTGTCTTATCGAAATGCTATGGTTCAGAGACACGTCAATTCTTTATTGAAAAGCTTGGTGTAAGTTTTACATTATTATTATTATTATTATTGTTATTATTATTATTATTAGGAATACAAACGTGGTTTATTTTAGGCATCATAACATTCGCCACACAAAGTCTCATACTATGTACGAGGTTTGGGATATTACTACGTGAACATCCAAACCGAAACAGGTGATTGTCTAATGCGGCAATCCCACCCTTAAGGCGCTTTGACTTGACATCTCATCTATAAGACAGTGAAGCAGCATCCGGAGTTAGGTACACGTTCCCATGGCTGCCAGTGTCCAAAACATGTTTACGCGTCATTTGATTCTTTCGGGCTATGCACACCCACATCGATTTGGAATCAGAGTTTTCTAGTGCCTTTCTGTGTGTCTCAACATCTCCACCAGTCCGGTTATAAGCTTTATATGTTCTTTTATTCACTATTTTACTTTCCTGAGGGACAGGTCCACCGCTTGAAGCTAATGGATAACAATTAGTTGGTAACTTAGAGTACCTTAGTGACCACTCAAATTGTAACGCTATATGTACATACATTTACATATATCATGTATGTGAAATTGTGTATTTGCCGCCATAGAGAAATGTATGCTTTTCTTGAGATCCAAAATGACGTAACTTATTTACGAACTGAGCAGTTGCACACAGGTTCTGTGTCTGGTTGTTAAGCAACTCCTTGTTGGAATAAGTGATGATGTTTAGGTGGCATTGATGGTTTTAATCTTTGGAGGAGTTGTTATACTCTCTTGAGGTGGTGCATTGATTATAATCGCGAAACTTTCTCTGTCATTCTGGGTAGCGTATTCAGTAGTAACTTCAAATACGTATTTTGAAAGTCCTGTCTCTTTGTTTTCGACATAGAATTTTGCACCGATGCGCACCAGTTCAAGTTGCCACACTCCACTCTTTGTAGCACAAAAAGAAAGAGAAGAAAGTAGAAAAAATGCATAATAGAAACAGTAAACACAGGTATGAGACAAAGGAATAGTAATAACGAATAAGAATAAAGTTTCATTGGAAATTATAATTCACAGAGATCGGATGCATCTGCGTTATGGATTGAGAACGATTTTGAGGCATATCACCGATTGTCTCCTGTCTTCGTCGATTTTTATCATCCTGAAGACCCGAAACAGTCAAGAAGTCTACACTTTCCTAAGTGACTTGAACTAATTGTTGTGGATTTCGTTGACTGATTGAGCTATTGTTTTGGTTTGACTGCCACTGGCTCTTTTCCAGCCTGACCCTATTTCAGCTAACATTTCCCATTGTCGAGGAAGGCGATGACTAGACATTCATCCGTAACACATGTTCTAACCATCTTAGTCGATGTAACTGTTTCACAGCCTCGTCTATTGATTTCCCCTCCTTACCTAGGAGTCGACCGATGTCTCACCTCAATGTTTCTCACCTTAATATACCACTTTACACGGGAGATAAAACACAGGCACCTATGTTCAAAGACAGCCACCCAGTATTTTCATGTCTTCCACTCTCAATGGTCAGGTCCCACTGACAGCCATAAAGGAGGATGGAGCGAACTGATGAGTAGTACACACGCCCTTTGGTCGAAAGTCAGCTGGATATCACGTCTACTAAGCCGGAGATGGTGTAAACTGGCATATTCGAAACTAGCCCTGTGTACCCGTTCTGAGATTTCGTCAGAGATCAACTCATTGGCGTAGGCTGACTGTACTTTCGAAATAAGTGAAGTGATCAACACGCTCAACCAACCAATTCAGTCCCTATTTCTAAACTAGGAGTCAGTGTAGTCGAGTCCTGTAACATCATCTTATATTTGACAGAGGGAGCGAATCGCATACCAAACATTCGCAGATTGCAGCTCAGGATGTCCAGAAGACTCTGCATTCTGTCAGCGTCCTTGCCTAGGAGGACGAGTAGAATGCCTTGATCAGTACTATGTATTTTCTCGGCATTCCCTTTCCAGCCAAGGATCGCCAGAACCGAATGCCACCTTTAGGTCCTAGTTAAGTGTGTCAATTTCTTGTTAACAGTTCAATAGTATCCTTTAAAAAAATCATTGTTATTATTGTTCTTTCATTGGAGTCCGATTGAAATGTAGGCCTTCAGAAACATATCTTTATTGTAATCTGTTTCCTGCTATCTCCCCTTAGCTGACTCCACTACTGCCCACACAGTTTCATGCCTTTACATGAATTTCCAGCATGTTACTGTCGGACCCACCCCCTCCTCCCCAACTTTTATCGCCTCTCATTCCGCTTCCACTCGAAGTAATAATGTGTGATGATGGCACGTTTCAGCGTCTATGCTTAGTAGTAGCCTTGCCATTTCCTGCTCCACACATATGTTAACTGAGTTAACCGAGCGAAAAGGTAGCTGTTGATGATGAAAGTGCCTGCAACAGCAGCTTATTGTGAATGTGCTTTTGATGACATCTGTGTCACGTATCCTCTTCGCTATGCCTTATACTAGACCATGTTGGTTTTGAGTCTTAGGGGGGAACATTATCACTCATTGAAGATTGAAGTGTATATCCTGATGACGCGAATCCTATAAAGGCTGAAATTTACATCGTAGATTCTTCTATGACTGGCCATTATCAGTCGAATAAGATCTCTTATTTTCAGAAAACAGTATTCAGCGAAGAGACTCTTTTCAACGAATTTATCATCAAGCCGTACAGTCGTATATATATATATATATATATATATATATATATATATACGGTTTTCTGTTAAGAAGCTGTATCCAGTGAGGGGATTGAATCATAGGTGTGAATGCATAGAATAATAATAATAATAGTAGTATGAAATACAATTACAAAACTAAAATGTTTGTGATTATACTCACAGTTAAATGTCAAGTGGCAAAGCAAATTATTGCCATATATAGAATAATTCATAGGATGGATAGAACTTGAAAAAGGGTGTGCAATTATAGGATTAGTAGACATATCGAATAAAATAAAAACGTTACGTAATATTGGGTGAAATTGGATAGCATAGAATTTAACGTGGTAAAAAAGAGAATTTATTTATAATGACAAGTGGGACGAGTCAAATAATACTGGGGACAGTTGTTCAAAGTGAGAATAGTAGTAATAAAATTTGACGTAATAAGGAAGAGTATACCAATTGAATAGACAACATGAAAACATGAAAAATTGGTATGGCCAAAATATGATTGGGGATTACCATACTTTAGCATATAGGGATTAAGACCATGAAAGTTGGAGGGGATGAACGAACTTTTTCTGTACACAGAGATCTGGCTTTTCTGTTTCGATAGCCCGATAGGGCTTCAGCAATACAGATGACTTGGGTGCGTATTGATTTAGGTAAATTGCTTTTCGCCTTGTAGATGACTTTTATGGAGTAGGATGTATAGATAGTGTGATCATTATCGACCAGATGTTCAATGATCGTGCTTCTTATTGCTCCACTGTACAGCTTGATGATAAATTCGTTGAGAAGAGTCTCTTCGCTGAATCACTTGTTTTGATTCTCTGTATGTTACAACGAGAATTTTTCATACGTTTAAAAATATATAGAGTAATACATAAGGTATATAGATTTTGGAAAGGGGGTACATAATTATAAGATTAGTCAGCGAATATAAAATGTTACATAACCTGGTGTGAAATTTGATAAGATAGAATTCAATATTGTAAAAATAAAAAGTATAAAAAATTAATAAATTTGGGTTTAAAATGTCAAGTGGATCAAGTGGAAAAGATTCAGAGTGAGAATAGTAATAATAATAATAATAATAATCGTAGTAATAAGGGAAAGGTACATAGAATAACTAAATAAACAAAATAAATCAATAAATGGCTATCCCTCTACGGCCAAGGTAGAAGTAGGGATTGTACATACTTCTTTTGTACACAAAGACCTGTCTGGCTTAGAGTCATGAATTACCAAGGCCTCAGCTGTCTTTAGAAGTCTGTAACGAAGAAAACGCAGCCTATAAGTTAGCATTAATTCTATATATGATCTTGAAATCATGGTCAGGGTTGACCGAGTGACAGAAGTCGATCAGGTGTTTCAGAATAGACCTCCACACACACACACTTCCTTTCTCCCTTGTGAAACCATGCATCTGGAATATGTCCTTGTATCTGTGTGGAAAGCGTTCTCTAATTTTGTTTGATCTAAACACTATATTTTCAGTGAATAAATTACCAAACGCCTACCAAAGTTTGGGTTAGTTAGTCGAAGACAGGCGCAAATCTATTCAGCATTGGTTCTTTTCTTTGTTTTCATTAGCTATTAAAAAAAAATTCAATATTAAGTTTCTTTCTCTCACTTATTTTGCCCTTTCACAGTTGCCAACCACCTCAACAATTGATGAAATTCTCTCCTTACGTCCTAATCTACCGAAAAATGCATTAATGCAAAAGCGTCATATGAAATCGATGCATGAATTTAATAAGCGTTTAAGTCATTGGTACGCTTTATTAGATTATTGTCTACGTGAAGAATATGCAACAATACAATATCGCCTAAAAGAGGATAGTAATGGTGGTGATCAGAAAAACCTGGATGAACAACGACGAAAGCAAACGAAACAACGTCGAAATCTTTCAGCTACTACTGCTACTAGTAACATCGATGTAGAGTTGAATAAAAGTTCACTCATGAAACATATCAAGCAGTTTTCCATTCTGTTAGATTCATTCGGACAATGGCATAGACCGTGTGATGTAAGTTCACATAATTGAGTGATTGATGAGTGTATATTTGTGTGTTTGAGTGTGTGTGTGTGTGCGTGTGATGTTCATTGGTCAAGATATGTTGTACTGATGTGATGTTTTTTAATTCAATATTAGTTTGTTTATCAGATGTATCACACAGTGAGTGAAACTGTATTACTATTTACTGGATGACAAAGTTTCAAACAAAATTTTTTACTGCTCATAATCATTGCAGCTGTTATGATCACACGGCTTCAAAACTTGAGTTTTATAGTTTTCTTTGTTCTCTCCTATTTGTCGTCGTAGGCGCGTGGTAGTAGAATTTTCCAGATATCTGGGTGGACATGTGTTGAATCATTCCTACTACATGTATTCGCGGTTGATTCGATAACACAAAGCTTCTGTTATCAGTGTCTCCCTCCATTCACCCTGTGACATTAGATTTTAAAACTGTCATCTTTTCCCATTCATCGTATTGTGTGGTTGAGTGTAATTGCACGTGGTAAGTGCTATTATAGCTGAACTATTGTCTAGATTCCTTATCTTAATAGTAATAATAATAAAATCAATGGCGACATGAATGTCAAATATGTGCAAGATAATGATAACACCAACAATAAGAAATCTAAATCATCAGTAGTAATTGCATGCAAGGAAGAAACCTCGGAAACCTAACAGGGAATTCTTAACAAGGCAGGAATAAAGGTGACTGGTATTCAAACCATCCACAAACTCATTTAGAAACAAGTTTTGTCGGTCAAAAGATCAATCCTGTGGAACCTTTGAAACAAAACAATTTAGTTTATCTAATCACTTATCACATATCGTTCTCAATGGCGCAGATGCATCCACTCCTTGTGACATATGATTTCCAATGAAACTGTTTTGTTCTTCGTTACTACTACTCATTTGTCTCACACCTCTGTTTACTGTCTCTATTATACATTTTTTTACTTTGTTCTCTTGTTTTGTGTGCTACATGGAGTGTGGCAACTTGAAGTGGTGCATATCAGTGCAAAGTTCTATGTCGAAAACAGACAGATAGTTTATCTAATACCCTGCCTGCAATGGCTTGGGTGAAATACATGGGTCAAGCTAGTAGAAAAGGGGCAGTAAGACTGGCAAAATCCTAGCAAAATCTAGATTGGTTCACTCGAATAAGATAAGAAATCTAGAGAATAGTTCAGCTGTGCCACTCACTACATGCAGTTACACACAACCATACAATAGGATGGACGGGATAAGATGACAGTTTTGAAATCGAATGTAACAAGGTGAATGGAGGGAGACATTGATAACAGAAGCTTTGTTTACCGAATCAACTGCAAATACATGTAGCAGGAATGATTCAACACCTGTCCAGTCGGATATCTGGAAAATTCTACTACCCCTATGACAAATAAGAAAGGATAAATAAAATTATAGTTTCAAAGTCGTGTGATTATAATTGATGAAATGATTATGAACAGTAATAAATTTTGTTTGAAACTTTGTCATCCAGTAAACAGTAATACTGTTTCACTGACTGTATGATGCATCTTATAAGCAAACTAATATGGAATTACTTACTACGACAGTGCCCAAGTTTTACACATATGGTGACGTTTTTATGTTAAGATTTATTGGTTCTACAGTTTCCACTGACTGGCAATGTATGTTATCCATGTCTTAGTATGTAGGATTGCTTATCCAGTTAACTGCATATGCGAAACTAGCCATCTGTATGCGTACTGAGATTTCGTCAGAGGTCGACCCGTTGAGACTGATGGCCCACCCTGCCTATTTCTGTCTAGATAACCAACTAGTTAGCTAGTATCATTGGCTTTCGTAAAAAAAACAGTGTGACACATAGGCCAATATATGTATATTGGGTGACTAATTATGTATTGAATGTTATTCAAAGTGACTTGCATTCGCTTTTTTTATTTCTTTTCTATTTTATTTCCTTTTTTTTTTAGATTGTTACACTGTTGCCTTCTGAAGTGACCATTGACTCACCTGCAGCACTTGTTGCTGATAAAGTCTGTTTATTCGCTTGGTCGAAACCAATGTACGCTAAAATGATTCATGAAGAAATTATTTCTAAACAGTTGAATACTAATGATAATAATGATGGTAGACGTAATACTTCATTTGGAGTTCTAGCGCAAAGTCTGCAGTGTCTACATTCACGATATACAACAATTAATCATCCTACAAGACCTCATTTATCCTCAGGCTCATCAACATTCAGTACTTCACTTCTATTGGATCAGTTTACGTCGTCAGCATCATCGTCGTCAACGTGGTCATCTTCATTGCAGTCATCCACAGCAGCTTCATCATCAAGACAATATCATAATGAAGGAACTGCACATAGTCTACTGCTTGATTTATTGGGTTTACCGGTTAGTTTCGTTTGTTTTTAATTTCTTGTAAATTCCAAAGACTGAGATTCATTCGAAATAGTAGTAGTCAGAATAAAAAGGCGGTAATACAATGATTCTAAACTATGATGAACAATATTCAAAGCATTTCCAACAAGTTACAAAAAACTCATGAATATGATAGAGAAGATTAGTATCTCAAGTAGATGATTTTGAGGTGGTTGTGTTCTCTGAGCTGGATAGTCAATTTCCGAAGCTTTCATCGCCCTGCTAGGCAACATCTTCAGCGAATACTTCAATTTCAATTGAAGGGAGCTTTTAGATTTCTCCAGGAGTTTATCAATCATCCCTCCTGGTGACCACCTTGGACGTGATTGGTTGTTTATGTGTGTTTTCACACCTTCTAGGCAGCTACTTGTATTGAAACTGATTGTTTCTTTGACTTGAACTTTTACCCATTGTGTGTGTGAGGTTTCTTTCTCTAGCATTCTTTTAGAAGCTTGACATTCCAGTGAATCATCAATCAATAGACATATCGAGATAGACAAAATTTATCAACTGATAAGAAAGAGCCTCGCTGGAAGGAACATCATCACTGACTGAGAAATGCAGGCACATCCAGCTGGCGAGTCCCAAATAGGACGAACTGTGCGTTATCCTGGATTTCACTGCTAGTCACCATTCACCAATTAAATATTAATTAAACGCACAGACATCGTCGAAGCATCTGCACAAGAAGGTGATATGTCAACCTGAGACCGAGCACTTTGGTTCAATCAATCGACGGGAAAATCTAAAATTCAATTGAAAAAAAACATTCTATGATGTATTTATTCTCCTTTTTTTAAAGAAGTCGTTGCGTTTTTCTTTACTATTTACTGTTTTACACTTGTTCTATATTAACACCTTTTTTCTATAGATCATAGATCGTACTGGTGATTTAATTATTAAACATCATGGGGATAAAAGCTGTGTCACCACGCAACCACAGTCGGATTCCTTTATGATACCTTGTCGATCATTGGACATGTTTTTAAAAGGTTTTATGCGTTTAATCCTGCTTTGGTGTAATTCAACACAGTCGTTTTCCAATAATAATAATATAATCATACAAGTCACTCTTCTAATAGTAGTAATAGTACTGCTACTAGACAGTATATTTTCAACTCTACAACAGCAGCTACTGGGATTGATCAAGAGGCTATTCGTTCAATTATTGACTCGAAAGAGATTAACGCATTTTTGGTATGTTTATTTTATTATGTTTTATTGTTATTATTATTATTTTGTTCCCTTGTGTTCCGAGTGGAACATAAGACTTTGAGTTTTGAAGATTTTAGTATCGGTGTTGTCTTTATGCGAGTTGGGGGGTAGCTAACCTTCCGTCGTTTCCGAACTTGCTGTTGGCTAGTAAACTAGTCAGGGGAGGTGTATGGGTGTGTGAGTGCATTGAACGGGAATCGAATCTCAACCATCGGACCTGGTTAGCTAGAACTCCATCACTGAGTTGGTATATTTTTCTCAGGTTAGACCACGGATTCATATCTGTTAGAGAACAATTGAAAACCAGCTGGGAGTACTGGACAGCTGTTTCATCGCTTGTTTGGAATTCATCGGCAGAAGTGTATTTGTTAAAATGTTGGACTCTTCCAACCTATATGGGTCTCAAGTTCGAATCTTACTTCACCTATTTCAGTTCAGCCTGAACAAGACTTGGTAATATTATCTACCCCCCGTACACGATCCGTGTGTCTCAAGCAACAGTGTGTAGTCTGAAACCACAGAAAGCTTTTTTTAGTTCTTCAGTGGTCCATCATGATTGACTAGTTTTGGTTCCTAGAAGTTCCGAAATAAGGAAAGCTTTTCCTATGAGGTTGAGTCGTATTTTTATTATCCCTTTGGGTTCCGAGTGGAGGAGAAGGTTTCAGCAGCACATCCCCCATTTTGTCCTATTTTCTGCTGTCCTCTTTACCTGTTCCCACCCACGATTGTCCATAGGCTCTCGTCTTCTCCGACTCACACGATCTCCTGCATGTCACCTTTGGTCCATCGTTCCACTTGTCATTCCGCTTTAGGGTTCCACTCGAGCGATGACCTGTCTCCTCAGCGTGTACCTAATCCATTCTCACTTTCTCCTACACATATATGTTGAGCAAGAGTTGCTTGATTGGTTTCTTCTTTCTGATTCTATCCAGTCGGCTATCTGATCTTCAATATTAAGTCAGGGAAGGCAACTGATCATAAAAGTCTACACCAACCTGTTGAAAATGCTTTCCATGACGCGCCAGGTTTCAGACACATAAAGAAGAAGTGACGTAACTTTTGTGTTGAATGTCTGAATCTTGTTCTTTATGCTGATGCAAAGTGTAGAAGATTTCCGAACTGATTTCAGCGTTATGAAGGTGTACCTTGATCTTCAGATTCTGACGACTGGTTCAACATCCTCATCCGTGGTGTCGTCTGCTTCCTAGTTAAGTCAAGGATGTGGTGTCTTTCGAATTCATTCCGTTGATAGTGGTTTGTATTTGTTGTTCACTTGAAGTCTTGTCTATGCTACTTCTGCCAGACTGTGTTGGTTTCCACCTGTAGATCTTCGTGTTTGTGTGATGCCAGACATAAATCGCCTGATAAATCCAGATCTTCTAGAATCTTCTTATCATCTGTCCGGTGTATTCCTGTCTTCTCACGCCTCATACACTGTATACCGCACAATCCAGTTCACCACAACTAGGAATATCATCAGTGGCAATAGGACAGCCAACCTTATCTTACTCTAGTATTCACTTCGAACGTCTTGCTGAGTTTTCCGTTGTGGATTTACTGACACTTGCCACACTTATCTACTAACGATTACCGTAGTTCCGATTTCTCTAAGCCTTACAAAAACATCACTGAACTTGATAACCAGGAAAGCTTTACTTGCTTTCTGGTGTGTGTGTGTGTCTGGCTGTTAATTCTCGACTGTCCAAAGTTCTTGTAGGAGTACCTGAAATTGGAAGAACAGTGTTTCCTGACCACCTGCTTGAGGCCAGTCACACGACTTGTTTGAAGCTGTAATTTGAGTTGTGTCCGTATAGAAGATCTTACCTCCGACAACCGACTGCTGCAAGGTAATTTGAGGTGTAATGCTTTCGGGATCGACCTTTTTCAACCAGAGCGTAGAGGCAACATCACAGTACGACATTTGACTCACAGACCCTTAACATAGTGTAAACATGTTTCACTACATATTTGAAGCTGCCTTTCTAGCATGGTAGAACATGCAAGTAGAACGTTACACCCTAGCCATCACATCAAGGTGTGTAGCCTCTGTCATTCAGGAATTACTTAAATTACTTTTGCTTACTTTGTTTTGTCATTATGGACTGTAATCGGTTAGAGAACCATTAGAAAACCTGCAGGGAGTACTGGACAGTTGTTTCCTCCGTCCCAGTTTGGGACTCTTCAGTAATACGCACCCACCACAGGGGTTCGAAACCAGGACCATCTGGTTACACGGCGAGCGCGTATACCATTAAGCCACTGAGACGCGATCCAGTGGCCAGTGCATGAATTCTAACTTCTGCCATTTCACGACATAGCGCGACCCCTAGCCAATGTCTTTGGCAGGTATTTTTCCTCACACCCAACCTGCTGCACCCTATTGGTCACGGCTTCTCACTAGAACCCCAGGTAACTTCCTACCTGAATAGGGCAAGTCGCTATTGAGCGTCTCATTGATATTCAAGTGTTGGTTTGTAGGAATTGGATTGATTGGTTACAGAATTTCGACATGAGCTGACATCATCGGTTGGAGAACCATTGGAAAACCTCCCAGGGAGTACTGGACAGCTGTTTCGCCCTAGTTTGGGAGTCTTCATCACTACGCACTCACCGCTAGGGCTCGAACCCAGTACCTTCTGGGTTTCAAGGCCAGCTGGTAGACCATTAAGCCACTGGGACCCGTTAATATTTGCTTATATTTGAAATAATTTTTGTTTAATATGTTATTGCAGTCAATAATGGTATCTATTTTTCTTCACTTAATCCTTCTCACATCTAGGTTGATCATTTACACACATCTATAACCTTTAACACATCAAAAACCATCAATGGGATAGCTAATTTCAATCAGCTGCCGTGCATATCAAAACGTCTAATCAGCGCTTTGTTAAATGGCAAGCTATTTCTCGACAGTACATTCGGTGCTCAAATATTTGCTAATTTATCACAAATACCTCCAGAGAACAGTATACAATTAATCTATGTATTATTTGCTTGTATGAATGATCCAATTCTGTACAATAAAAATACTACTACTACTACTAATATGCCTAATATTAGTAGTAGTAGTAGTAATGATACCATTGAGAATTCGATGTTATCCCAAATTATCGAATTTATCTGTCCATATGGTGGACAGAATAAAGTGAATTTAATGTAAGTTTCATAAATTTATATATATATATATATATATATATATATATATATATATATATATATATACATAGTGGATGCATTAACCTGAGTTTCTGTTTTCTAATGTCTAATTATTATTTTCATCATTTTCTTTTCTCTGATATATTTATTTATTTATTTTAGACAATTTATTCAAGGTTTTATTAACCTTGCTCTGTCTATTCAACCTGATCCCCAAATAATGATAAGCGAAGGTATCAATTCCACCTTTTTGCATCAATTAGAGAATTATCTTGTCTCACATGGTGTTAAACAAATGCGAGCAAGACGTGAATTACGTCTGTTATGTCCTCGTCAGTCGTTGGTGCCACCACCACCAATGCCTTTACAACAACAGGAACCAACTGTATCTATGCATCTATGCAATGAAAGTGAGGATGCAATAATTGCAAATACTTCTGATAGCTTGTCGTCAGTTAATCAAAATATAAGCGATCGCCTTACTTCATTCGATCAAGTGTCTACAAAGCCAACGATGTCGTATACTTCACAGAGTACAAGATATGATACAACTATTACTGCTCTTCAAGGTAATGCATTTTTTAATATAGGATTATGTGTATGTTTTATTCACTTATGTACGTACGAAATAGATATTTTATGGGTGAATGATAGTTGATGGTTATCACCTAAGTTACTCCATGACTGAAGTATGTTGAGAGTGGGATTTGAACCCAACTTCTCTGACGAAATCTTAGCACGGATACAGAAGGCTAGTTTCGCATATCTGGTTGGCTATCGACCGAAGGGCGTATGTACTGCTCAGAAGTCCTCTCTGTCCTCTTTTATGGCTGTGAGACCTGGCCATTGAGAGTGGAAAACATGAAAAGATTAGCTGTCTTTGACCATATGTGCCTCTGTTCTATCTCCAGTGTGAAGTGGTATAATAAGGTGAGCAATATTGAGGTGAGGCGTCGGTTGAGTGCTAGGTAGGTGGGAGGGGAAAATCAATCAACGAAGCTGTGAAGCAGTTACATCAACTGAGATGGTTAGGACATGTGTTACGAATGAATGTCTAGTCATCGCCTTCCTCGACAATGGGCAGTGTTAGCTGACATAGGGACAGACTGGAAAAGGGCTAGCGGTGGTCAAACCAAAACATGGCTTCATCACTCAATGAAATCCACAACAGTTACTGTAAGCCAATCACGTAGGAAGGTGTAGACTTCTTGACTGGTTGGGGTCCTCGGAATGGTAAAAATCATTGGCTGGAGATAGTTGATGATATGGCTCAATGGCCGGCGCCTATGCACCCATATACACATTATAGTGAGTGAATGAATTAGTGCTATGAACAACATTAATGTTGCTGTTTAGATAACATCGAATCAATAATATTGACAGATTACAGCTAAATAACATAAACAACATAAAATAAGCTGAATGTAAGAAAAATTAGGAAAGATAATATTACAAACTGTTGATGATGGTTTTAACTACACCTTTACTTAGCCATTGTGGGATATTGTCTCGAGCGAGCACGTAAAATCAAGTTCCTAGAGCCAATATAACTGGATCCTCCACAAGCGCAGTTGAATTGGTAGATACTATTTAAAGTGGCTAGCTAGTCTAGGTACTTCATCTTTTAGTCGAGGTAGCGCCATCTGTGGTATAGAGAATAAGACGTGTAGTTTGCCAGCATTAAAAGTTCTTTGAACTGATTTTCTTAATTTTTTTGCAATTGTCTTGCTTGGTATATCGCCGATGATTGTAGTCGTATATAAAGTGGCTTCTTGTTTACAGATAGTGAGTAGTCCTTTTCCGCCGCCTTCTTTGTCATGTGTTTCTTGATGAATTTTTCGGGATAGCTATTTTCGATCAAAGTATCATATACAATGCTTAATTCGTCTTCAGTTACTTCTTCACTGGATTTCTTTTATACTTGATAGGAACGAAGCTGTGAAAGTGTGTATATTGTCCTGTCCAAGTACTTTTTCTATGCACATTTCTTTTTATGCTACCATCTATCTGGTTTTCTTGTAAGTAGGACATCCAGGAAGGCGATTCTGTCTCGGGATTCCTCTTCGCATGTGAATTTCATAGCCGAATGTACCTAATTGATTTCAGTAATTATTGTATTCCTATCAGAACCATTATCACAAAAGATGAAGGTGTCATCCATATATCGGCAATAAAATGAGAGCTTACTTAGAAAGAAATCAGCTAGAATAGGACCCAATGGGGAGCCCATCACCACCCTGTCCAACTGCCTGTAAAGCGCGCCATTAAATTTGAAGTTTACACGCATGATATGCCTTAATAACAATTCTTTAGGGATTTCAGTAAAGATGCCAATGTTTATCGACTGGTTATCTCCTTGTTCATATATGTAGTTAACTGTTTCTATTAGAGGTACATTTGTGGATAACGATGTTATGTCCTAGAGATATCATGGTTTTGTCCTTGATATTAATAACTTTGATTTTATCTACGAATTCAAATACCTCTTTGACGCTATATTTCACTATCTGCTCATGCAAAGGTTTGAGAATATTTATTTATTTTGCTTTTGTTTTTTTATTTACCCAACAATAGCTGCAGCTGCTCCGTTCCTTCGTCTTTCTAAAGAAACTGTCCAAACCATTGATAGTATATCCTCACCTCTAACAAAATACTGGTCACAGGAGAATAATACCAGCCTTCCAGAATACTTAAAAACACGTCTACAGCGTATCCTATCTAATCCAACCGACAAGTTGACTAATAATATTGGTCGTCTAGGTGAAATGTACATTTATCAAACCCTATTAGATTATATTCGTCGAGGTGAAAATCGTCATCAGACTGGTTTTGATGAAATGACCAATTGTGATTTTCCTACGGGTCATCCATTACTCGGTGTTGGACGATTAATTCGATGTAACTGGTGTAATTCGGATAATGAATCAATGAGACCATATGATCTGGAAGTAGATGTCCAAGGTAATGAATTGGTTATCACTGATGTATAACTGTTATTATTATTATTATTATTATTATTGATGTCGGTTTCAATAACTCTTTTCTATTTTTAATCGTGTTCTCTAAAGTTCTTGTTAGATGACACTACAGCGCTACACAGTCTCCTCCATATCACCATCGGACTGATGGCCAACTCACTGTTCCCCATTCCGGTTCCACTCATCAGTCTGGCATAATATTAAGTACTATTTGTGGAATAAATGACAATTTCCCGATATGCATATATATATATATATATATATTATACCATGCGTCGGTGGCACAGCGGTTAGGACGCTCGCCGACCATGCACATGGTCCGAGGTTCGATCCCCGGCTGGCACACTCCTTTACCTCGTCAGATATAATGCTGGTTTAGAGGAAAGGTTGGTCATGAGGCTAGTAACCCCATCCTGTAAAATTAAACACTGCTACAGAAACTTCAAGCCACTAGCTTGAGGCCCTATGTTCCACTGGGAACGTGAAGGAAAAAAATATTATATACCACGAAAAATATCCATTTATTGTTCAACGAAGAAATTTCTTTCCAAAGACTTCATTTTCAAGCTGTACAGTCATACAACCCTACGTGATTCATCCTTCAAGGTTATCTACATGGCAAAATCGAATCGCTCCAAGAGTTTACGTTTTCTTCACTTATGCATAACCGAAGATCTAGCCATATATATATATATATATATATATATATATATACATGGACAGAAATTATGTGTTCAAAAAACGTTTTGTCAAACCCCTTTCTTTGCCCTGGTCATAGTAATTAATGTTCTTTCTGGTTTTTATTTTATTTCTTACCACTTGAATTCATTCCACTTCACTTCACATCTTTATTCTTATTGTGATAGTACTCCTAGTTTTTTTTAAAATTTTTAGACAGCGCTTGACATTAAAAAAGTAAATATTTTTGGCATCATTTCACTTATAAAACAATCTTTAATAATTTTGTAATTCATCCACTTCAATTCTAACTCTACGTGAGCAATAATTTAGTGCCACTTAATAACCTTTTTTTTTGTAATATAAATACGACTGTACAGTTGGCTTGAAAATAACGTCGTTGAGAAGAAATTTCTTCGCTGAACAAAAATACTGTTTTATATACATTTTATACATTAAGCCATGTCTAGTATGTTGTACTCCACAGTCTTGTTTAAAGCGTCTCGGTAATGCGAATGAACATTGGACCAGTTGACGACCTCTCTGCTATAATGCCGTTTTTGCCCCATATTTCCAATCAACATTCTTTATGTGAGGGAAATATCGACTCGTTTTTGTTAAGTATAGTTTATTCAACGGCAGATTTTAAAAATTCTAGTCGGGGTTTGGTCAACCTGAATAGTTAGTTGTCAGCTGGTACCTATTTCCTGTCGGACTAGCATTTCTATCCTCTTAGTTTTCGAAGACTTACAAGCGAAAAACGACAAACTAGTCGAAGAAGCAGCCGACGAAGACAAGACTCCAGGTGAACATAGGTGAACAAGACGGAGGTTATGAAAATAACCAAACAACCAACAACAACAGCAGAAACATCCAGCGCCAATCACCATCAACGGGAGGGATTTGAAAGAGGTGACTTCATTCGCTTATCTAGGGAGCATTGTCTCAACTACAGGCACTAGGAACGGACGAGGATGTCAAATCGAGCGAGAATCGGGAAGGCGAGAAACACATTCATCAACCTGAAACCAGTCTGGAAATCTTCGTGACTCAGTATCAATGACAAAATTCGGTCGGAGTTTCAATACAAACGTCAACTCAGTAGGCCCTTTTATACGGATGAGAAACTTGGGGGGTCATAAAGAATATTTCCAACAGCCTGTTGCAGACGCTACCTTTATCAACAACTATCTTCGCTGGCTCTATACTGAAGATCAGATGGCCCGGCTGGAATGAATCACCAACAAGAAACTATGGGAAGAAACAAAACAAGAACCAATCGCCAACCAAAAAATATTCAGGAGAAAGTGGAGATGGATGGATTGGACACTACTCACCGAGGAGGAGGCCGCCGGGTGGCATCGCGCGTCAGGCCATTGCTCGAACGGAACCCGAAAGGGAAGCAACGAGTGGGACGTCAGTGCAAGGTTGACATGGAGGTGATCGTGTGAAGAGAAGTTGAAAGAGTATGGACTAACATGGATGCAGGTGAAAAGTACAGCAGAAGGAAGACAGAAGCGAGTGGAGACATGTAGTTGAAGCCCTATGTTTCACTAGGAACCTAAGGTTATATATACATATATATATATATATATATATATATATATATATATATATATATATATATATAATTTTTCGTTGCTTACTGCTTACTGTTGATGAACAGTAAGTACATAAACTTGTTAGGAATTTACACGCTGAAACCTGCTTTTACCACCTCAGTTTGTTGAAATCTTATAAAGAGATGTGGTTTTCTTGTTGTACAATAATAGGGCGATTCAGAGATCTGTTGGTTCATATTAACAGTTCTCTACTTTTATATTAAGCTACAAATGATGCCAAGCTTCTTGAAAACATTCGATACGGATCCATGATTGGATTTTTAGTGTCCTTGTGCGTCGGTGGCACAGCGGTTAGGACCCTCGCCAACCATGCACCCCCCGCAGGAGTTCGAACTCAGGACTTCTGGTTACAAGACCAGTGGGCTCGTATACCATTCAGCCACTGAGACTCTATCCAATTGCCAGTGCATGAATTCTGGCTTCTGCCAATTCACGACATGGCACGACCGCTAGCCAATGTTTTTTCTTTGGCGAGTAACAGGTCGGGTGTGAGGAAACATACTCGCCGAAGACATTGGCCAGCAGTCGTGCCATGTCGTGAATTGGCAGAAGCCAGAATTCATGCACTGGCAATTGGATCGGGTCTCAGTGGCTGAATGGTATACGAGCCCACTGGTCTTGTGACCAGAAATCCTGAGTTGGAACCCCCTGTCGTGGGTGCGTTCTGATGAAGACTCTCAAATCGGGACGAAACAGCTGTCCAATACTCTCAGGTTTCCTCGGCCGACGCACACTTGATACCAATGGTTGGCCTGCTAAATTTTTGGCTACCGATGTCACATGCTGAAAATTCCATACTTGTACTGTGAAATATTCTATGGAATCAAGCTATAATAAAATAAGAATAAATTATAGTCTTGTTCTTGGCCTTCATTAAGCTGCTGCAGTATGCACTGGAAGCTGAATCCAGCATACATTGAGACTGCAGATTTCACACTATCTATTTAATTTAGACAAAGCAGTAAGAAGATGTAATTCGTTTGAATCATGTTTTTATTTTAATTTAACCCAGAAAAAAACTTGGTACAATATGGCACCAAGAAAGATGCATCACAAAATAATAGTAATAAAACAACATAGATCAAAAGTAAAGAAAAAAATATAAGTAGAGAACGGATAAAGAACTTCATCTGGAAGGAAAACAGTCATGCTTAGCAAGTTCAAACAGTATTCATTAACTATCATCAGGAAGGGAGAAAGAAGGAAATCGCAACACATTCGCCATTGATTACGATTCTCGGCTATATCCGATATCGTTTTGATCCATTGATTCGAGCTATCTCGCGGACGCCAACCAGGGAGTTGTGACGCACTAACCGATGCTAATCTAGCACAAACATCCTTCATCCCACGACGCCACATTATGGACTGAACACCCCTCCGCCTTTTCCATCCCGTCCCAGGACTAGCGAACAGAGACCTGTACGGAAGCCTCTGGGATGACATTCGCAGCACATGTCCAAGCCACCAGAGCCGGTGTTTCCAGATGACGACGACACTCAATGAATAGTGATCTTCACACTGTGTTCAAACACAAGCCGCCCAACCTCAGAATTACTCACGCGATGATTCCATCGAACGCAACCAATCCTGCGGAGACAGCGATGATCGAACACGCTGAGTTGCCGCACATCTTCAGCCTAATTGGTTAGGCCAGGTTTCACAGACGTAGAGCAAGACAGCCCGCACCGAAGCATTGTATACCCGACCTTTGACAGCTAAGCTAACGTCGCGACGACACCGGAGGTGGCTCAAGTTGATGTATGCCACTCTACCTTTCACTATACGGTTGGAAATCTAATCCGCCATGCCTCCGCCAGCACTCACACAACTACCCAGATACAAAAACTTATCAACAACTTCAAGTGGTTCACTCGCAAGGGTGAGTGCAGGTACAGGCTCCTGCCAATCTTGTAACAGTACTTTGTACTTAGACAATGCAAAGTACATACTATACACACAGACACTGAGTGTATTTGCACGACACATGTCTCCTGTTCTCACTATTAATGGCTTCTGGGGATTCTGTCTGCTTCTGGAGCTATTCAGCAATATGCCCTGTGAAGCCAGCGCTTACTTGCAGAGATCTATGAGTCCCCCCATCCCACTTAGTATATGTGTCCTCACGTACATTCAAATTGCTTTATCTAAAGTCATAAAGGGAACTAATTGTTTTATACATATTTAGTGCTTTAATTGGTCACATAGGTTACAGTAAGTAAGATTCCACCTTTTTCCTCTTTTGGTATAACTTCCTTTATTTATTTATTTATTTTTTAGTTGAATGTGATGCGAATAAATGGAACGGATTAATGGAGAATTTAAGAAATGAGTTGGCGTGTAATATTGTTCGTGTAATTCGTAGTCCATCGTCGTCATCATCATCATCACATCAAGATACTAAAAGTTCATCGTTGTCATCGTTACGACCAGGTGTATTAGCCATTGGTCCTATATTCCTTGAAGTCAAGTCAACAATGACACCAAACAATAGCACCAATAATAATACTAACAATAACAATACTACCAACAATGAAATTAATGCCAATTCAAGTACAGATTTATTTGAATTCTCCTTACCTGAGCTGTTGTGTGCCTCTCAACAAACCTGGCGTTATCATTTATTACGTGTAATATGGAATAATGATGATATTACTGGTTCGAGTATTACTTCTACACCAAAAGTAATACATATACCAGATTTAGCTGGTGTATTGAAACAGAAATCAATGAATCTAAAATTGTGTTTAGCTATGCTAAGAAATGAATCTATGAGATGATGAATTCAGTTTTTATTATTACGACTACGGACGACTTCTGTCGTGGTCGGCTGGTTGGTTGCTGTCGTTGTTCATGTATGTAAATGTATCATTGTAATTAACCAACCCCACATTCTTGTAAAAAAAAACAACTCACATTTGAGATTTGTATTCAAAGAGACACAGAAAAATATAAAGCTACTATATTTATATACAATGAGTGAAACTGTCGTGTTTTTGTTTAACCTTTCTCACACATAATTTTCACTGTTCGTCAGTTTTTGGGGGAAATACGCTTGCTTACCTACTGGTGTCGAACAATAGCCATATTTCTTGACTTGACGGTGGAATTCAACTCCATTGACCAAATAGGATGCTGTGGCGGTGGTGTTCCACCGTAAAGGCGCGCAGTATCGAGTAAGTACATCGTCCTGACTGATCAAGGCGCTCTACTCAGACGGATGCAATTGTGTATGAGCTTTTTTTTGCGGGGGGGGTGAGTTATCTTCTGAAATGATGACAAGACAAGTGGTGTCAACTGGTTCTCCTTTTTAAAACAATTAGTCCCTTTGATAAGTTTGAATAAGTAAGGCATTTAGAAGACAAATTTCGCGAGATGATATTGTCATTACGTAGTTTTTTTTACAACCGCTTTACAACTAACAATAATAAAATAAACATCATGACAATTACTCAGTTAAAATAAAAAGCAAAAGTTACATACCAATCATATTTAGATAGGTCAAGTAGTCAGTCTATGGTAGGCGAAGATTGAAGTCTATTGTGCTATTTTAGGCTGTATGTGATTAATCCACCAAAGTGCTTCCATCACCTTCGTTAACCAACTTTGAATTAGAGTTATTTGCTGAAATAATTGTCAAAATAGTCATTAATGTTGATTTTGTGACTTGATATTAATAAGTGTTTTGCAATGGATGATGCTTGATTTATATTCAGATTAATCGCATTGGGATTTTCGATATGATTTAGTAACCATTTTGGAACACGTTCTTTTCGACCACTACATTGGAACATTCTGTTAGTTCTACCTATATAGGTGTGTGTCACCACTGCTGTAGGTGAACTTGTAGATACAGTTTGAATTAGAGTCCACAGAATTTCGTCCTTTAATCGTAGGTACAGGGATTGAAAATGTTCCACAAGTGAGAAAAAGAGATTCGGCGGCGTAGAATGTGTGTTTGATGGCTGACCGAAGTCTTTGAGCTAGCTGTCAAGTGTATAATCTGGTCACCCTTGAATGGTAGGCTAATAAAGATAGATAGCTTTCTTTGGTACAGAAGCTGTCTTTTCGAGATGTGGTCTTTCTTTACTGTGACAAGTGATAAAGTGTTCCGGATAACCATTAGCTAATAAAACTGAATGTCGAAACTCATCCATCATTGTGTCTCTCGGGCATATTTTTTGGGCTCTTGAGAACAAATATTTCACTACGAAACCTTCATACTGGATAGGAACAAAACTGGTAAAATGAAGATATTGTCCACTCCATGTCTTTTTACAAAAAATAGATAGCTGAATCGTTCCATCATCCCTTATGGTCATCCAGGAAACGGACTTTGTTATTCGATTCGAGTTCGGATGTCACTCGGATATTTGGATGAATATGATTAAATAGGGTTATAAAGTTTTTAATAGATTTACTATTATTACCAATAATGAGAGTGTCATCTACATAACGTTTATACAGCATAAATTCTCCAAGCATCCCCCGCATTTGTCTCTCCAATTTCGACATGAAAATATCTGCTAACAGGGGCTCAAGAGAGCTACCCATCGCAACACAATCGATTTGTTTTGTATGCCTTTTCTTGGAAGGTGAATCTAATATTCTCTGTACACATTATGATGATGTCTTTGATATAAGTGACAGGAATAGGTAAGTTTATCCCATTGCTTGTGATGTAATCGCAAATGAAATCAACAATTTCATGAAGGGGACCATTGGTGAATAAATATTCTAAGTCGATTGAACACAAAACCTTTACCTTAATGTTCAAGGTGTCTAGCGTATCTGTCAGATCAAATGAACTTTTTACAGAATGATTAGATAATTAGTCTCTTACAGGCGTAAGGACCTCTGTAATCCATTTTGCGATTTTATGGTATGGAGAATTCGACATATCTAAGATGGGTCTCAGTAGGTTCCCAGATTAGTGGATCTTCAGAAGGCCATAAAGCCGGGAAGTATGTAACCCAATAGCTTTAAGTTGTTTATAAAGTTTTTCATTTATAGAACCGTGCATCAGTAAAATCTGAAGCTGACGATTGATCTGCTTTTCCGTAAGCAGCACATTATCAGTAGCATTGTCCACCAGAAAATTGTAAAGGCGTTGTAAAGAAACTTCGAAATGATGGCATCTCGAGAAATTTGTCTTCTAAATGCTTTGTCCTCATTTTTGTTTAGTCTCGTTATGTAAATATGCATTAGTGGGATTCCCTCTAACTTAGTCTACTGGATTAGAGATTGGCTTGTTTGCCAGACAGCAGTCTCGTCGACTTTGAATATATGTTCATTTTGTTCTCCTAGGTGAACGTGAAGATGCTTAAACATAAGGGGTCGAATGGTTGACAGTGTTGACCACTCTTCTTATTTGAGAAGTTGCATCAATACTCCCTTAATATACTGACTGTGATTGCTTTCGGGATCTCGGCAGGAAGGCGAAAGCCTCATGTGTCATTTGCTGACCTAAGTCATCTCTCATGTAGACACGTGCTATCCGGCTGGGATATATCACTAAAAGGCCACCATCAGTGTAGTGCGCACCACTTCGCTCTACGCTTATTTATGGCTGTGAGACATGGTCAGTGGAAGTGTCAATCTGTCAGACACTTCATAATTAAAGTATACGCATACACACACAAAGCTGGAGAAGAGAAATGCAGATAAACTCTATGACAAACAGTAGTGTTCAGGAGAAAGAATAATCCTATAGAAAATAATGAGGATTTAATGAATCGATCCAGTATTCCCTGCTGGTTGTCAGTGGTTCTCGAACTGTGTTATCAATCCATGTGATTAAACTTGAAGTCGAAAGGTATCTCTGTAATCTGATACACAGTGCACAAATTCTTGAACAGGCGGTTGGATATTACACACTGGCATCAAGCATGATGCCAGTTGGCAGGTTCCAAAAGAGTATCTTGCACATGTGATGAGAGAGAGATTTCGTCAGCAATCAGCTGGTCGCCTTCAGCTAATGCGAAATCCCAATTAAATGAAGCAGATCAACACGCTCAGTTATTTCACAAGGAGTGAATTTAGTATATATAGTCCTGCAGCAATTATCTTGGTTCTGTTAGGCGGAAAAATGGCATGCTAAAGAGACCAAGACTTCTCCGAACACTTAGCTGCATTCCGCTGATGAAGGGGATAATTTGAAATTGAAAACTGAATATGTATGTGTAACTGGTATTTTTTAGGAGTGCGAGAACAAAAACCGTATCTTCAACATTTGATTCTGTAACATGTTACGAAAGAATTTATAAATCACATATATAATAAGTATTAATATGTTTTCTGAACAACTTAAGCTTCAATCTACTAATTTTTGGCATGCTATTCGCTCCCGCCAAATGTTAGATGATGTTACAGGATTGGACTACAGATCTGGCCATTGAGAGTGGAAGACATGAAAAGATTAACTGTCTTCGATCATAGGTGACTGCGCTCTATTTCCCGTGTGAAGTGGTATAATAAGGTGAGCAATATTGACGTTAGGCATCGGTCAACTGCTGGGTAAGGAGGGGAAATGAATCAACGAGGCTGTGAAGTTACATCGACTGAGATGGTTAGGACATGTGTGACTTATGATCTTCAATGAAATTGTTTTGTATTTCTTTATTACCCTTTTGTCTCACACCTCTGCTCACTGTTTCTATTATGCTTTTCTTGTACTTTCTTCTCTTGCTTCGCGTGCTACACGGAATGTGGCGACTTGAACTTCCGCACATTTGTGCAAAGTTCTATGTCGAAAACAGACAGACAGACATGTGTCACGCATGAATTCCTAGTCATCGCCTTCCTTGACAATGGGAAATGTTAGCCGACATAGAGTCAGACTGGAAAAGAGCTAATGGCGATCAAACCAAAACATGACCTCTGCAGTCAATGAAATCCACAACAGTTAGTTTAACCCAACCAGCCAGTCACGTAGGAAGGTGTAGACTTCTTGACTGGTTGGTGTTCTCGGGATAGTAAAAATCAATGAAGGCTGGAGAAAATCGGTGATATGGCTCAAAATCGTTCTCAATGTCTGGCGAAGATGCATCCACTCCTTGTGACTTATAATTTCCAATAAAACTATGTTGTTCTCCGTTATTACTATTCCTTTGTCTCACCCGTGTTTACTGTTCCTCGTATGCATTTCTTCTCTTGCTTTGTATGCTGCAAGGAGGTGGATTGTGGCGACTCGAACTGCCTCACATCGGTGCAAAGTTCTATGTTGAAAACAGACAGACAGATATTAATATATCAGTTAATAACGACGATTATAATGATAGCAATAATATTGATAATATGGTCGATGATAGCAAAATGGCAACTAGGTGGTAATAAGAATCATGAAGATAGTAGTCTAATGGATAACACTTTGGCGTATTGAGTTCGAGTCTCAGTGGTAACATTTTTATCACACACTAAGGTATACAGGTACATTCTGTAGCTGACGAGTCCCCAATGGGACGATGTGTGGTGCATCCTGGATTCCACTGTTAGTGATCACCTATCAAATTACTTCAAGTTAATCCTCACACATCATTGAAGGCTTTGTACTAAGTGGAGTCGACATGCCAACGGAGGCCGAACATTTTTAGCCCGATCAATAGAGGGGAAAATTAAAATTGATTGAAAAATCGAAAAGTAATACTGGAAGATGTTGAAATGATGTTTGAACATTCCATATTGACAACTGTCTGATCATAATGACCTGAACTTTTCAAATTTACTGTATTTCACATTTTATCCCTCAATTCCTCGTAACAGTTTTTCTGATTCGGTTAAT